TTACTATGGATCTCTTTTGTCTTCACATAGTAAGATATAAGCTTTGCCATCCCAGCATTAAAGGCTTATAGCATCGCTTTCTTCTAAGGTATGGTTTTCGGGGTAAGTCATGCGATAGAATCCTCGAAGTAATCAAAGAGGGCATTATAAATACCAAAAATATAATATACCATTATCTCCTTAGTCTTTGAAAGTACTATAGTAAAGCGGTAGAACGGCTCTGTGATATATAGAAGGTAGTCGACCTACCGCCATTCCGCCTTACTAAGTTTATATTTCTGAGTCCTAATATTATCACAGTATTCATTATATAGCTTACTAAGGCGTTTCGCACGACGAAGCATCAAGAAGGTTAAATTCCAGCGTATGCGGACATCTTAGATAGGCGCAAGTTTTACTCTATTAGTCTAGAGATAGAAGAAATCATCACAACGTTAGGGGCTTATATTAATAAATACAGTAAGCCCGCGAATCTATATATTTATTAGGTATATTAAATAAGAAATAAAGCGATATACTTACCTTAACAAAGGTTTATACAATGACTTGTTCACTCTAGGACACACGGAGTGATCGAGCTTGGGCTTGGGCTTAGATATCAGAAACATTCCGATCTGTGGTATCGTTCTAAAGGTCGACCTTCACTGATCCAAGTAGCTCGCGAAGGCTTAGTTAGATAACATATACAAGACAAGGGATTTGAACAACCACTAGGTTATTCGGTAGTTCAAAGGAGTTAATAGAGTCTTAAACTACCTATACTAGAGTTATATTATTAGGTATGTTATCTAATATAATCGCTAACACGCGATTAGTAATATCAAGCTTCCTAAAGATATCTATAAGCATTCCACTTAGATTTATACTAGAATGCGCCCTATCAAGTGGTTTAAATCCAAGTAGGATCTCACAGTAATTCTAGTCTCGGTCGATAAAGTACCCTATGATCGCTATAAATGCTTGCTAGAAAGGCGATATCTAGCAGTCAAGGGTAACTAAGAGCTTCGTATCTTATGGTAAGGTAGTGAGGATTATATACTACTTATCCTCGACCAATTTCTTTAGCCGGCGTTAAGTAGTGCGAGGATAGAGTAGAGTAGGTTTAACTAGAGCCTTTTACGCTATTCGAATCAAGGAAGCAAACTACTTCCTCTTAAGTACCTAGAAAGGTAGGTTCAGACTAGTAAGACATTTAATCTACTCTCTTTCCTATTCGTTATTCGAGAACCTTAAGATATAAGATAATACTAGTGCCTAATATATAACTTATTAATTATCTTAAAGGGTATAATTATATAAGACTTACTAATATATACTATATAGTCTCTATAATTAACTGTTATATAGACTTACTTTTACTACCCTTTTAGCATTTGCCTAACGCTATATACCGCTTTAGTGTATTAGTACCGCTTTACTTTATACTTAGATAAGGTAATATAGCTCTATACGTCCGATATATAACCAAAGGTTCGCCTATAAAATAATATACTACCTAGTAGAAGTTCTCCTAGATATCTAATATATATTTTGTATCCTATTATAGCCGTTATATCTTAGTACCACTACCGTATACTATTATACGCCACCATTCGATAAACTTTACTTTAGAGGCGTCGTTTATCGCGTTATAGAGGATAAACTACTTTCTCTAATCAGGGCCGACGCGTTTAAGGGAGTAATCAAGAAGGGCTAGTTAAGTAAACTCAGACTCTATTAGTAATATAGAAGTCTGTTAGCTATTAAAGAGACTCGGATTAATATTTAGATTAAGGTTAGAATCAAATATATCGCTAACGTAGGAGAGGTCTAGTTAAGAGCTCAGAGGAAGTGAAGAAGGCCCTACGGTATAGGCACTAGGTTAAAATATGGTTAATATAATATAAGGGATAGTATAACGACTAAAGGAGAGTATATAGTCTTAACTTACAATAGGTAACTTACAACTCTATAAAATAGGGGTTACTAGTAAAAGGGGTACGTTATATAGATCTAATAGATTATAAATTAAGTATATACCCACTATCCTTTATAAGCTGATTAGCTATAAGGGTCTTTATCTATAGATATGCCTATAGGCACGCCCACAGGACTATACCTAAACGCCTATCTTAAGTTAGAATCGAAGGATTTAAAACTCTCAGAATAATAATACAAGCCTTTTAGTAATAGAATAGACAAAATTTAATAATATAAGCTTATAGAATAATAATTATACTAATACTCTTAGAAAGAATTATACCTAAATAAACGATAGAGCGGAAGACAGAAGTAGTATTTTACTTGCAGAAAATAGTTAACATATACCACTGACTTAAATATATATCTTCAAACTGTTATAGCATAATTTAGTAAGTTAACAAAAATACTATTTAATATAGCGTATTTCCATAAAGAATATACTCTAAGTCGTATTATATATATTATAGTTTTTCATTTACTTAGATATTTCAATAAAATCTATAAATGTTGTAGATTATATCTGCAATATTATATAGAGTTGGCAAAACAGGTGTATATAACAGTTATTTATTATACGCAGTTAGCGAGTTATACGTCTATTTTAGGTGACTTTATGCAATAGTGGGCATCGTGGGCATACCTACGATAGGCATGCCCATAGGCCGTGGGCGTCATGGACGGGCACTCGAAAATCCAAATAGCCCACCGCCCACTGTGGACAGGCGATGGGCACCTCCTAGGTGTCTATGGACGGGCGATGTCGCAGTCTAGGTAATATACTATTAACTTTATTTACTATCTAACAACAGAAATTATAATATCTAATATTATCTTCGAATCTAGTATCTTAACCTAACTCCTTAAGCACCTACTGATTTAAATTATAGGTTATTAGTAAAGACCTATCGAGTCTATAGCTATATAGAGTACGTTTAAGATATTAAAGGAAAGGTATATTAAGAACCTTAGGCTTCTACTAGATAGGAAGAGATAGATTACCTCTTAGAACTTATAGCCACTAAATAAGCTCTAGTATAAGGTTAGTATTAGTAAAAGCTCTATCACAGAAAGCGAACGTAATAATCTAAGCTATTAGGTAATATACTAGTTAATAATCGCTATATATAAAGAATTTAGTTTTATTAGTAAGGATTAGTATCGAAGCTACTTTATAAGAAATTTAAATTAAAGTTTTAGCTTACTTATTAGCGCCTTTTAGTTAACCTTTAAGATTACGAAATTCAATAATAGTATAAAGGATATTACACTTACTTTAAAGGTCTTTTAGGTAGAAAAGTTCGATATCGCGATAGTAGACTAAGTCTAGAAGATCTTTTAAAGAAATGTACTTTAGAAGATCACTTTAGAAGGTATTATCCCGTTTATATTTACTTAAAACTAGATTACTAGGCGATAAGGTATCTTAAGGAAGTAAGATACTAGGTCGTATACCTATAATAGTAGACTAGAGCTAGACTATAGTAAACTAAATAATTATACTTCTATAATAAAAGAATCTTAAATAGATCTAGTAATACTAGTAAATTATACTAAAAGTATCTATATCTAGAGTATTTTTGTCCTTTATTTATTAGGGAATTTTACACTCAGCTAGGAATATACTTATAAGAAACTTTTTTAAGGTAAGTATACTTTATTTAGGAATAGATAGGATATAAATTACTTATTATATTTATTAATAGGTATTTTTACTAACGCGGTAATAAGCGAATAGCTTAAAGTATTAGTAAAGGTATCGCTAGTATTTATTATATAACTAAAGTAGTTTCTTTTATAATATTTTGAATATCTAATTAAAAAAGTTTATATAGATTATTTAATCCTTTAAAAGAAGAAAGTCTATATAATCTTTATTCGATTAAATATAATATCTATTCTTATATTATTCTTAGTTATAAGATTTTTCTTAACTAAGTAAGTACTTACTTTCGCTAATAATGTTTAACGATAGCGATACTTTTTAAGGTCTTTAGCTTAAAGTTTAGAGGGAGTTATCTAAGACTACGAAAATATTCTAGTTTAGCTTAAGTTTCTTTATAAAGAATAGGATCAGTCTAGTATTAGTATTTATTAGTTTAAGCCGGATATATAGGTATAGGTACTATAGAGGAGGTTAGATATAAATACTAGGGTAGAAAATTTGTATTATAGGAAACGATAACATTAAGGTTAGCTTAAGGTATAGGTAACGAGGATAAGAGAATAGGAGGTATAAGGACACTAGAAGGGAGGGAAGGCGAAGTATCTTATAGGCGCTTAAATAGACTAGGCGAAAAGGGAGGGGAGTTAGATTTAGCTAAAGGGGAGCTATTTTCGGCGTCGTTTTAGTCACTAGTGGAAACGAGGGGAATAACTGTATAAGTCGAGCGTCAATATTAGGACCGGAGGATAACTAAAAGTGCTGGGCGGGTGCAGAATAGTGGTATTACAGGGCAGTAGGCGGTTAAGGGGCGGCTAGACGTCCAAAGTTACGGGTGGAAAGGCAGCCGTTTCTAGCCTCATAAGCGGTCATTTTCGGCGTTAATCCCACAGGTCCTCATATTCTAGTTGTAATAATTTTTCTGATAATTTTTAATAAAAGATAATTATCAGATTAGTAAAATAGCTCTTTCTGAATAGGGCAATATATATGGCTGTTGAGTGACAAGTAGTTGAAATTCAGATATCAAAATAAATTGTCATTATATATAGTGGCCCCGGGGGAGCTAGTGGTTCCCATACTGAACTGGCGATCAGAATCTCTATCATGACTTTGAAAATTGGCCACACTCTATGAAAAATACTTACGGATATAGTTTCATAATATATTACATTGGGCTTCCAATTATAAATAAGATAAAAAATAAATAAAAGTAGGTTACAATATAAATTCATCGAGAGAATAGGCTTCAAACTCGGTCAGTTTTGGTGGGAAAATGGGCAGTGGGTAGATACTTAGTAGCAGGGTCTGTATTTATGAATATACGTATTTCAAGTTCAAATTGTTCTGCATTCCAATGCTTCATTAAATCGAACCTCTAGATCTCTATACCATAAGCACGCAAAGCAACAGATCCCCATACACCCATCTTCTGTTCTTCAGACAGTCCCCTCCGTTCCAAAATCTCCTCCACCACACGTCTCCATCTACCCCAAGCAACATCATTCCCACCACCCCCAATATTGCAAACCGGCCAATCCGATCCAAACATAACACGCTCCGCGCCGAAAGCATCAAAAACAACATCAGTCCACGGCTGCACACGATCAACAATAGCCCCAAAATCCACCTCCTCCTCCTCCAGCGGTAAAAGCTCCGAGAACCCCCCAGAAAGCTTCATATAAGTCCTCTTCTTCGCCATCTCACTCACAAGATCCTTCCACTCAAGAAACTCAGAATGAGACCGAACATCCTCAACCTCCAACCGAAGATTCGGCTTGCACAAATGATCTATACAAGTCAGCAGCCGCCCAACCCAACCCAACCACAAAAAAAGGAGAAACATACTAATAACAATCGTAACCCCCTCCCCCTCCGCATAAACCAACCCCATCATCTCAACCGCCTCCCTCAACTGTCCCAACCCTCCAGACCTAGCATCAACCCCAAGATCGAAAACCAACCCCTCCCTCCCCAACCACCTCAACCCATCAACAAACCCATCCCCAGTCATCGTCCCAGCTTCCTTATCCTGAACTAGATACCGAACACCCCGAACCTTCCCCCAAACATCACCCGTCCGCTCACGCACCTGCTGCATATACGCGCTCAGCGCGTCCGGTCCGCCGGGCACAGGCGCCCACGGCACAATGCCCAGACAGAGGTCCTTGTCGCTTGGGACGTGGCCTTCGTCTGGGATTGGTGTGCCGCGGGCTATGCGTGTTAGGAAAGAGACTTCGTCTAGGGCGTGTTGCCAGCCGTGGTTTGGTGGGGAGGGGTTTGTTGAGGAGAGGCGGTCTGTTTCGAGGAATATGAAGCCATGGAGAGGGGTTGAGTTTGTTGCGTGGCGGTATTCGTTTACGCTGTGTTGCTTGCCGAGGGGGTTGTTGGTGTTGTGCCAGGCTAGGGTTTTTAGGTGTGTTTCTGGAAAGAGGTGGATGTGAGAGTCGACGATTGGGATTTGCGTCATGATTTTGTTGGTTTTGTTGATATTTGATTTTGTTTCGAATGTGGGGTTTAGTTTATGGGGATTGTAAGATGGGGCGGGGTTGGTACAAAATATTGGGTTCTGGAGATATTCATAGATTGAAATATTTTGGGGGCGAATGTCAAGGAGTGAATGGCTTGACTTGTCTGGATTCGGGATAAAAACCACCGACTTAGTGGAGACTGTAATTTCAGATAAAAAGGTTCAAACTGGTTTTAGCTGGGTTCCACATAAATTCTACAGAACTACAGAGAGTAATATATATAGGACAGAAAGAAATTCATATGCAGAAAGGGTCAGGAGTATACATACACCAAGTGGATAATACCACGAGGGCAACAAAGGGAATGCATCAAGAAACATAAGAGGAAAACAGCAGGAACAGAAGCAAGGTAAAAGGGATGTGAACAACCCCTTCTGCAGTAACACGGCAGAAGGGACAGGGTATGTATGCATGCATGCCTAAGAGGCATACAGTAAAAGTTCAAGGTCAAAAGGAGAAACAAAAAGATAAAAAGTAAAGGTGAACTTCCAAATCGCGACTCGCCAGGTTGTCTTCGCCATCAGGGAGCAAGGAAATGTGAGTAGGACGTAGGACGTGATGCGATGCATGTTTCCCCTAGCACGCCAATACACTCCTCCCAGTTCGATCTATACAAGGTCTGCTCTGCATCCATCAATACTCAAAGCTAGTCATCCATAGGCTTGTCCTCCAGAGTGACTCTGTTGGGTTCACTTTCAGCAATGCTGCTTCGGTTGCTGTCTGTGCCACTTGCCCCGACAGCTGAGCCAGTGGGGAAGCTAGACACGCTACCAAGACCTGGCTTGCGGCTGTATCGAGCGCCAGACGAGCGGGACATAGAACTGCGCTTCTCAAACTCCGTAGACACTGTAGCTGGAGTAGGAGTAGGGGTTGGAGAGCCATCGGAGGCTGTTTCAGGAAGAACAGGAGGGGGGCTGGGGGAGCTAGAGTGGGCGCTGCTGCTGGCAGCAGCCGAGGCAGGAGACTCGGTATACGTGCCGTTGGTAACAGGTTCAGCAACTTCGGTGTTCACGGTAGGAACATCCTCAGATCCAGACTGGGGAGCCTTGCTGGCCGGTACATCGAGACTAGTACCACGGGTGGACCTGCGGTCTGAAGGGCTGCTGACGTTGATCGGGAACCGGCCTATCTCTGAAGCACCACTCGAGCGGTCGCGTCGATGCCGTTGGCGATTGGCGGGACTGGTGGCCCGGCTGCGGTTGACAATGGCTCGTTGACGGGCCTCCATCGCCGCACGACGGTTGCTTTCATCCGTGCTGATAGCGCGTGGACGGTTGGAGCCGGAACTGGTAATCCCAAGCGCACTCGATTGGCGTTTCAGTTCGCCAAAGATGGTGTCCTTGTGAGCAAACAGGTCGCGGATCAGGCGGTAACTGTGGCGCTCGTTCATCGTCAGGCTGCTCTCTATGCGAGGGCGAAGAATGCAAGGGGAAAAGGCCTGTGCCAACGAAGTGATGTATTCTTCGTTGGCCGAGGTCAAATCAATCAAGCGCGTGAAGTGAGTCATAATGGCATCAAGCGTAGCGATATTGACAAGACGGAGTTGTCCAAGGGTGCTCTGCAGCACCTTGATCCGTCCTTCTTCCGTGGTCTCATGAGCAGTGGTGGAATAAATAGTTTTCACGATTTCGTAAACTTGCGAGGAAACCAATGAGTCTACCAGAGGATTAGCATAACCCTATATCAAGCCACCGAGAGAGCGACAAACCTGGCAATTCAAGAAGGTACAATCGTAGAACGCTTGCAATAACTGGGATTTCGAACTGAGGCAACGCCTCGGCATAATCGGCCTTGCTGTTGTTCAAAACTTGACGAAGCTTGTGTGTGATGCTTAGATCAACTTCTGTCAGCCAGATCATTCGCCGTGCTTCGTCGCCTTCAAGTTCAGGGTAGCCTGTAAGATTTGTCAGCGTTGATTCATACAGGTGAATCCGAACATTTCCATGGGTCTCTTACGGTTATCCAGGTAGGTCAGAATGGTGGTCACCAGGATGGGAACACGTTTGCGGTCAGCACGGGCTCTAGCTTCAAGGTCGACACCAAAGTTTTGTTCTGTGAAACTAATTAGCAACGTTTCATCTATGGGTGCTGGCAATGGTTGTACCTTCAACGGAACCATAGTAGTTCTCGTATGCTTGGATCTTAGGTGCGAATCCACCAGTGCGGTAGTTCTCCAGCAGATATCTCAAGTCACCAAGGGGCTGAATTGTTTCCTGATATAGCATCATATGGTCCACTGTGCTCTGCAGGTTGGGAATGACATTGCTGATCGCGCCCGAGAAGTCAAGAACCACGGCTTTAATGGCCTTGAGGCGATCCAGCTCGCACTGCTCCATATATTTGAGCTGCCCGATAACCTCTTCCTCCAGCCGACAGCGGATCTGGTCAAGCTTGCGAACGGCAACCTTGTACCGTTCGTCAGCTTCCAAGGCCTCCCTCCGGAGCTTCTCCGAGGGTGTCTCGTTGGGGTAAGGGTTGTTGAGTGGATTCCAGCCAGACAGAATCTCGGAGACAGATGCGATGGGCGAGTCGCTGCCGTTACCATCATCACTTGATGCCACTGAGGTGACACGCATGAGAGGCTTCTTCTTTTCTGGGATACCGGTGATTTGGAAAACCTTAGGACGCCACTGATAGTTCATCTTGGAGCTATTGGCAAAGACATTGCCCATATTTCCAACCAAGCGAAGAAGACCGTTGTCTACCATATCCTGACCAATTATCTCCACTTGAGCGAGATTGTCGGCCTCCATGTAGGTTTGGATATATTGCGCTATATCCGCGCCGGTGGATACATTCAAATAGGTGCCGATAATGGGAACCTTCGCCTCGCCAAGCTTGATGTTATCAAGCATATGGGTAAGGAGCTTTTTGAGGTGGTCAGGCGGGAAAACACGCTCACCCAACTCGATGGGGTCTTCATCAGGCTCTTCGTCGACGGGGAGAACGATCTTCGGGGTGGCTTTGATCTTGGGGCTCGACTCGGGGTCTTGAAAAGCAAGCTTGTTTTCCTCTTCCAGGTCCTCGACGACACGACACTTGTTGAAGTAAGTACTGCGCAACTTCCTTACCAACTCCGCCTGCTTGGTATGTTCCTTGATGCGGGACTGGAGGTGGTCATGCGAATACTGAACACGCATTTCATGCTGCTCAGCCCAACGCCGGAAGGGCGATACAACTAATTCACGAATATTGTTGGCGATCTTCTGGTGGTTCTTGGAGGCCTCGATCATCTCGGTGCGCACTCCTTCGTATGCCTGTAGCGAGGTTTCCTTGACGTCAGTCTTCTTGCACTCCGGTCCATTCCATGCGTCTGGAACCAACCTTTCTAACACTGGCACCATCGTCCTTGCCGAATCCCATTGCCGTCATTCTATCCACGCTCGGAGCGATGTCTCCCATGCGGAGTCCATACTGCTCTTCTGCTTCTGCACGCATGGACGCAATGGCCAGGATCTGCTTGTTCTCCACAACTCCCTGTTGCAACTTCCCGTATAGCACCCCCAGACCCGAAGCATAGTCGGGGGTCCAGAAAGAGTCCGAAAAACCGGGCATTATGGCGGCTAAAAGGCTGAATCGGGCGTCAAGCGGAGACACGTTATGATCGGCGTAAAAAGGGAGAGCGATCCGGCAGTTGACACCGGTGAGTTCGTATGTTCGGGGGGAAACGGGAATCGTAAAAGGGTGGAGAATGCGCGAAACTGGGAGTCAATCGGAGCAAATTGAGGTTGGGCGACCACTGTGGCGCTGGGTTTGTGATATGACCAAGGACAACGAGGTCAGACCAGCTGGCTTGGCTTATAACTCAATATCCAGTCTTGACGCTAGATGAAACTGCGCATAGACCGAGATACCAATGACGAAGGGAAGATCACTTTGGAATGCGAGAGAAGAGAGTGCGCAGGGTGCTAAGCGCCGGGAATCGCGGAGGAATTTGAAGCTAAAAAGAGTGAAGGCCCAAGCGAATTGCGATGCAAGTCAACAAAAAAACAAAAGACAGAAATGGAAAAGATGGAGATGAAGATGGAGAAGATGAAGATTGAGTTGGATTTCCAGATAGGGCGTCATGTGGCTCGTAATATTACGGGGATTTGTGTATATCTGAGACCAATCCCATGGTTACCGCCTAAGAAGAGTCCTTTTGGCTTACAGCGTGGCTCATGTCCCCACTGTCTTTGAATCCACTTGGGCTATTTTTGGGGCTGAAAATTACACTGAGATGGTAATTGGCTGCAAATGTTTAAATTTGGTGTTTTTTTCACTTGAAGAAAAAAAAGGGGGGGGATGTTGACCTTGATGTGTCTGTTTTGTTTACAATTGTATTAACATTCAATGTTGTATGATGTTGTATGTGGCTGTGATCCTTGGCCGAGATGGTACATTTTAATCAAAATGTGTTACAGAATATGGAGAGTACAATATATTGTGGCACCCTACCCCCTAAGTCGTTGATCATGACTTCCTTCCCCCCACAGATATGCCAAGGCTTGAGAAGATCTTCACATCTACGCTGGAGTTTATGCATAAATGTATGAACGTTTCATGTGATATTCATAGAAAAATTATGGTATCATGATTATCTTTAAAAAAGCTTTCATGGAGGAAAAATCAAGATGTAGTACATAGAGGGAGATGTCAATAAAAGAAAAGATAAAACATCTTAACAGAAGAACTTGTAAACCTTCTTCCACTTAGGCCAGTTCCTCTGTTCGGCGAGCTCCTGCTCAACCAAATGCTGAATATCAAGGTCGCGACGACCGGTGACCAAGTCCACATCGGCGGAGGCAACAAATCTGGTCTTGTACTTGATCTTATAACCGATATAGCAAATTAGAACCACGGGGGCGGCCAAGTAGACAGAGAAGAATTTCTCGCAAATCTCCCGGGAGTTCATGTCTGCGTAACCAATGGGGGCGAAACCAACCCAGAACTGAGCAATCAGCACGAGACAATTGAAAATGAGACCAATCCACGAGCCAATGATGCCAGGCTGGGAACGGAATGCAAGCTCATCCAGGCTGTGGCCCTGTAGCTTCCACGCGCGACGGAAGAGGATGTGAGCACCACACACGGAACCCCAGGTGAAAATAGAGGACAGACCCGAGATGGCCATCATCCAGGAGAAGGCTTCACTCTGCACGGGCGAGGCAGCGAGGTAGGAAAGCAGACCCAAGACAGATGCAAACAGAAGGGCGGGGAGGGGACGACCCTTGCGGTCGATGTATGCGAAGATCTTGGGGGCCTGGCCCGCCTCGGCAAGGGCAGCAAGAGTACGCGAGGATCCATAGACGGAGGAGTTACCGACAGACAGGACTGCAATCATGATGACGACGTTCATGATCGAAGGCAGAACTTTGATTCCTGCGTTCTCGATGGCAATGACGAAAGGAGAGGCCTTAATATCGGCGGAGGAGGAACCGCTGAGAAGTCTGGGTTCGGTATATGGCACCAGGAGGCCGACGATGGTAAGGGAAACCACATAGAAGAGAGCAATACGCCAGAAGACCTGCTTAACGGCAGTCGGAAGGGACTTGCGGGGGTTATCGGTTTCAGCGGCGGCAAGACCGACAAGTTCGGTTCCAGCAAAGGCAAACGCGGCATTAACGAATACACTGCAGAGACCCTTGAAGCCGTTGTTGAATGCACCTGGGTTGTACCAGTACTTGGCGCCGATGTATCCACCTTGGGGGCCACCGCCGCAGTTGAGGACGATTCCAAGGATGCTAATAGACATGTCAGTGAGATGTCCAAGTTTCAACAGTAACATAACTTACATGAAACCAATAACGGCAATGACCTTGATGAGCGAGAAGACAAATTCCGCTTCACCATATCCTCGCACGCCGAACAAATTGATCGAGACAATCAAAACCCAGAAGATGGTTACCCAAGCGGCGTTTGAAACACCTGGATTCCAATAATCGACTGTGATGGAAGCAGCGACGATTTCCAAGGGCAGGACAATGAGCCACTGAAGAGCGTAGTTCCAACCCATAGCAAATCCCCAAGCAGGATCCACGAAACGAGTCGAATAAGTGGCGAAAGAACCGGCAACGGGGAAGAGAACAGCCATTTCACCCAAGGCGTGAACGGTACAGTAAAGCATGGCTCCAATCAAAATATAGGCGATCAATACCGAGGCTGGACCTCCGACGGCCAAAACACTTCCAGAACCGACGAAAAGACCAGTACCTACATAGAAAATGGAATTAGCGCGACTTCAATCTGAGAGAAGAATTAGAACATACCAATAGAACCACCAATAGCAATCATCTGCAGATGACGACCCTTCAAGCGGCGCTGCAGCGGGGAGTTAGCCGTATTATGGGCGGCAGTCTCGATATCGAAGCCAGCGCCATCAGCTCCAGCACCGCCAGAGACGGTGTGGTTGGGGTCTCGCTTGAAACTAGACATGAACCGTTGACCCATGCTTTCCTGAGTGGGAGACGAGTGGCCATAGGCTGGGGGACCATCCGACCCCGTTTGGACGGTGGTCGCCTCAAACTTCTTCTCCTCCATAATTTGTATGTGAATGTGTTTCTCTTCAAGTAAGTATTAACCAAAATGAATCGAAGTATCTATCTGTTTGACCTAAAGATGACAGGTCTGAACCAACAAGGTGAAACAAGTACAAGGTTGACTGTTTGGGAGGGGGAGACGAGGGTATAAATACGACCAGTCTAATTTCAGATAAAAGCGACATAAATTATTTTACGTTCAATATAATCAAAATTAAATTAAATCAAAAGAACGCAAATCTATCTGCTTTCATGCGCTTAGACCAACTAGGATTTCGCACTAGGAGTATTTCAGACTCCAATCTTCTGATGACCTTGGCACTGGGTAACGCCCCCAAGTCCAAAGCAAATTATCTCTCTTTTTTTTTTTAAGAAAGAAAATAAAATAAAATAAAATTATTTAATTCGATAATTTAGTCTTTAGTGCTAAAAAATGATGCTCAAGACTATAGTACATAAACCAAGAGCTGCAAACGGTCTTGACTAGCATGTAGAGCGGAAGATAAGAAACGTGGAATCTCATGTTTCACCCGACTTATCTTATTGTTTTGGGACTAGAAAGGTAAAACCAAGGGCTAATTGAACAGGGATATGCCCAAGTGGAACCCCCTGGACATTACTTTATCTCTCGCGTGATTTAGCCTTGATAGAAATGGGATGATCTCGCCCCCATATACTTAATATGTATACGCCTTCCCTCAACTCGTATTACACAGTCATGCTGACAGTAAACGACTCTATCTAACCTTGGAATATATCATGATATTTCTTTGCCAAGGTGGACTTGGGGGAAAAGCCAAGCTTCTGGAGCCCAAAGACGGCAAATCCCCAGATCCACTAAACCCCATCTGTCGGTCTCTCCGCACTCCTACCCGTGGACGATAAGTCGATCATTACCCAATCAGATCACACTCGGAAGATAAGGAGCTCATATTTCCTCTCTTACAGGCGAACTCTTTCCCCCCTAATATCTCTCAAGTTCCAGAATACCTTATCTTTATATTCTTAACTTTGAATAAAAATTAACCTTTTGAAGGAGGCTAATAGATTAATGTACTCTGTACTCCGTACGGACCGTTGGGACTGAAGGAATCCTTTTTCGATTTCATCCCTTGCCTATGGGAAGGCTTCCCGACGGACCCCGTTCCTGTGGCATGCGCTATGGGCCCCAGTGATATATGCGTGCAATGCCATATGGCGAGAGAAAATAGCCCCACTGAGGCTGGCCTTTCACAATTGACTTTCCTTGATCACCTCGGTAGGTATATTCTCTTGGCCTGAGAAAACCAGAACAAAAAAGATTGCCTCGCCTCGGTCGGCTTTGCTGCTATCGGCTGACATGAGCTCTAGTGGTCCCCGGGGGATAAGGGATGGCGCCACGAAATCCTGGATTTCGTGTTTTCGGGGCGAGGGCGCTTACTTGAGTGGCTCGTGGCGGTCTACCTGTGATATGCATGGAAGCACGGGAGAAGCGCAGGAAGCTGGGAGGGTGTGTTGGGGACTCGACACTATCATGTGGTGTTTATTAGAGATTGTAATGATTGGCCTACCGTCGTCGCGTCAACTAAGACACTCGTATTTTTTTTTTCGCTGGGCAACCTGGAGAACACGTCGAGTGAGAAGCTCTGGTAGGTCGAAGATTATACCCTCGCATCCTGGGGGGTCCGCGAATAGACTTTCATGGACCAGTAGCTGAATTCGGACATCCATGAAATCTTGGAAGCAAAAAAAGACTAATCACATTTGGCGAACGTTGAGATCTCAAAGTGCTCAGATCTCAAGGTGTTCGTAATCGCGTGACTTAGAAGCTCTACTAAATCGGAATGGAGGAGAAACCAGCTCCACCAGTCTTATCTTGACTGTCCACATTGAGGGTCAAATGCATCACCAGTTTCTTAGATAGGGGATTGCTTCCTCTTTACTTTGGTACAAAGATAATAGGGGCCAAAAAAAAAAGGCGCAAGGTTCTCGGCCTTGAGCTGAGTAGTATTTATGCTTGACTATCAGCCACTCAAGCCTTCCCCAGTTGATGGCGCGCAGTAGCTAATTTTACTGGCCACGCTCCCGCAACAGATAGCCACGGTAACATCGGGTTGGGTTGGCATTTGTGTTCCGGTGACTGGACTGGAGCCAAGGCCGATTTGTCCTTTTCAATTTAAGTGAGCGGCTGCGCCCGAATGGTACTTCCTTACGTGGAACGGACGAAATACGAAATGGAATACAACATTGCTGCCTACTAAGTAAAATTCCAGAAATTTACGAAATCTGTCGCACAAAGTTAAATGAACACACAACCTTGGAACCCAGGGGATGTTTGTAAGGTTATTTGTTGGGTTCCCAAGGATCAACAGTACCCCGCAAAATCCGGAGTCCTCCGGGCTAACGTTTCGTTTTGAGGTTACTCAAGCCGATGAAAATCCCCGTAAATGAACATAAGCCCGGACCAAACGCAATACGGTCTTTTGCCACATAATGGTCCGGCATCAGGATGTACTCCGTCCAACGATTTTACTCCGTTCTACTCTTTTTCGGCATCTTCCATAATTTCCGAAACCCGAGAGCTCCGCATTAAAATGTATTGCCATTCTCCTCGAACCTCTAAAATCCCTATGAGGGTTTGAATCCAACTTGAACTAAACACATAAATTCGAAGTTGATATTAGGTGCATATAAAATGTGGGGGTGAACATTCTGTTAGGTAACAGTTTCCACTCATTGGAATCTGGGGAAAAAGGCGGCACAAAGACACTTTGAGGGAATTCTTGGGGTAAAATGTGAATAATCGAATATCCATGGTCCATCTGGTGGAAACCCCTTTTCCTGTGACACCATCACTTTTTCAACGTTTTTGGGCGTATTCTGCTTTTGGTTCCTGGAAGACCCTTGTAATTCATGTGAGCTGTAGCTCCCCAGATTCCTACATGCCGCTAGTACTAGACCGGTTTATGTCTAGATCTAGTTACTTGTACGGAGTACGGTGGCAATATACCTATAATAGTGTACAGCAGATGATCACACCCTAATTGGCTACCTAGGTATCTCTACGTAGTGTTTTTCCTCTCCCGGGTAGGCATTTCCTATCTTGGCTGCCGCCGCTTTTATGAGGGCACTCAGAGTCCGACTCAGAAAATCCTAGACCCACTGAGCGCTCCCTGAGTGTGCTTGATTACTCAGGGCATGTAGGTCGGTGGGTTGGAAGCAAAACGCATTTCCAATTGTCTTTCCTTTTTTCTTCTCTGACCCTACTGGCCTTGGACGGTAGAATTTATCACTCGCTGAAGCTGTTTTGTCTCATCCGACGTAACCTCCAGGGCTGCAAGCATGTATTTAGTAAGCCGGGAGGGCGCAAAGACCGATCACATCCGTGAATGTGTCACCTTTCGCGTGTTCCAAACGCCGACTCGCGACATCATATAGATGAATTGGTCATCTCAGAGGGTTTCTTTTAAGGATATGGGGACATTGGAAGCATAGGAGTAATACAAAACCCGTGGACGAACCTACCATTTTCGCATTTCCTACCATATAACTCTTAGCAATTATGGAGACCGTTCTAGTCATCGGAGCCACTGGAAATATCGGTGTCTCAGCCGTCACCGCTGCCTTGCGCTCCAAGCGCAATGTCTTGGCCGTTGTCCGCAATCAAAGCTCAGCAGATAAACTCGTGAAGCACATTGGGTCATCAGAGGGGATCACTTTCGTCGAAGCCAATGTTCTCTCGGACTCGGGAGTGAAGGGTGTCGTTGATCAAGTCCAAGCCGGCAAGCTCCCGGCTTTCCAGCATGTGTTCTCCAGTGGTTGGTTCACAATTCCCCAGCCAACATTCACTACTGATACTTTTTAGTTGGCGGCGAGTACACTGCCACTCCCCTCCCGGAGATCACTACCGAGCAGCTACGGAGGAACTTTAACAGTTCCTTTGAAGCCAATTTCTGTACGTCCTTGCTACCTTAATAACCTCATGCATTTCTAACAAACCTTGCAGTCGCCTATCGGGATACCATTAGATATCTGCTCGAAAAGAAGAACCCTATCAGCACATGGACCATTTGTACCGGATCCCAGGGCGATGTGGCGACCCACGCAGTGCCGGCCATGACACAAGGCGCCTTATTCCCCTTCACCAAGGCCGCCGCCCGTGAGAACGAGTCGACGAACGTCCGTTTTAACGAAATCTACCTTAGCTTCCGCGTTGAGGTGGATACAGACGCGGTGCAACATGGCGTTACGAAGGCATCAGACTTTGGAAATGTCTACGAAATGATCTTGGAAAATCCCGAAGTCCGCAGCTCGCGCGTCCGGGTTGACGACGTTGATGATCTCAAAAAATTGAAGTACGAGAAGAAGTTCTAGTCCTACTTCTCGTTGACATATACTGGAGTCATACATATAATCCACAGCTAAGACATCTTTTACTTTCAAATTTAAAGCTCTATGCCGAGATATTGCGTCGTTAAATAACTGGTCACAAATGAAGATAAACTTCCCAAGATCTGGTAGCCTGAAGCTACATAGTAAATATATTCCTGCGCAAAGTGATTTTATTCCAATACGTGCCACCCCGGTTGGAGGTATTTGAAATTGAACATGAAATATCAAGCAGCTTCAACAGGCGTAGCTACCTAGATAGCCGACTGGCTTTCTGGATAGGAGGCAAATAGAATGGAAGAGGTCAATTTCTTACATTTTGTGCTAATTCGTAAAAAGGTGTCAGGCAACGTGGATATTTAGTGTGTCCACCTATGAACCCTGGAATCTCAATAATTTTTGCTCCTAGTTCAAAATTCCAGTGCGGTCGGTGCATTTGATCCTGTCGGAACGCCGACTGCATGTGATACTTTGCTAAGGTTGACCCCTTCTAGCCCAGATCCCTCGTCGCGGTATTCATCAGCGCCACATCAGGCCAAAGCTCAGTGAGCAAAAAGCGGCAAAGCCTAAGCACTAAAACGGAAAGAGATAGCCAAGAAGTGAGGAAATCTACTTTCTACGTATCCGCGAAGGTTCAACATGATTAATCTCCACTTAACAGCACTCGACTGGTTAGCAATTTAACACGCCAAATGCGGGGTAGTTGGAGGCGATTTGGAGTCCACTTCGTTAGTATATCATGATATCATGAAGAATTGCCCGATCAGCATTGGCCTCCTGCTCGTATGGGATTGCCCCAGATCTTGTTAATACCCGGCAATAAACTGTAAATAGCGGGCGGCGACCGGAATTAGCCGTTGATAAGCTGAATTCAGGTAGAGATGACCTGTGGTTGGAGAGCTTATCTTGGACTAGTGGTCCGAGTCCTTTGGTAGGCTGTGTCGATTATCCCTGCATGTCTTGTCTCAGATATCATTGGAGGCTGCAGCTTGCCCCTGTAGGCGGACCGTGCTGCGGAAGATGCCCCTGGATTGTAGGTAGTTGACTATCGCTGCGACGAAGATCCTGAGGTTAAGGACACATTCTCTTGTGTGTTGACAACAGCTTCTTCTCCCTCTTACCCCAATGCTGGGCTACGTGCAACGGGGCTCAGAATAAAGGCGGAAAGAACAAAAGCACGCTTGGCATGGAGGTTCATTCATTCAACGATTTTGCTCTATTTCGTTGCGTTCGGTATCATTAATACACAAGTTTTAATTTCATCACGGCAAGAATTAGGTATCTCAAGCTCATGAGCTTGCCACGGGGCCTTCACCACCGGGGATCAACTGGTTGAAGAGTTAATAAAACACCCGGATGGACCCAAGATGAATTCAACTTACCATGCAGATGTTGTTTCCATTCAGCAAGAGCTTGGGGAGCTTGATTTGCGCACCGGTGTAGTCGCTGAGAGGAAGTCAGTATAGGGAGCAATCACAACGGTTACTTGTCGTGAACTTCGATAAACAATCCGCAGATTCAGATGGATATCAATGAACACTGCTCAGTGGTGTGAAGGAGCCAAGGCAACTGAATACAGCCACAGAAAGAAAAAGAGTAGTCAAAGCTGGGAAAATCAGAAATCTAACACGTACAACTCTGTCACATCTTCCATGACCATGTCTAAATTGAAGTTAGTGCCTGGTGAGATCGTCGCACTTCTTATACAGGGATACTCACTGACGTAGTCATCGAATCCGAGCAAGGTTCCGGAGAACTCTTCATAAGAATTAGCACACTGATTCGGGTCCAGTATCAACTGAATTTGAGCTGACCTTTGTCGCCCTTCATAACTACCCAAATTCGGGAGCCAACACACTTATCAATGAGCTCTATCAAATGAGTTAGTGGGGTCATGGTTTTCTTGGGTCATTAGGCACGCACCAAGGGGAAGTAGCTGAGAAGCCATGATTTCAGAAGATGGAAAATATGGGAGCTTAAGCAATGTTTTCTTCGGTGGTGTCTTATTTGGAAAACAAAGGTGATTAAACAATCCGCGTGAGCCAGTGCGATATAGAAAAGGACGTGATCGTTTGTCGCTCGGCATCCCTGATGATCCGGCCCGAGCGACTAAGCCAAATAAGGTTTAGAGGCAACTTTCAACTTAGTTCTCCGCAACATGGGGGAGCTATCCTGATCCTTAATTTACTGCTTTCAATTTTGTTGATTGCACATATACTGAGACACTATTTGTTATCCATCGAATCGGTCGTCTTCGATTGCTTCGTGGGGTTCTAGTCTGGTCCACTATGATTGTCACACATTATGCCAATGCGGCCGAACCTTTTAGCAAGTCGGAGGACCCAATCTTCGATTGCAAAACATAGCGGTTTCTCCGACAGAGCAATATCCAATGGGTCGCTGCGATGGGGACTTGTTGAGCGGCAGCGGTAAGCACAATATGTTTTATTCAGCTCTAATGGCTGTTTTTCTAACTCAACTACAGTGGTCACTATACTTGCGAACGATCTGTCTCAAAGCTCCGCTATGTGTCCTTGCCAAATACAAGCTCTTCCCGCCCACCTCTTATGCCCACTCAATCAAAGCGGAACTTCTCCAACACTACTCATAAAGAAGGCATATGGGATGACGACGATGAAGTCCCAGAGCCAACCCCCGTGCAACGACTTCCAGGCCGGCCGACTTTTGTGCGCTCTGTCCAACATCGAGACTTACGCAGCTTGATTCGATCGAGAGTAGAGGGGAAAAATCGAGTTTCTGAACGTCTGCGCATTGAAAAGCAGGTCAATTCGCTACCTTCATACCACGGACTTGTTGACAGTTTTATCCAATTGAAGTACAAACACGTTGATGAACTTCTTGCTGAATCCGCTAAGACAACTCAAAAATATGCGGCTGAATGGGAAAGCCGGTCAAACTTTATCAAGGCGCAGTTTGTAACTATGGTCTCAAACGCAACGGATTCAGTTCTACAGGCAGAGAAAATCACCCAAGGGTATATCGCCGAAGTGACTGGTCTTTCATCTTCCATACTGGGCCGAATACAGGCTGCTGTCACAGATGCAGAGAAGATCACTCAAAAATATATCGCTGAACTTATGGATCTTTCGTCGTCTATACTGCGCCCGGTACAGGCTGCTGTCACAAAAGCAGAGAATACCGGTCGAATGATTGATCATGATTTCTGTTGCATTGCATTTGCTAGGACTCCAGGATTGCGGGATGAGGTGCAGATATCCGCCCGGACCATCCGTGGTTGGAGGAAGTCTTTCCATACGACTCTGATGACACTCTTGGAACCTTTGGTCAACATTTCTGAGCTAGCAATCCGTGAATGGAGTGACACTATCAGGGATGATTATCTGATACCCCGGAAATCCGCAAGAAGCCGAATTAAACAAGTTCTTCATGAAAGCGAGCTGATTGATAAGACCTATGTCGAGTTGCGACAGAAATCCAATAACGTAAGGATTTTCGCCATCAGGGACCTTTGCTTGGATCTTCAACGGCACACGGACCTTTCTTTGGCCAATAAACAGGTGTTTATGCAGTACGGAGAAATCCTTCAGCGCTGTGGTGCCGAATTAAGTTTATCTGCGCATTCCTACCGTGCAGTCTGGCTCAGAAAGCAAATGGCTTTCCATTCACTTCGAAAAAGTGAACTATGGAATTTGCATGATTTCACGGCGGCAGTTTCGTCAGCACGTTCTTCTAGAGCTACTGACTCGGGTATCGTACTTGCGCTTGGACTAGGCGCGTCAAAGAAGTCACCGGCAGGTCAGCACTTACACAACAGTGCGCGCCTGATATCCAACAAGATCCGTCTCCAATACAGGCATCTTTGGACGCCAAAACCGGCACGCAGCTCCGAGCTACATATCTACTGGCGACAGTTGGACGTAATAGCGCCACTACACATGACCAATGTTATCACATGGCGGCTTCAAAATGAAGTTTGGTACCTTCACCACAGCCTCAGAGGCGATTGTGGAGATTTATGGAGCTGGGTCCCTCGGGAGGCTCTGCAGCACCACGTTTGGAAAGTGGCCGACTGGTCCGTAAAATTCCAGGAACATCGCGGCGAGCTTCGAAAAATGACCGCTAATTACATTCATATAAACTGGCTGCGTCTTCAATCAGAAACCTTGCTACACTCAATGGGAGAACCTGCTTATCTTGCTGGAAAGTTTGAAGTCCTCGATCCAGTGAGCCAGGATATCGACCGCTTCAAGCAATGGGCCGATCGCATGGGCGAGCTCACTACGGAAGCGCATAGTTTCTTAATCGCCGCCCGGATGTCACGAAAGGCGTGGGATTTCGTCCACAGCAAGATTCACCGCACGATTGGGAGTGCTTTCGCTAACCCCAAGTTTTTAGAATTGGGTTCTTCAGAGCACAAGCCCAGGCGTAGGAAGGGACGAGAGGGATCCGGACCCCGTAAGGTCAAGGCTGCTTTGATCAGATCCCCTCAAAGTCGTTTTTGGCGATATACTAAATGGCAACTGTCGAGCAATCCCGAGTCTCCGCCTGCCAGTCAGGATAATCTGGTGCCTGCTCAGGATGTGAAACCCTCTAGACCTGCCTTGAAATGGAGAAGAAGGAGGGGGCCGAGGAAGAATAATCCGTCAACACCAAAACCGGAGGACCACACAACAGAGGGCAAGCTTGTAACCAAACCACTCCCAGTTGACGCACCTATCGGCCAGGACAATCAGGAGGACAGGCCGGTTAGCTACAAGCCATCACCCAAACCCCGGAAGAGAAAATATATGAGTTACAAAGTGCCCGAGCCCAACCCGTCCCTCGTCAATGCGCCTGCTAGCCAGACAAATCAAGGAGGGAGCCAGGTTCTTTCCAAACCGCCACCCATACCCTCGAAGACCAAAGAGGTGAGCATCAGCACAGAGTCACATGTTGAGGGCCTCCGTCCACCAATCCCAAGAGAAACCAGTAATGGGAGCCTAGGTACACGGACACACGACGGACTGCGACCGGCATCTATGCTACCGAGGAAACCATTCTCTAAACCAGAACCAAATCATGGGAGAAAGTATAGCACAAATACAGCCTACCAAACGAAACTTCGGCAAGCCGGGAGTGTCAGCGATGATTCACTGCCCGAACGGCCAGTTGAAGATGCTCTGTCTTCTGTCCCAGCTACCACGACCGCAGATGAGTCCGGATTTATTGAAGAAACCGATTCCGCAGTTGAACCATCCCCACCATCGGATATTAGATTTAATGCCAGCAATCTTACAACCCCCCAGTTCTGGAGCCATAGTTCGCACCAAAGCCCCGAAGGCCGCAAACTTATTGTCCATTATTGCCGGACCCTTCAAAGTACCGAAGATGCCGTGCAACACTTCCTCGGGAGCAAGGTCATTGGATTCGATATGGAATGGAAGGCTCAAGCATCCAGCTGGGACAGCATTCAGAGCAATGTCTCGGTGATCCAAATCGCAAACGAGGAGCGTATCGCCCTCTTCCAAGTTGCGCTCTTTAAGCCTGCGCGTTCTCTGGATGACTTAGTCTCTCCTTCATTGAAACGCCTCATTGAATCTCCCGATGTCATCAAAGTGGGTGTTGCAATCAAGGCAGACTGCACCCGGCTGCGCAAGTATCTCGGCATCGATGCCAGAGCCACCTTCGAGCTCAGCCATTTGTACAAGTTGATCAAGTACGGCAAAGACAACCCCAAATTGGTAAACAAGAGGGGCGTTAATCTCAGCGAGCAAATAAACGAACATTTCGGTCTCCCCCTCGAGAAAAGTGATGATGTCCGCTGCGGTGATTGGACTCGGCCTCTGAGTTACCGTCAAGTCCAATGTGAGTACTTAAAGACCTGCGCAATCTCTTTCCTAAAATTCTAACACTGTCTTTTCTTCTCTAGATGCTGCTACCGATCCGTATGCTTGTGTTCGTTTATTCCATGCCATGGAGGCGAAAAGACAAGCCATGAACCCAGTGCCGCCTCGTCCCGCATATGCTGAACTCAACCAGCCCATTGTTCTTCCACTTGGACAAGCAGTCAACAGCGACGAAGACCCATTGACATGACCATGTAGATATGGATGCATACATGTACTTACGTTTGATTGTCCCCTACATACCCCACTCTTTTTGATTTGCAACGATTTCAGAGCATTTATTTGTACACTTTCAGGCACGAGAGGTCTTTTGCTTTTCTTCTTTTTTTTCGGTGCTGTATTTAAACAGCGTGCATCTTGATTTGATTTACATTTGCATTCTATTTCTACATTATACCAGGAAATGCATATTGACCAGCTGTTCCATGCGAAGATTCATGCTCGAATAAGATAGAAGGGGGTATATTTAACCAAAAATAAGTGTATAAACAATTATCGGCTGTTCAATGTCTTCGGCAATATCCACGAAGATTACTAAAGCATCAGCCTAGAACTTGTTACCTTAACCACATAATTACCCTCTTAGAGGCAACACCTTAGACAGTAAAACCTCCTGTCGGCAGAGCGGGCACTCAGGCTTTTCACCAACCCAATCCCGAACACAAATCCAGCAAAAGACATGTCCACAGGTAGTAACACTAGGATCCTTGAACGTCTCCAAACACAAGGTGCACTTCCGCTGCTGACCCTCAGGGATCCATGCGATAGCACCAGGGTCCTCCTCAAGATCATACAGAGGCACAGACCCAGGAAGAAGAGGGATAGTAGATGGGTTCTGAATCGAAGCGAGGACAGCTCCACCCTGCGATGAAGACCGACCAGCATCTGCAGACTGGCTCTCATCTTCATTCATGCTCGCGCTCAGTTTCCGCGCGTGTAGGAATCCCTGCACAGCAATCTGAAGAACAAGTAACACACCCAACACCTCATATCCGATGCGCTGCTCATTGTCTTCGATCTTCTTTGTGAAAACGTAACGCAAGCGCCAAAACCGCTTGGAGAGATGGTAGTACGAGCCGGTGAAATAGAAGGTTGCAATGCTCAGCGCGTAAATTGGTGACAAGGATGTTATGGAATCCAAGTGTTCAAGTATATATTGCTGGATGCGCAGTTTCGTAAAGAACGGGCGTTTAGTCGGGGTGGTTGAGAATTGGGGTTTGTTGAGCAGGCCAGCCTGCTGCGCCGCTCGTAATTCCTGGCGCGCAATGTTGCGTTCGAGCTTATTGCGGATTCTCTGTCGCAGTGCAGGTAATAGACGCTGTAGTGTCCATGGTACTAGGATGCTGCTGAGGATGTACCCCACGCGACGGCCGATTGACGGTAATTGAAGTGTGTCATCTTCTAGCTGTACAAGGTCGCAGTATTCTTCGCCTAAGGTTCGGTTTCCAATGGCGGTTGTTAGGGTGAAGTAGAGGAGCTCTGTGAGGTGCTTGATGGCGTCGGAATGGGAGTGGGCGTATCGGGCACCGCGGAGAGCGCGGACGATGCCTTGAGATTGTTGGATCAGGCTGCCTGTGAGAAATGCATCCTTTTCATGCGAGCGGATGATGTCTGGTGAGGTTGCGAAAGGGTAGAAATGTGAGGTAGATGAGCCGAGGGCTGAGTTCGGAGTTGGTAGAGAGAGATGGGAGTCGTCATCCGCCATGATGAGTTGTAGGGTGCTGGTAGCGGGATATTAAGCTTGAGTATGACCGTGAATAGTATTTGTTAACTTGGTGTATCCCACAAGACAAGTCACAGGGTCAATTCCCCAGTTTTCATACCTGGAGATAACAATTTCCCTGGAGTGGCCCTCGGATGTCATGCCTCGGTATAGAATCATATCATGTGACTTGATATAGATCACATGACGTCTAGCTAAATGACTAATGCCAATACTAAAATTACGAAAATGACCAAATTACAATACACCGCAAACGGACCCACTTAAGGTACTTCCGAGGTACCTGGCCTTATCGCAGATGAAAGCGGAAGGCTTGCAGTGGCTGAATGTACCTCATTCGGTACCCCCTTTTGCAGAATCCAGGGGTGTTACGTAGCCCACCTCTCTCTTTTCAAAGTTACCTGGGCAGTTTAAAGAGAAATCTTTTTTACTATATTATGATGCCATCTATACGTTCTTATTCTTAGACGTAATTTGAAACCACTTGGGGTTTTTCCTCTTCTCCTGCTTTTAATTAGTTCTAATTATATCCAATTCGACATTGGAGTTCCAGACCATCAGCGGCCTTCCACTAGTCTAGGCGTGTACTGGGATCTCCTCTCCGCTTATTAAACTGCCCTATCGGCTTCACTGAGGAAAAGTCTCAACTTCCGGACTTTCAAAGATCGTCGATTCACCCCTAGTCATTCTTTTTGGTTTATCCACGGGGTTCTTTGTTAATTTGGTCTTTTCTTTTCCCATCTCTCCCTTTCCCCCTCCCCTGATCAATGGAATATGGCGGTTGATCAACATGCTCAATTGGATGCCTTTGGGCTGGTCTTCCCATTGCCGCTACGTATAGCTGCAATCTTGGTCGCTGGTATGTGATATTCCTGTCTCGAATCCCGATTAGGGTTGTTAACACAAGGGGCTAGGTTTCTGGGGATGGGGCCTCAACCTCCAATACCTGGCAAAGGCCAACATTGTAAGTGGCGCCCCTCACTTAGCAATACTCCCGAAGGCCTTGTAGGCTAATCAGATTTCGTATACTTCCAGGACGTTCCGGCTCTCATCAAATATCCTGCCCGCACATCCTCCTCACAGCGTCCACATCACACCGCCGTCTATCGTCTGGCCACATGTTTCACCATCCCACTTGCCCTGTGGTTCATCGTTTTTTGGCTAGCCACTCGCCGGTCTCCTGAGTTGGTGGAACGATTAGACTGGCTCCCACAATCTGTGTTTATTATCCTCCTCATTATTCTGATTTGGCCTTTCAACCGCGCCTCCCGTTCCGGCCGAATTCGATTTCTCCTTACCCTCAAGCGGATCAGTGTTGGCGGTCTGGCCGAGTCTCAGGATGGCAAGTTTGGTGACATTCTGCTGGCAGATGCCCTAACTAGTTATGCTCGCGTGATCGGAGATCTGTATATCAGCTTCTGCATGTTCTTCACCGATGGCCTCGCCGCCACTTCGAAGCCCAACCGGGCCTGTGGAAGTGCGATCGTCGTTCCGATTATCCTCGCTTTTCCCAGCTTGATTCGTCTTCGTCAGTGTTTGACTGAATATGTTCGTGCACGGCGTACAGTCACCCGGAGAGAGACGCAAAAGGCAAACCAGCACTTGGCCAACGCTCTCAAGTATGCAACTGCGTTCCCTGTCATTTGGATGGCCTCCAAAATGCGCAACTACAATCCATTGGAGCTACGTGGATATAGCGAGGTTAGCATGATGCGCCTTCTGTAAGATTGTATTCCTTGTCTGTTGTGTCTACACTGTTCTCTAACACCCCCATAGCTTTATCGTCTCTTTTATCAACTCTGCCTACTCTTTCTGGTGGGATGTTGTCAAGGATTGGGATATGACCCTCTTCTCCCCGGAGCGTCGCGACGGCGGCCACCCATACGGACTTCGCCGGCATCGCTACTTTGGATCCGATAAGATGTACCACTATGTCATTATTGCGGATCTGGTCCTTCGTTTCTCATGGCTATGGCGCATTGTCCCAGGCCTTGGCTGGATCCCAGAAACCGAAAGCGGAGTCTGGATCCTTATGTTCCTCGAGGTTGTGCGACGCTGGATGTGGGTTTTCTTCCGGACTGAAGCTGAATGGAGTACGTTTTCCCCCTGTGCACCCGCACTTCCCTCTGATCCCAACGGTGCAACCCAAGCACCACTATTCTGGTTTTCGGGACAATTTTACTAACACTTTTTTGCACTAGTTCGGAATACCCATGGCCCAGGCCCAGATGACGTCCTACTCGGCGAATACAACCACAAATTCGACGCGGACTAATTTTTACCTGCGTCTTTCATCTTTGATCATAACTTCGAGCGACTTGGAACGAGAACGAGACACAGAAAAATACTCCCTCTCAACCCAACACAACAATTGGGTCTTCGAGCATATATTGCTCTCCCAAACTCCGGATATCCCTAACCAATTCAATACTAGAACAGCGATAGATGAGGCCTGAGCTTAGCTCTTTTTTTGTTTCCCCGGCGTGTGTGAATCACTTCAGATGTCACCACACGCCCGTGTACGCCTATTGTTTTCTTTTGAGGGCTCAATTCAGCTATATGTGTGTAACATCACGCACAATGATTTCCTAGATTCCTTGGACTTGATCTCTGGGCCTGAGGCAAGCATCAATCTCTTTTTTTCTGGATTTCTGTTTACTCTTCACTGTATCAATTATTTACCCATGGTTAACCTTGTCGGAATTCCGCATTTACCCTTTTGTTTCCCTATTTACATATACCATTCATTCTATTGGATTGCACTCTTGATCTTTATCTCTTTTTCATTTCATCTCGGCGTTTAGCTGTCGAGATACCTAATTGGTGTTTGTTAGTCTTTGGGGGCTTGATGAGGGACGAAACTAATGATTGAAGACTTGAATTTGGGTTCTACACACATATCAAGAGTTTGTTAGATGCCAATTAGAGTTTGATGCTAGTGGAAAGTTGAAGTCCTAGAGTTCCGCTGCATTATCTTGTGAGCTTTCAGGCTTCGTGGCCTTATATTACGAATCCATAAGCGGATATGTATGAAACGGGACCAGTGGAAGCTACATACAATCATACTGCATTAAAGCGAAGTGATACGAGTGTTTGTCGAAAGAAAATAGTTCATTGACTTCTAAAAAATAACATCACAAAGACAGACTCGTTGACTTCGTGCAAATATCCCCCCTAGACGAGGTGAGACATAAGAAATAGAAACACAACCACAGATAGATACCGGAATAAATATCCAGGCGGACCAGCCAAATAGGCCTCTGACCTATCCATGCTTCTCTTCCGCTGTCATCTCCTGCCTTTTTTTTTCTTCCACAATCTCATTCAATTCAGCTTCACTTCACCTCACCTCATGTCATGTCACTCATGTCATACATGCTTTGTTAAACATTTGAATATGTTCACAGTGGAACAAAATCCATATTGCCACGCCTTTGCATCATACTATTCCGAGGGGGGCTGAGATGATCCCCCGGATAAGCAGATGAGGGCTAGGATTGTACATCAATCCCTCAAAGGTCCTTCTTGACGATGTGGGCCTTAGGAAGGGTGCCAGCACGGTCGATGGCGCTCTGGCGAGCTCCAGCAAGGCCATACTGAGTGGGGATACCCTCGATACGGTGGGTGGAATTGATGTTCTTAACAAGGGTGAGCTGCCAGCAGGTGGCACCACCCTGGCGGGAAGTGATGGTGGAGGAGGCAAGGAAGTACTCCCAGATCTAAAGTTGTGGTTAGTAAGAGCCCCGAAAGACCAAAAGCTCAGTGAAAGAAACTTACGCGGAACCAGCGCTTTCCGTACTTGGCCTCGACCTTGTCGCGGTTGCCCATCCAGTTCCGGTACCAGCGCCAGAGGGTAGCAGAGTAGTGCACACCGATGGTGTCAACAGCCTTGACCTCAAAGCCAGCGCCCTCGAGGCGGTCCACAACGAAACCGAGAGGAGTACTGGCGTCAGCACCGGGGAAAATGTATTTGTTCATGAAAAGACCCCAGATCAGGTCCTCATATTGCCAGGACTTGCGGAGACCAGCGATCTGCAGGAAGAAAGTACCGTTGTCGTCGAGCATGTCGTAGACCTGAGACAAGAAAGAAGAGAGGTGGCGAACACCGACGTGCTCGGCCATCTCAAGACAAGTGATGTGTTGGTATCCACCCTCAACACGGGGGGCATCGCGGTAATCACTGCACAAAATGCGACTCTGAGTCTCCTCGATACCAGCCTTGCGAAGACCGTTGTTACCCCAGGCGGTTTGGTTGCGGCCAAGGGTAATACCGGTAACGTGAGCACCATAGTGGGCCGAGGCGTACTTAGCAAGGGTTCCCCAGCCACAGCCAAGATCGAGGATCTTGTCACCGGGCTTAACACCAATCTTCTCGCAAACAATGGCCAACTTGTTGTCCTGGAGCTCCTCGAGGGTCTCCTCCTTGTTGATATCACTGATAACACCGGAGGTGTAGATCATGCGTGGGCCAAGGAACCAAGCGTAGAAGTCGTCACCTCGGTCGTAGTGATCACGGACCTGCTCCTCGTCTGTAAATAGCATTAGAAGTGCCAACAGGGCTGAATGAAGATCTGCTTACCCTGAGAACGAGTGTGCATCAGCATCTCGGGGATGAAACCAAACAAGAAGTGCTTGAAAAGACCAGTGGTGAACTTGAAGTTGGCCCAGTCGTGACGGTACTCGAGACACTCCAGAGCATCACCCTTGAAGTCAACCTCACCATTGAAGTACTTTTCGTAGAAAACCTCCATGGGGATCTTGCTCTTGCCGCGGTAGGTAGCACGGTCGTGCTCGCTGTGGAACTGAAGGTAGTGCTCGACGGGACGGCCACAGTACTTGGCCTTCTCGGTCTTGCGAGGAGAAACAGAAGAAGAGATAGCCCAGAAGGCCACCAGGACGGGGACGGAGGTAAACAGAGCAAAGAAGATGGTGGTATAGAAACCTCCACCAACCTGGCGAGCCAGCCAGAAGGGCACGATGATCTCCAGAGCGATCATCAAGCCATTGGAGAAGCTGTCGCTGCCAGGCGAGTCGGCAGGGACAGGGGCATTCTTAATAGTCGGGTACTGAATAACAAAAGAAACAAATTAAGTCCTGGGATCATCAAAACACCCGCGGAATAGCTCTTACAAGAGTAGTCGGAACACCACAGTCGAAGGCCGGCTTAGTCTGCTCGGGGGCAGCCGGAGTCTGGATGTATTCGAACTCCTCGGGGGAGTCCGGATGAATGGTCGTCATGGCGAAGGTGAGTGGAATGGAAAAGGAAAAGGAGAGGCCAGAGTAAATAAGAGGATATGGGCAATTCCGGGGCGGTGTGGGCTAGACCAAGGTACCGGGAAGGACGTGATTGGTACCTGGAAGTTCCATGGACGGCCTAGCTGAGAAACTGGTACCCGCTAGGTACACCGAGTTTACTTCTCCCTTGTCCATTGGATTATATTTTACTCACTGACGTACGCACTATTATTATACAGGGTTTAGATAAATAGTGGATGTTGTCTTATGCACGTTATTGTGAAGCTCTCTGTATCAAACACACCCCCATTAACAATCCGTTAACACCTAGGATTCCACATCCCTAGAATCTGGTACTGCCTACGTGGTCCTCCGAGGGAAATACGCATGTGTGCCCTCGCCTGTATGTGGCTTGGCAAAAGATCATCATGAGAAGTGGAGAACGCCTGAAACAGTACGATCCGCAATTGACCTTCAGGCTACAAGCTATCCAGTTACAAGTACATTAACACTAATATTCCCTAACGCCGGGATCCTTCGGCTTACCGCCAAACCCTCAACTGCCTGCCGATATGCCAAATAACCATACTTAAGTAAAATTCAATGTAATCCCCTTTTGAGTATCTTTCGCAATGTACCCCTACAATGTGAGCTGGAAGTTCTGTGCCTCATCGTCTTCGTCAAAAGTAGGTAGTGGTTCTTCCGGTTCCTGGGTCTCATCCGGGGTGTCAAAGCATCCAGCAGCTTTGCAACGAGTCCACATTTCTGAGTCCAGCGGAGGGGGTCCATACAGCTGCATATAAGTTTCGGGAGATAGGACCTGAGAGCTCGCCCTCTGCGTTTGGGTATGTTTCTCGCGCAGGGTGGATGACACACTGCGTCCCTTGGAATAGCCAACGGTCGTCCGAGAGTTGACAGAAGCAGCAGTATTGCGCATGGAAGAGGGGTTAGATGGGACCCTGGCGTGCCTCTTGGGCATAACCAGCGACGAGGCCAACGATACCACCCGTGGTTTCGGGGTTTGGGCCACGCGAGGCGCAGCAGTTGGCTGGTGGCCGGCAAGGGCAGCGGCAGCGTCACGAGCTCGAAGCGTGGACACACTGCGAGTTTGTCGTGTAGTGGTGGGTTTCTTTGAGGGGTTGACATTAGGCTGAAGTGCCTTTGCAGACTCGCCGTCACTAGAGCTCTCAAATCCAATACCCTCCAGTTGTTTCATGATCATCTCATCCACCATCCTATCGCATGCCGCTGAATCCTCCTTGAACTTGCGCTGCTTCGCTGTGAGTCCATCCTTCCCAACTTGTTGCTTGCCGTAAACACTCTCCAAACCTAGAGCTCGATTCTTCGGTCGGAATTGGGGGAATGTGGTGTCATATGTCACGTCATCTGGAAGGTCCGGAAGATCTGTAGTTGGTCAGAAATAAGCTTTTAAGCTCGCAGCTTTAGTTGGACTTAGCGTACCTCTAGGCTTCGGCGGCATGTATTCAATATCCGGCACATCATCAGCTGCAGCATCAATGTGGACTTTGGTTTGGGCTTGTTGTATCACGGGAGCAGCTTTTCTGATCTTTTGGCCAGTCGACTGTCTGCGGTTTGTCTTCGCTTGCTTGGTGGTCCCAAAGGGCGCAGGGGTCTGGAGGTTGTTGGCTTTAAGATTGGTGGTTTTCATGCCCAGTGGAGCGCGATCCTTCACTATAGGCGACAAAACAGGTCAGTAATTGTCCAACGGTCAAACACCAAATCTCTAATTTTGGCGAAAAGGGCGCGTACCCATCGGAGTCATAAACGCGTTCCCCGGTTTTCCATTCTCCTGGCGATTCCCATTGCCCTTAACGGTGCGGTTTCCAAATGCCAACGGGTTGTTTTCATCATTTCGTTGCTTGCCGGGGGTCTTGGGTGCTAGCTGCTTGCTTTGATTCAAAGGCTTAGCTGCGGCGGCAGTCTGGTGGGTATTTACCAGGTTCTCCTGGTCGCGAAGAGCCAACATAGTGGCGAAGTGAAACCGAGAATTCTCATGCACCGTATCAAAGAAATCAAGGTCGCGTTATCGAGTTGAAAGTGATAAAGAGCCAGAGCAAGTTCTAGATGCAGGTGTTGTCAAGTGGTTGCCCGTGGAGACGCGGCGATCCTTGGGCGGTGATTGGCGTAGTGAAAGAGCGGATTGTGTACCTAACCATACCATGGTTACGCAGTTGGTACACAGTAAGTATACGGTACTTCCCCTGTAGTGGAGCTAGTACTTGTTCTGCTGGTACTGTCTACTTGTTCACTAGTCAGCCATTATTCTTCCCCTTCTCTCCCAAAACTCTCCCCAAATCCATCTTCCCCCCCCATCCAACACTCGCCCGGTTTCTCGCTGAGCGAAAGCCTAACTACTCTTCCATTCAACAATACATATTATCTTCTTTACTCCTTTTTCAATACCTTCAAAATGGATAAGATCAGGGAGGTAAGTCACCAAGACCCCTGCCAGCGGGGTAGCTTGACGGTTTCCCAAAATCACACAGCCCCTCGTCATATGCATATATGCACCCCCCTAACATTCCATCACTTCCCCACTGCGAATTTTTGCTAATATATTGGTTTTTCTTTCAGCGCATGGTCGCCCTCCGCGCCGAGGCTGACGAGGCTCACGAGCTCGTCGATGAGCTCAAGGCCAAGGTCAAGACGTTGGAACAGGAGAATTTGTCCAAGGAACAAGAAATCACATCCCTCAATCACCGTAATCAGCTTCTAGAGGAAGAGGTTGAGAAGGCAGAGGCCGCCCTCAAGGAGGCTAAGGATTCTGCCAGCCAGAGCCTCCAGCACGACACTCAAAACGAGGCCCTTCAGCGACGAGTGCAGCTCCTTGAGGAGGAGGCTGAGGAGAATGACAAGACTCTGCGGGAAACAAACGAGAAGTACGACTAACTTATGACCAGCTACCTATTTCTTTTTCCAAAGTTAAGTACTGACGTTTTGGACACTTAGGCTCCGCCAAACCGACATCAAGGCCGGGCACTACGAGCGGAAGGTGCAGGCACTCGAGGACCAACATGCCAAGCTCGAGCAAAGATATGAGGATGCGATCAAGGAACACAGCGCTGTGAAGAAGGAGCTCGACGACCTTGCATCCCAGATGGCCGACATCTAAGCTGGTCGAAACTGGTGATGGGTGCAGGATATTGGGATACATTTGGTTGGGCACAAGCTTCAGTCTCTGGTTTGTTGCCTACTTTTTCATACCATGATTGTTTGTGTTATGCTGGTGCCAATTATATGGGCCAGATACAGCGCTTTGATAGCAATAACTTTTTATCATGCAACGTGCACTACGGTGTCTACCATTTCCTGCATCATTGTATTTTTGCCCATAATGTGAAACGCTTGTGATCCGTAAAATTGACTAACAATGCTTGAAGCCGAGTATATACACATGTGATGTCGTATCTCTTTAAAGATGTGGTTTCCTCATTCCTCTGCCCCCTTTCGCGCCTTCGCTCTCTTCGCTTTCACAGCTCGTTGCTTTAACATTGTTTGTTTGCGCTCAACCTTAGTCTCGTAGCGGAAGTTTCTCTTCTTTTTCCTGGCTGCTTCTGAGGCTGCACTGCGGGGCTTTCTCTTCTTGGCTTTTGCGTCGGCCTCTGTCGACTCAACTGGATATGTTTTCTTTTCTTCGCCCTCTTCGTCCTCCTCTTTGGCAGCCTTGAGCAGTCCCTCACGGGATGCATCCATTTCTTCAACCGTGACTGTTGTGTATTTGTCTTCGTCGATATACTCGGCTTCGTAGTCCACTGCTGGAGGCTCCTCAATTCCCTCCCAGTCTTCTTCCTCCTTCTCGCCTTCCATTTCGCCGAGATCTCCAGCATCCTCCTTCATGCGCTTGAGTACTGCTTTGTGCTCCGCCATTGCCTGTTCGAAGTCTCTTTTGCGGTCCTCTCGAATCTAGAAAAATTAGTGGATGTCTTTCGGCGCGCATCGAAGACAAACCTTTTTCCTTGCATCTCTCTTCTCCTCCTTGTATCTCTTGATAGCATTTTCTTGCGCATGCTTAGCGCGCTGCACCTTGCGCTTGTGAAACCCAGTCAAGTATTCATGGCGGGACTCGTCGTCGAAATTGACCTCTTCAACTTTAGGCCCAGCAACAATTTTGCGTTTTTTCAAATCCTTAGGACCCATGATGTATAAGAATCTTAATCTCAATTATTTTAAATCAAATAATAAGTAGACCTTTGTATATCGTAGGTTGTGTTAAAACTGCGTTCCAAAAGCAAAAAAAAAAAGTTGATATGAAAGCTCAGGCGGGTCGGGGCTCTCGACCGCCTCCGAGGCCAAGTCGGACACCTCCCGTTGGCAACATCATCGCCAACCTGACCCCATCCCCCACGCTATACACAATGCATTTCAGCAGGTTCGGGCTACTGGCCCTCGGGGCTGCTGCCGTAAATGCTTTCAGAGATACTTCACCATTCTTCCTCGCTTCAACTTCCGAGTATGTCTGATTGAACATCACCCGCTGCGGTTAACTAAATGCTTCTCCCTTAGGGTCTTGACGAACTCCGCCTACATCCAGACAGGAGCTTCGCTCCTCGAGAACCTTTCCTCATCTCTCAGTACTTGTCCGTCCGATTACTATGTCGTCGTCTACCAGCCTGGTGTACACAGTTCCGACTTCTCGACGCGAAAGTCCGCACCCCGCTTGGGTGCGAAGATGCTTGGGAAAGACAGCTCGATCCGGTCTAAGATGAGCATCAACGAGGTCGCTGGATTGGTGGATCCCAAGGAGATTAAAAGCCTTTTGGGGACGAAGTGCAAGGCCCAGACTACCGCCGTCGACGCTTCCTGTAAGTTGCTCTAGTGGCCAACAATGGAATTGGCAAATCCACGAAGAACGTCAGAGCTAATAATGTGAAGCCGGATCGTACCCCTCATACTTTGAAGATGGACCCCGGATTATTGATATGGAATTCCCCATGCTATCGCTAGACTCGGACCGCGCACAGCAGCTTTCTGGATTCGGTATGTATGATGTCCGCCTATGCACTTCATCGTTACTGATTCTACTAGATGGCTTCCTTGCCGATGTCATTGACCGACTTCCTTCCTCATCCAAGTATACTATTCTCTACATCACGTCGCCGAGAGAGTTCCCCGAGACAGATTCCGTTATCTACGAAACCTCTGGAGATTCATACCAAGATTCGCTCCACATGGGGCTAAAGCGGGACTACTCCGCGGATGGCAGCGCCTCGGCCTCGTCAAACCATACCTCTCTCTTTGAAGAATATCAATACTTTACTCCAGGTTTGTACCTGCCAATCCCAGTTTCTCTCTGTTCACTATACTAACCACTTTCCAGGTATCTTCATGGGACTCATGGCTGCCTTCCTGTTCCTCGCGATCTTGTATATTGGCATCAATGCGCTAGGCAGTCTCGAGATTCCCTATGCTGCATTTGAGAAGGACACCTCTGCTGCTGTGCAAAAGAAAGCGCAGTGATTTGTAGTGCTTTGTCGGATTATGTTTTGGAATACACCTCCATTGCTGCAATTGATTTTCTTCTTTGTCGAAGGGTTTCGGGGATAAATATCTTGTATTCCCGTGTATGATAAGACATATTATCCCAGTTTTCGAATGTTGGATTCCCCGTAAATTCAAGTGGCTTTTTTTGGAAGCTGTCAGGTGACAGTCTCAGTCTGGCCTAAGGCACCCCCTCTCCTTTAGCGTTGGCGTCTTTTGGTTTCTTCTAATTCTCGGTTAAGGACTTGTCTTACAGTCATCTTCAAGCACTCGTTGAACTCACTTGAACAACAGTCATTCGTTTATGAGAGATTTCGAAGTGCTCACCTCATACGGAAATTTGTTGATTGTGGACCCATGCCCTGCAGCCTGAGTTCCGCATCCAATCTTCCACAGCCTCGGGAGAGACAAGTCGCAGTTATTTTCGGAATCAGCAGAGACCTTAACCTTGCTTCTCAGATTTCATTGATGAACTGACAAAAATCAATAATCCTCTTTGTTCCTCGCTGTCGTTGGGATCGGCGCCTACTCCAAGTGACCCGCACACTGTGGAGAAGCAGCTGATCGATTCTTTACGCCGCCATGCGAGTTCTACCGCAGGGGCTTGGGAAATCCAAGCCGTCATTCCTCTTGTTACTTCTTCTGGTCATTGCCATCGCTGCTCAAGTGTCTGCCGTGCCAGCCGATGAGACAACGGATGCCGATGCGGCTAAGACCACCGACGATCGCTCCACCACCTCTAGCGTGAGTGAAACCACCACATCTTCAACCACGTCCACAACGAAATCGAGATCTACGAGCACCTCCTCCGAATCTACAGAAACAACAACTATGGATAAAACGACCACATCCTCCTCCTCCACGGAGACCGATAGCAGTACAACAACATCATCCGTCTCCACGACAACGGAATCATCAACATCCTCTTCCTCCGCAACCAACACCGTCATCGTGACGATACCGCCGACCGCCAACGCCCCATATATGCAAGAGAGCAATGCACCAGAAGGCACAGTATTCATCGCCGTCGGTGCAGCCCTAGGGCTAATCGGCCTAACTCTACTCGCGTGGCACGCAATGGTCGCATGGTCCGTAAACCGCTCAGTGCGGCGCGCCGCCGTAAGGCACGCCTCGGAATCCAAGCGCCTCCTCCGTGGCAGCAGAAAGAAGCGATCAATCCCCTACTCCGCTGCCCCAACGAACGACGTATCCCTCGACAAACTCGGCGCCGCCACTCGCGCAAGCTACAAGCCTAGCCGGACGAGCGCGAGCAGCGCTCTTTTCTTTTCGCCTACCGCGGGCGGTCCCGCTGGATCGCACGCTAGTCTACACGCTACAGGAAGTACAGGAAATCGTGCATCAACATACCTGCCTGCTGGATACTACGCTGCTGCCGGTACCTCCAACCCCGCGCCAAGTGGAGAGGTTCCATACTCGCCCACTGCTGGTCTCTCGTCGCCCTCCCTGCCTCCGGCCGGTGTCTACCATGATCCATATAATCAGCGCCATTCTTATGTGGGTGCCTCGACTAGTTCGTTGAACCTGAACCAGGCGCCGCAGGGTCGTGCTCCGAGCGCATACCTTGAGGACTTGTTTGAGAGTCATGTTCCTCACAGTTCTGATTCGGGCCGTCGGGAACGCCACTGATTCTGGGCCTCCGGTACGCTGGTCATTATATGAAGGAATGATATTGGCGAATTGCTTTTCTTGGATCTATAATCAGGTTTTTCCCCTTCTCATTTGCCATCTGCTCTACATCTATTCTCTTGTCCATTTTCATATCGGGTTTGCTTTGACTCGGCGTTCCATAAACCCCTTCATGCGAGGCGATGTGCTATTCCAGTCTCCTCTGCGCATTATTATTACTCCCTTGTCAATATAAATCAGTTTACTCATAAAGCGATTAATTACGTGGTTAACTACAACCCTACTAATAGTATCTTGCTGATCTTACAGTTAATATATATTATATCACGTGTAGAAAACCTTGATCAAAATTTGTGTTTTATTGAGATGGTAAAATGGTAAATCATGAAATAACGTTAAGCCCAACTGAAAAGGGCCAAATATATAAAACTAGGTCGCCAAGCCGATTCATATCGACAGAACAAAACCTCTGGAACCATGAATATGTGCCTGAGTATTGCGATGGGTGTGTGGGGTATCTACAGGTTCAAAATAAAGAAAACTACTCAACGCGCTTGTACAACTTGGCCTTGGAGCCAGCAGACGAAGTACCAGCACAGCAGGCAGCAGGCTTCTCCTCGGGGTGGAGTGAAGACTTGTTGAACAACTGGGAGGACTGTGGGACATCAAGAGCCGGGTTCTTGTTGAAGAAGCCATCGGGCTTCAGCATAACGCTAATGCGCTCCATCGGCATGACGGGGAAGTCCTCAATGCGGGGATTGTGGGTAAGACCGAAAGCTGCAATGGTTTGTTAGTTCTATAATATAGATCAAGTCGCGGAGAGGAATGCTTACTGTGCCAGAGGACGACATCTTCGTTCTCTGTGTTGTCCTTACGCTGCACCCAAGTCTCGACGCCTTCGGCGCGGCGGCTTTGGTTGGTGAACTCGCCTGCAGCGTACAGTTCATCATCCTGGTACTTGGTGACCCAGATCGGCTTGGTGGCAAACTCGGCACGACGGTAGCCGTGCGCATTGGGGCTGACCAAAAGCATTTGGCTGGGAGCAGCCATAAGCTTGTATGCAACAGGCTTGTAGGTGATTGGGTTGGTGACATTGTCGTTGCGGATCTTGAAGACGCGGTGGCGATCCACGCTGGTGTTTGCTGTGCCTGCCGTGCGCATCACCGTGGCCTCCGAGGTATAGCCTACAAGGTAGGGATTCTTCTCGTCTTCTGGCATAGGGACACTGTCCTCGTAGTAGACGGTATTCTTAAATCCATCAATGGCAGGGTCAATCCGCAGTGAGAACATGTGCTGGTGGAAGGGAGCCATAACACCAGGACCAACATTGGTACCCCAAGGGACGGTTTCGCCATTCTGGTTATCGAATGGAACAGTGGAAAGAATGCCGGTGGCCCGGACTTCCAATTCGACATTGGCAGCTTGGTCAAAGATGTAGTTGAAAATGTACTCATAGTTGGCCACAGTGCAGATCATCTGTAGGACCAACTGGCGGTTACGCACAACGGTAGCAGCACCGGACCGGTAGTTGGTATGCTTGTGCTGCAGTCCGTTATCTTGTTCGTGCATGCAAACCACGTTCTTCATCTGTACTGGGTTGCCTTTAGAGTCGTTGCTATAACCATCGAAATATTTGATATGGCCAAGACAGTCACATCCAAGAGTCAACTGATTGGCATTCATACCAAAGCCAGTGTCGCCGACGTCAAACGCCTGCTTTCGGTGGTAGGGGGCTCGGGGATCTAAATTCATGTTAGTCAGATCCGCTATGAGTTATATGTGATAGGGCTCCAGTCCCACTTACCTCCATAGGGAACAGTCATCTCAGAAACAGCCAAACGATAGAAGATGTTTCTGTTGTCATATGTAACGTTGTAGATAACCAAGCCTTCGCGAGCATTGAAACCGACTCTGAAGCGCCATTTCTGCCAGTAAACGGAGTTTCCATCTACCGAATAAGAAGGACCCTCGGGCTGTTGCACGATGTAGGGCTTGAGATCGGTGCGAACGGGCTCATCCAAGAGGTCGTGGGCGTACTGAACTGTCTTGACAGGCTTCCACGGCTGTGTAGTGGTTGTCTCGAAATCAGCACCGCCGGGCAGGTAGTCCATACGGACCAACTCATGAGTGAGACCGTCGAAGACTGGTGAGAATTTGCAAGGCAGAGAGTAGTGATTGTTCTGGGGGTGATCCACTTCGACCATGTACATAAAGCATTGGAAGAGCCGACGGTCTTCGTTGTCACTGTCTGTGCCGTACATCCAAGGGTCATTGCAAACAGTGACGCCCGCGGGCAGTTGCAGTTTCTCGACCTCAGCTAGTACGGCAGGGTGCTTCATGCACATCGCTTCGATCCCGGCAATTTCATCGATATCGATAGGACCCTATAAAGTAGGACTGTCAGTTAACCCCGTTGCTTGTTTCGGAGGAAGAGCTCTGCTCACCTGGATCTCCTTGGGAAGTTCCTTGGCATAGACAATGCTGCGCTTGTCGGCATTGAGGAGAGCCTTGTAGAATGCGCCGGTATCAAGACGGTGGAAGAGCACATAGAGGAGACGTGCTGGGGGTGGGGGCAGCGGCCGCCGTAAACGCTCTGCTTCAATATATGCGATAACATCCTTCTTGATAGGCTCATTGATATCAATGCGCTTGTAGCGCAGTGAGACGCCCGGGAAGGTCGCCTCAAGGATGCGCACGGCGAGCTTGATCTCCTCCGGTGTGATTGGGTCGAATGGGTGAGGGCCGTAGTTGGTGACCATTTTGGCGGTTTTGAGGTGCACTTCTGAGGTGGGGATATGAGGCGGTTGTGGGAGATATTAGAGAGGAGATATCACACGACTCTAGGTAGAAGTGACAAACACAAGAGAAGTAATGAATGAGAGAATTAGACGCAATGCCTGCACTTATATATCCCATCGCAATCCGGGGGGATCTTATCAGGTTACATAAATTCTGGATGTACCTGCCCGATTGGGAAGAACCCAGAGCAAGTGGAGCGTTGGAGAAGAGGAGTCTTGGCACTAGAAGATTGGGGCAACATGGACTAAACATGGATATATGAGGCAAAACTTGCAGTAAAGGGACTTGCTCAATTTACTCACAATACAATTCTAGATATATTCTAATCATTTGGACTGATATACCCTGTTCTTTGTTGAAATACCATGGTAAAGAGAGAATTTAAAGTTCTATGTCACATGACCTTTAATCCACAACTATGATATCACGTGAATGTGGGGTCAGCGTGGGATTATCCTAGTTCGGTTTAGCGTGTTATGCTATCAATAACTCTCCGATAAATTAAGCGGCCAATTGCCCGCTGCAGCGCATGCTTGTCTGAATTTGTCCAATATCTGCGATAAGCATGCCGCCACTAGTACCTGTTAGAGCATCTCCATACTACACAGGCGCTCCTTGACACTATGAATGCCTTTTCTCTGAATGGCTCGACGCAGTCGTCATCCTCCACACCTAGCCACCCCACTTCGAAGAAAGGTAGGACACGGCAATCTGGCACGGCATGGACTCGCTCAGGATGTATAACCTGCAAAAAAAGGCGCAAAGCCTGTGATAAGACCAAACCAAGGTGTGTGTTAGAATCAAATTTTGAATTTCATAACTAATTCGATCAGTTGCAACAATTGTCTCAAGCAAGGCCGGACATGTGAGGGTTATGGCTCTATTTGGGCAGAGCCACTAGGTCCATCGGCGCAGATATTCTCGCGGACAGAAACTTCAAAGCGTCGAAGGCTCAGTGCGTCCTCGACGTCGCAATTGTCCTCGCCTGCACCGTCCCCGTCCTCGGATGCATGGCTCGAGACTCTTCCATCTTCCGGGCCAGCGTCTTCCCCGAGCTGGTCTGTTGCATCTTCTCCTCGGGGATGTTTATCATCTGGGACAACTATCAGCCCAGTCCAGGATACAGGGGAATACAGACCCGGACCGGATATTAATTTGCATTGCTCTGTCGCAGTGGTCCCACGGCCTCAAGGATATATCAGCCCCCTCTCAACACATGAGAACCACTACCTCCAATATCACATGGAGCAGGGATCTCGACTGTTATCAAATTTAGAGAGCGATGATAATCCCCTTCGGTCGATCTTGATTCCCAGGGCAATGTCATCACCCCTGCTGATGAAGGCCGTATGTGCCGTCTCCGCTCTTCATCTAGCAAATCGCTCCCAAGGCTTCGGGGCACATACGGCTGCAGTCAAATACTATAGTGGAACGCTCAGCGGACTCCGCACCGCACTGGACAAGTGTACAACGGAGGTGTTCCCTGACGATGCCATGCTGGCAGTTGGCCTGCTATGCAAATACGAGATTGTTCGTGGTAGCGTTAAGCAGTGGGTTGTTCATCTCAATGCATTGCAACGTCTGATCGTTTCACGTGGCGGGTTTGCTTCAATGGATCGAGATGCCGCCGAGTTCCTGCGTGGACTGTATGTGTGGTAGCCTACAACGTATATCATCGGATGCTAATATAATATATCTAGATTTGTGTATGCCTATAATATGGCCCGGATCAGCAACCGCAATTATATCCCTTCTCCGGATTTTCTTGTCGACAGTGATATCGGTATCCCAAAATTGGACATATATATTGGATACACGGAGGAAATCCTCAAATTATGTACTCGCATCGCGGAGCTGCCTTCCCTCCAGTCTGATACGTTGGCCCTTCGACTCAGCGTTGCATCCATGTTCGTCTCTCTCCGTGGTCCTAAATGAATAGTTCAGTCGAACATCGCACTAACACACTATCTCAGAAACGAATCCCTCGTCACCTGGTCTCATACTTCAGCCCCTTGCATAATTCCCCAGGGGACATCACCAGCAATCCTAACTCGGCTTCAGCTTGTAGCTGAATGTTTCCGTGACGCAGGATTTGTCTATCTCCACTCAATCATGGAGCGCATTAGCAGAACTTGTCCAGATAACTCTTCCGACACTGGTAGCATTGTCAGCGGTCAGCTAAAGGACCCATCTCTCTCATTGCAAGATTGGATCCCTCTCATCTCTATGCCGAAAAGTCTTGCCGTCTACCGCTGTCTTTCCCGCGTGGAAACCTTTCCGCTAGGTGACCACTGCGAGTATTCAGCGCTCACCTTCCCGCTCTTTATATCCGGATGTGAGACTGATAATGTAGCGGACAGGGAGATTGTGCTTCGTTCTTTGGGAAAACTACAGGATAACTTTGGGATTGGGAATGTAAGGCGTGCAAAGGAGTTGTTGGGGATCTTGTGGGCGAGACAGGATGCTAATGTTGATGCTCGGTTTATTGGGATGGGTCAGAAAAATGTACATTGGTTGGATATTGTCGATGAGCTAGGATGGGAATTGATTCTTGCATAGGTAGCGGTAGTTCGGATCTATATTTGTTGCACTAGGGATAGAGGGGTTTATGTTTGCATGAATGGCACGATCATATTAATTAGGTGAGCTCCCACAGATTGTATGAGTTGCTACAAAATTCCCACAAATTGTAAGATCAGACATCTTTTATATAGTGACTCCATACAGGTAAATATATGTAAAGCCCTTATAAACTAACTACTTTACTTTTTCTTCACTCTAAAACAAGGCATTCAGGCACTAAGTCCTCTCTGCGGAGTCGTACTCCGCATGTACATCGATTTTCTTAACTCGGTCAAATCAGCGAGAGGAACAAAAAAAAAATAAAGTTCTAATACAAGGTTAGTTTCCTCCGTGATCGACCCTAATAAGATTAGGCTAAAAGGTTGGTATGATATAAAAGTATAAACATTGAAAGCATGAGAACCATCGCATATATATGTTGTATATCACAGGACAAGTTTCAACTTCCCAAGCCTGAGTTGAAATTTTTCAATTCTTACCAAGGTACTAAGTAATTGAGAATTTATATCCATGGATTCTCCTCATATTCTCCGTTACTATTCAACATGTAGGTTGCTTGTAACTTTTTTATGTAGCTGCTATACAAAAGATACCTAAATCATTTACCAATTGTTATTGGGTAAAAATTTTGCTATCTGGTGGGGCCGGCCAGCTCCCCGGGTCCGAGTCGCCATGTGTCCGGGTCCGGGCAATTCCGTCGGTAAACTATGTTGTACGGAGTAAGGGTCTACTAGTACTTCTTACATAGATATATCATGTACTACATGTATTTTTCATACTCTTTGGAGTATAACCTCTTTATGAGTCTAATATCTTTATGATTCATAGCCCAAGCTGATATATACTGTAAATTTCTTTTCTATACATTGCCGGCATCGGCACTAAAATCGCCCGGGAACCCTTGAAAAGTATCCACTATGACCCAGAACATGATGAGCCAGCGAATTGCCACAGGGTAAAATTATTGTGACAGCGATGGCGTGCTAGCATCTCGATATTGGCAAACCCCATAAGCCTCTACTTAATCAACGGGTTCTCCTTTTGAACTCGACAACACACCCAACATGACTGCTCTAACGTCACCAGAGAGCGTCTCGGACAACGAGAAAAAAACCCCATATGTTCAGTCTACAGCTGCAGATGGAGCACTACAATTACTGGAAGCCGGTTCGCCGAGCGTTCTGGATCCCGCAGCTTCAGGACGACTATTGCGCAAGATCGATTTGTATATCATGCCATTGATCTGCATCGTATACTTCCTACAGTATCTGGACAAAATCGCCATCAGTTATGCCAGTGTCACGGGCCTGCGCGAGTCAGCAAACCTCCAGGGCAACCAATTCAACTGGGTGTCGAGTATTTTCTTCTTCGGCCAGCTAGCGCTCGCCTTCCCCACAATGCGCGTGATGCAATTATTTCCACTCGCAAAATACGTCGCCGTCAACGTGACCATCTGGGGCGCCATCCTGGCCTCCATGGCCGCATGCAAGTCCTTCGCCTCCCTAATGGTCTGCCGCACACTTCTGGGAGCTGCTGAAGCCTCCATCATCCCCGCCTGGGTGGTCTTCACCTCACAGTGGTACCGGAAGGAAGAACAGGCCTTCCGCGTCGGATTGTGGTTCTCCATGTGTGGATTCGCGCAGATGTTCGGCGGCTACGTCGCATACGGCGTCGCAACTCACATCGGTGGGGATCCCAGTGCCTCCCTGCGAGGTTGGCAGGTCATTTTCCTAATCCTAGGTCTATTGACCGTGGTAGTTGGCATCCTTTTCTTTTTCTTCCTACCTGATTCCCCCTTGACGGCGGGATTTTTGTCTGTGGAAGAAAAGGCATTGCACGCGGAGCGTATTCGGAGTAACGCGCAGGGAATCGGAAGCAATGTCTTCAAACGCGAACAGGTTTACGAAGCCCTTACCGACCCTCACACCTGGCTCTACGCCTTCTGGGTCATGGCGGCAAATGTACCAAATTCCACCGCCACGAGTTTCGGAAACATCATGGTAACGGGCATGGGCTTCTCGAAAACAGAAAGTCTTCTGCTTGTCACCCCAATGGGAGCTTATGAGGTTGTGGCGCTGATTGGCCTGACCTATCTGGCAATGAAGACACAGCGCCGACTCTTCTGGTGCATCGTCGGCCACATCCTGGCCATCGTCGGCGCCATCTTGATGGCGACAACAGACAAGGTCCCCGCCCTTATCGGATACTACCTCACCGGAGGTATTCCACTCGGATGGACCACGATTCTCGGACTCACCAGTACCAATGTGGCTGGCTCGACCAAGAAGATCACTGTGTCCTGCATTCAGACCATCGCTTACACTGTCGGCAACATCATCTCGCCCCAGACCTTCCAAGCCAAAGATGCCCCAGGGTATATGCCGGCCAAGATCTCAATCTGCGTGCTGTATTTCGTTGTCACGTTAGATCTGTGCCTTATCTGGTGGGTGTCGCAGCGGGAGAATCGCCGTCGTGACCTGGAGAAGGAGGCATTGGGTGATGCGTACGTTGTTCCAGAGAACAGCGCATTTTTGGATCTCACGGACCGGCAGAATCCGGAATTCCGTTATGCGATATGAGGAATTTGTGCCTTTTGAGTTATGAATTTGTAAATAAGCCCGGAATATACCCGCAAGATTCTCTCTAAGAATCAACAATATAATAATATGTACTATCTTCACAGTATCTCTCTTTACTTAAACCTTTCAATGCCCGTGATCTGTTCAAATGCCATTAAGAGTTAGAAGTATACAATTCGAATGGAATAATGTGAAGGGGAACGCGGGGGAGAAGGGGGGGGGGGATTTATACTCACGGGGGACCTAGTGCCTTCCCAAAAGAGAATTCCAATTATAATAGGGAAAGAGGAAACGGTCTGGATCCCCAAAATAAAGCCGCCAAGATATAAGGCCGCTTATGCGGCTGACTATTATTGTTATATCAGGTAGGGATCTTCGGTGATTGTGGCTGTACTCCAGCGCGGCTCTTGATGCAGGCGACGACCTAGCTTTGTTATCTTCTTCCAACATTCAACACGCAAAGGACTGGCGGCAATCATCTACTCTGCTTAAACTGCTATAATGGCTACTCTTTCACGGAGTAATTCGACGATGGAACTTGATTATACACTGGATCACAACGTGACTAGTCCGAGGTAAGCAAACTTATGTAACTCCTCAACTAGATGGCACTCAATTAACTGTCTAAAGCGATATTAATTTAGCACCAGACATTCTTCAAACCCTCCTAGAAGCAGACGAGTTTGTCACCAAATATGACTTGGCCGATATTCGAGAAGTTATAAGGAAGGGTGCGTTATTGTTCCACCATCCAGACGATCTCAAGCGCATCGAAGAAGAGACATTATATTTGGGAAACGGAAATATCCAGGGTAAACCTCCGGGTTCGCGAGTTTCCCAAGGCGTATGCCACGCTGCTGGATTCCTTTCGTGAGTCTTTCATTAAGCCAAATCAAAATGAAACCTAACCATTCTCAGCGCTTTATTAGCGGTTTTGCCTCCGCAGATCTTTGATCCACACCCAGACGACGATTGGTCCTATCATCGGGGATCTGAGGGGCTCTGGTTTTGGGAATATCCGAAAACGTTTTGGGAGGCAGTTCTACTGTCCAGGTACGTAGTTCAAGTCTACTTTAACAGTTTGCTTCTGAGTTCCTTCTGAGTTCTAACATTTTCAGCATTGCGCCACTTATATCCGCTGTGCTTGGCTTCTGGCTCTCACTGATCTTGAATCGATACGGGGGTCGACGTCGAGGGTTCTCTATGGGAGCAGTCCTCGCTCTAGTAGCTATTTTTGGACAGTTCATCTCCCAGGACTGGCACCTTCATCTTGTAGTTGACGTTCTTTGTGTCACTGCATTAACGATACTAACCTGTACAATATTTCTGTACATTATTGAGATAAGTGAAACATCAAGACGTGCCTCTGCCTTTGCGAGATGGTATTCGTGAGTGTTCTGACATGATCCCGGGAAAATTCCTAATCAAGTTGATAGATGGAATATACTGTTCGGCGTATTTGCCCAACTCATCACTGCTAACTACGTTGGGCCGTTGACAATTATCTTTTCAGCAATAGCCGCCTCTCTTATTCTCGGCCTTTCGATCAAAATGCCAGAGTCCCCATACTGGTTGGCAATGAATGGCAAAGTTCAAGCCGCATATGAATCGCTCCGGAGCTTTCGAGAGACAGAAGTTATAGCTGCGCGTGATCTTTACCAAATATACATCACCGACGAGCAAAACGACCTAAGAAACGTCAATTTGACTTGGCCAAAACCTTTCTCTCGGCCCAGTGAGCTGTTTACCAACAACCGATTGAGAGTCATCGTAATCGCCAATGTTGCTTTTATGATCACTCGAGTCTTCTCACTCACCCAGCATCTATCAGTCTTTGCTCCAGATATGTCATCGACGTTCAATTTGTATGCAACCAGCGTGAGGAATATCTTATCGTGCTGCGCACCTGTCCTGTTGACCTTTCTGGTCGATCGATTAGCGCGACGACACATGCTGATTAGTCTTCTTTGTGGAATGTTTGTTCTTATGCTGGCTCAATTACTTACCTCGAACCAAGTGGTCAACCTCATTTCAAAATCATGCTTCTTCATTATTTTCAGTGTTGGTGAACTCGCTTTTTCTATCTATATTGTCGAGATCTTTCCTTTATATCATCGTGGTAAGGCTCCAATTGGGATACGAGAGAACACTTACTGACTAATAGTAGAGACGGGAGTTGCTCTTACAAGTTCCCTCTTATTTGCATGTTTTGGGATATTTCGATTCATAGCTAGTGCTCGATGGACACTGCGTATCAACTCTTCTGGACTGGATGTACTGTAAGTACTAACATTCCGGCCTTCAAGAGTTCTCTACCAGTACTAATACGAATGTGCGTCAGCATATCTTTACTTATTTCCATTCCAATAGCCTACCTCTTCGTCAAGGAGACCAGGAAAGTCCCCTTAGAATCCATTGGATCTGCTTTGGAGCCTTTTCCCCATGGTCTCATATCTTACCGGGTTTATGTTCATCTCCCATATCTATTCGGACGCTATGTACTTAGAAGGCAGATTGAGCTTGTGCCATTTGAGGAACATGAGTACAGTGGTGGTGGGATCACTTTGAATAGTGAAAACGCATTCTCCGCATAGGGAGATGGGTTGATTCTGGAGATCTGATTTCTGTCATTATGCTCTTCTATAGCGAGCTACATCTGTGCTTTCATTCCTCTTCTATCTCAATCTGGATATTCACTTCAACCTGACATGACACTATAATATTAACGGCATCTATTGAGAGCCCCAAGGAAGGCGAACGAAATTCTGCCAAAATCCTGCTTGACCAAAGCGCCTCTCTAATTCCGGATGATGAGGCTTACATTTAGCATCATGATCGAGCAACAAACGCACTGCATCATGTCTTCCTTGCGTGACCGCTTCATATAACGGTGTATGATGATTCCCGTCTTCCTGGTTGATATTGACTCCGGCTTCGATCAGCATCTTCAAGAACTCGATGCTTATTCTGTTGGATCTGATTGCAAGGTGAAGTGGTGTGAAGCCATCGTTGTCAAAGCAGTTCGGATTGGCCTTGTAACGCAATAAAGCCGTTGCAATCTCTTCTCTTCCGAGGAATACTGCATACTGAAGGGGAGTCCGTCCATGTCGTCCTTTCACTTCCGTAGACGCTCCCGATTTAAGTAAAATCTTGACCGCATCAACTGTACCAATCCTACAAATTGCCAGGTGCAATGATGTGTCTCCTTCAAAGTTCTCGGCATCGATGTCAGCACCCTTCCGTAACAGCAGTCGTAGTTTCTTGGAAAACGTGTCAAATTCCCCTTGACAGGTAGCGAGATGAATGGCTGTCTCTTGGCGTGGCTCGGTGCGGATTCTAGGGTCTGCCTTGAATTCAAGAAGAGTTTCAATCGATTCAGCTGGGCCTTGTTCTGCGGCTATATGAAGAGCTGTATAGCCTTTCAAATGAATGTTTGCACTTGCGTTAGCCCTGAGCAGGGATCGAAGCTTCTTTATGTTTGATTTGTTTCCTTTTTCTGACTTCACGAGGTGCCAAAGGTCTGAAGAGTGGAGGTCCTAGTCAAACTAGTCAGCGTTTGGCGTTTGGTAAAGCGCACGGTAGCGAAGAATACCATGTCACTTTTATTGATTCCCTGCACTGATTCTTGTGCATAGAGTGGGGATGGTAGTGGTAATGGTGGGAAATCAAATAACTCATGCTGGCTATACAGAAGCTGTGTCTGAGGAGCTATCTCGGTATCACTGTCAATGGTAGACGATCCGAATTCAGACGAGTCTGTAGTTTCTGAATCCTGGGAAGTAATATGCGAAACAGGAATTACCCAATCCAACATAAGTTGCCCTGAGGCCTTTGGTCTGTTTTCAGCGACTGGCGCCAACAGTCGTTGTATGAAATATCGACCGGAGAGGCTAATTCGTTGTCTCGTAAGAGCCTCTTCTGGGAAGCTGAGAGCACCGTCACAGTATCTCTGAATCATTATATATGAGGTGAATTCATCTTTCCGTCTCTTGAATGGAAGCTCCTTAGTCAAGATGTAGTAGACCAGACAGCCTAGAGACCAGATATCAACAGCGTGTGTGTAGCTCGATTCTTTCGTTCGGTTGTTTATTCCAAAGCATTCTGGTGCCATATAGCCATCTGTTCCGGCTTGAGTCCGCGGCTGGGTAATTCCTTTCTGCGAGAGCTTGCTAATTCCAAAATCGGCGATCTTCACACGAATCGGATTTTGAGCAACGACCAAAACATTCTAGAGCTTATTAGACCAAGTCTCTTGACTTGCCAAGGGAAAAATTACCTCCGGCTTGATGTCCCGATGTGTGATTCCCAGCTTGTGAAGGACAGACAGGCCCTCTACTAGCTGGTTACATACACACCACGCTTGCACTTCAGACAGTGGACTAGGATATCGAGAAATATCCCCGTAAGGGCAGTACTCCATTACGAGGTATATATAGTCCCCGGAAGGGAACCAGCCAATAAAGTCAACAAAAAGCTCTTTTTGATGTGGCCTGTAATGATATTACTATCTTGGCCCTGGGGTGTCTTCAGGTAGACATACTTCACTTCTTTCATCACTCGTTCCATCACACTGAGCTCTCGGTAGTTGATGGTGTTCCGAATGTGCTTGAACACTCGTAAGTCCTTTTGCTGTGACTCATAGAGGAACACATTATTCGCAGGGGAACATGTTAGGGATATTTTTCGGTCCCAAAAGACGATTTCCCGACGGTCTTCTTGGACTTCAGTTTCACGGAAATAATGCTCGTTGACACTTTCCACGTCAAGTTTGAGCGACTCATCAAGTCCGTCCATCTTGATGATTCTACTGAATATTTCGGTTGTGTTCAATGTCGAGGTCTTGTTAAATGGACTATTGTTGATCCGCATGAGCCCCAAGCTACAGTGAGGGGCTGTGCATCGCAGGCATTACTGTCTTCCCACTTCAGTTATAAATAGAAAAGTCAGAGAGGAAACGGCCAAAAAGACATCGCCAAGCCACATAAGCCGTCAAATATTCTTTTTCTGCTTGAAAATGGAACCTACTTCATTAGTATTAGCTGCTGCTGGGACATTAGATCTTTGTGTTGGGTAAAGATATCTTTCAAGTCAAATGAACTATGCTAACTATCTCTGCTTTTTGCTTTTTTAGATATGGCAAAGAACTCGTCAAGCTATGCCGTGAAATAAAAAACCTCGGCAAGGATATCGAGAAAATGGCCTTAATCATCGAGGGTATTTGGCTCAAAACAGAAGTCCAGGTTGAAGTATTGAAGCGATTATGGAACTCCGATTCTTCATTACATCCCTCCTTGCAAGCCCATTACGCGGTCTCAGTCCAGAGCCTCTACACCAAGATTTTCGGGGCTCTTAATATACTCGAAAAGAGTAATAATAGCCACCTGACAAACAAGCTCTACAAAAGAGCCAAAACGCTGTATTTAGTCAGAGCCCTTAAGGGGATCGTGGCAGATCTAGAAGGATGGCAGCGAAAGTTCGATCCATCATGGTACTTGATCACACTTCTCTCTGCCTCAACTATCGATGAGAAACTCCAGAATGAAGAAGGGAGAAACCCCTCATCGACAAGACTTATCCAAATGAGAAACACCATCCGTGACGTCTCGGATCAGAGAAATGAGTTTACCGACTCAATTTTCAAGTCCAATGACTCTGTGGACAAGGACCGCGAAAGGATACCAGACACGAATACATGTATCTCACATTACAACGAAAGCCAAGTCCTACTAGACCGAACAAACTACGGACCAAACGTGAATCTCCAGACAATCAAAAGCCACGTTCGAGATCTAGCACGCATGCTCATGCATGTAGAACCTTCATTTGGTCTTCTCAAATGCGTAGGGGCAGTTGAAGTCCAGTCCAACGCACAAGACTCCCGAAGCACCCAATTCGAATTCATTTTAGAGATACCGGACGAGCTGAAACATCCCAAGACCTTGCGAAGCCTTCTATTGAGCAAACGAAATGTGTCCTTGACCAAACGCATCCAACTTTCTAAACAGCTTGCGAGATCGGTTATGTTCGTGCACACGACAGGATTCGTCCACAAGGGAATCCGCCCAGAAACAGTTCTCATATTCGATGATGGTATCACCGAGATGGGACCGTCCTTCCTTATCGGATTTGAGCGTATTCGACACGCACAGGGTCAGACTGATTTAATGGGAGATCGGGAGTGGCAGAAGAATTTATATCGTCACCCGGTGCGTCAAGGGCAATGGACTGAAGAAGCCTACATCATGCAACATGACATTTACAGTCTTGGGGTTTGTCTACTCGAGATTGGGCTTTGGCATTCCTTTATACAGTGGGACGCGGATAGAAGCCAGCCATGTCCATGGTCCGAGTTGAATATACAAGGCGCAATTTTGGACAAGGATTCTCGCCGAGGTGGTTTTGCTACTAAAGAGGAACTGGTGGCTATAGCTGAGGATCGACTTCCAAGCTTAGTTGGAGATCGATATACTAAACTGGTTCTTGCTTGTTTGTGCTGTCTTGATGAAGGAAGCGAGGACAATGTCTTTGGGGCATCGGGGAGTGTCATGGATAAGGATGGCATCGTGGTGGGCGTTCGTTACATTGAAAATGTAAGATTCTGGTTTATAACTCTCTCTATCGGTTCATATATGACTTACGCCTTCTCTTTAGGTTCTACTTAAAACCGAAGAATTGTTGATCTAGCTATAGAAGTCTTGAAGTTAATACTATTGACCAACCTTCGAAGGCCCAACTGACTCGTCTATCTTGACATGTCCCTTCTATGCCCGGGGATTCTATATAGTAGACCAAGTCCGCTTTTGAAATGTTACAAGATGTATATTGAGAGCATTGAAGGGTATGCAAAACTAACCAGAAAAGAAAATTCACAGGTCTTTGTACACTACAAATAATAAGGATGTATAAGCCCCTACCTTAGGTAGCAAGTCGCGGGATTCGTTGATTGCATACATGAGTAACGCACGCTCAACTCAGCCCCATATTAACCTCATCGCTAAGCCCCCATTCCCTTTCCGCCCTTTCTGTTCCACCTGCAGCCCGAGTTGACCACCGGTCGAGATGATCTTGCGAGTTCGCTATCTCTTTCTCGCGCAAGCTGGCGCTGTCACTAGTTGCCACGCTTCCTTCGCGGGTATGAGACGGTCTGCGGGAATTCTTGATACTGATGGGTCGCGTTGGGTCTGCTCTATCGGCTGCGCCAGAGGCATTTGAGCCCGTGGCACGCCCGCTGTCAGCGGACGGCCCGCCAGGGGAGGTCTGGTCTTTATCCTTGTTACCACTGAACCAGCGCCGACGATGGGACTTGGAGGAGGTGGATGGCGCGATGCTTTGAGTGTCAGCGTCATCGTTGTTCTCTCGTTCTTTTTCCCTTTCCAAGGCCTGCGTGAGCCCGGAAATAGTTTCTTCAGATACATTCTGAGTGCCGGGAGGTGAGAGCTCCGCTAATTCAGCGTCACGATACCATTTGCGTCGCCGGGTATAACGATCCCATCCGTCTTGACCGCGACGACCGTCATTCCACTAGAGGTCTGTTAGAAAATAATACAATGAAACCGACGGAGAGAAAGCACCAACCTTGTTATCATAGTATATCCATCCTTCGCCGGTTGACCCCTTCGAGTCCGACTTTCCATTGAAGTTGTCCGCTCCTTCGATGCGCCACTCGCTTCCTTCTACCCAGCGCCATTTGGCATCTCCTGTTTGAACATCTGGTAACTCAAAGGAGTCTTTGGGATTCACTGCGTTCATATGCTCGTCTGTCCAAGGAGGACGTTCTGCCGGGAACAACGAGTAAGTCCACCCGATACCTAGCCAGCGGCGCTGATTCTCATAGACAACAAACGTGAATCGTACACCTGCGTTGTTTCCGCGGCGCCGAGTTGAAATGTTTAAGCCTTGCTTTTGGCCCTGGGCTTGTGCCGGGGCCTTTTGTGGGCTGTTCGTGGTATCAGCGACGGAGAGACCTGTGGTTGCGGCGCAAAGCCGACGCACGGCTCGGGATCGCCACAGAATAACACGCGAGACTCTGGCGGGCCGGGAATGGTAAGTCAAAATGATAGTGCCGACGACCATGACGACACGGCGTGTTGTGAGTATGTAGAACGGAGGTAGAGTCAACCCGATCCAGAGAGGAGTGACTAAGAGGATGCGGATGAACAGAGCCGTCAGGGCGGGTTTTGTAGTCGCCGATGTAGGAGTGCGCTGTGTGGATAGGAAGTCGGTCAGGTCGAGTAGAGGCTCTAGGAGGATATTGCATCTGGTTGTGAAGATGCGAAGGGTCTCGACAATTTCATCAAGACTCTTTTGATGACGCAGTGAGCTGTCCGGGGCAACTTTGGTCTTGTGCTTTTCGCCTGTTGATGTAGTTGATGAGAGGGGCGAGTAACGACGTCCATACATGCCGAGGATCAATGCGACCACAACTAGGATCGGTCCTGCCCAAAGGATGATGGCATCACTATATAGGACGATGGTCCAAAAGGTAGCCACCAGCAGAAAGCTCTGCCATGGGTCTCCAGACGTCCATGTTAGGAGACCTGCGAATTTGTTTAAAGGAAGTAGGAACGGGTGCGAGTAGGCCAGGGCCCGAGTGATAGCCGGTGGTGTGGCCACTAGGAGAGGTGATTTGCGATGCACGACGACGCTGGAGCGCTGGCGCGAGGTCAGTGCCGAGCCGGTAATCGTCGTCGGAGAGAAAGCAGCGACCGTCGGCGGCTGAGAATCCGACTGGCCCTGATCTTGTGCGTTCGTTGAAGGAGCCATGGAGTCTATCCACGGAAGGTTGTCTGTCTTCTATCAGCGATGTTGTTAAGGAGATCATCAAACACCATACCTAAAGCGGCCATCCAATTACGGACATGTCATGGAGAGACAGTCAACTCATCCCCTGGGATGAGAGATGAAGATTTTATATCGTTCGTTATGTTTCGGTTCAAGAAGATCTGCGGGGAGATCAAGTTGTGGACATGTGACATGTGACTCTCGGTATATGGGAGTTTTGATATTCTTGTTTTTTTTTTTAGTTGTTTTTTTTTAGATAGAATTTATTTACATGAAAGATGAATGTTTTATTATGAAGAACTCAAGTACTCTCTTTAATTTCAAAATAAAATACCTTGTTAACTATACTACTATACTATACTACTGTTCTCTATACTATATGCCTGAAGCTCCCGACGCTAAAACCCGCAGCCGAAATTTTCCCCTTCTCTTCCTTCTTCCTTCAACGTATAACATCGTGACCTCCTCTACGGCACTTTCTCAATGGTATGTCTACTCATTTATTTGTTCTTCACATTCCAATAATTAAAACTAATAATCTGCTAGGCTCACCGCATCGTCTCTCAAGTCGTCGTGACCGGAGCCCGGGTCTTCGGCCGCGCCTTCGCCGAAGCCTACAAGCAAGCCCAGGCGTCCGGCAAATACGCTGGCCAGCAAAAGGCAGCCGGAAAGTCCACATCTACCTCGAGCGTAACCATCGATGAAGCCTGCAAAATCCTGAACGTCAAGCCCCCGGCCTCTGGCGAACATGACCTCGAACACGTCATGGCCCGATTCAAGAAAATGTTTGACATGAACAACCCCGAAACTGGCGGCAGTTTCTACCTGCAAAGCAAGATTCTGCGTGCCCGCGAGCGCCTGGAAATGGAGTTTCGTGCGATGGAGCGCAAAGCTGCGCACGACAAGGAATTGAAGGAAGGCTGGAACCCTAAGGTCTACAAGGATAAATGAACACAATAAGTGCGGTTCTCCGGTTTTCCAGGTCTCCGGTTTTCCTTCGAGCACATCTACGCTTCCTGCGACAGAAGCCCTCGACTCCAGCCGGCTTCTTTGTTTTCGATCTGCTCGTCTTTCTTGTTTTGGCATAGCATGGCGTTTGGGTTGTTGGAGAAAGACGCCTTGATTTTCTAGATTGGGGTCTTTCTCTCTGATATTTTTAGATGGACCTTGAGAATCCTTCTCTGGCATCATCTCTGGTCGGAAGTGGAAGTGTTGCCTCCCATCTCCGACCTTCTCATCGACCTTTCGGTTGTGTATATCATCTGTGATGCGCCGCGTTTGACCCCCTTCTCCACTCTCACCCGGAAAGGATTCATGTACAATAGCTATATACTTGCATTAACTTGTGTAATGTCCGATCTAGACTTGGTGTTCTTCGCACATGTAAACATACACCTCGTAGTCGGAATCTCCGACTTTTTCTTTTTTTGCCACCGCCGCCTTACTAGGAACATCTTCACGTCTCTATACATCCAAGGTACTATCAAGCCATTCGAACCACTCAACTAACTCAACTAACTCAAAAGAAAAAAAAATGTAACACAAATCAGATCGGATTGTGGCCACATGTCCCGATCTGGGCGTAATCCCCCGCCATGGCGCAATCCGAAGCGGAGCCCGGGGGGTTTCTGTTTTATTTTTTTCGGAGAAATTATAGGCGCTGCACTTACCATTCGAGAAAAGAATTTACCTAACTCTTCAAAAGATACCCACATATACATAGCCAACTCTTCATCGTTGAAAATATCAACATCACAAACACCATGCGCCCCTCCACCCCGCTCTCCGCGGCCCTACCACCGCTGATAATGGGCACCGCAACCTTCAACTCCCAATATAACGCCGACCCATACGCCCTCCCAACAACAGAACTCGTACAGCGCGCACTATCACGCGGCATCCGCGCCTTCGACACATCCCCCTACTACGGCCCCGCAGAAGAACTCCTCGGCCGCGCCCTCGCAACAGAAACCGTGCAAACCAACTACCCACGGGAAACATACCACATCCTCACGAAAGTCGGGCGCATAGCCGGCTCCTCATTCGACTACTCGCCACGATGGATCAGACACAGCGTGCAGCGCAGTCTGCAACGCCTACACACAGATTACCTGGACGTAGTGTACTGCCACGACGTGGAGTTCGTGACGGCAGAGGAAGTCGTCACGGCAGTGCGGGAGCTGCGCCGTCTTCGCGATGAAGAGGGCGTGCTACGCTACGTCGGTATCTCGGGATACCCTGTCGACGTGCTCAGCGAGCTTGCGGAGACGATCCTCCGTGAGACGGGCGAGCCGCTCGATATCGTTATGTCGTATGCGAACTTTACATTGCAGAATACGCGCCTGCACTCGCACGCTCTGCCCAGGCTGATTGCCGCGGGTGTTGATGTTGTTCCTAACGCATCCCCGCTAGGCATGGGATTGCTTCGTCGTGATGGCGTGCCGATTGGCTCGATGGGCGATTTCCATCCTGCCCCGAATGCCCTTCGGAGTGCTATTCGTGGTGCTTCGGAGTGTGCTTCGCGACATGGAGAGAAGCTTGAGGTTGTTGCGATTCGGTTTGCGCTGGAGGCGTGGCTGCGTGTTGGTGCACGAGCTGGCGGTCTCGGCGCGCCGCTTGCTCGTGCAGCGGATGCTGATCCTGGGTTCTTGTCTGTGGCTAATATGGGAACGGGGAGGAGGTTGGGTGTCAGCGTTATGGGCGTTAGTAATATCGCTGAGCTGGATGAGACTTTGCGCGTGTGGCACAGCATCGTTGATGGATTGGAGAATTGGAATGAGGACGACGATGCTTCGTATTTCGATACTAAGTTAAAGTCGGCTGGACCGTCCACTCCAAGCCTCGATGTTCCGATGGGTGATGTTCCCACGGCGTCGAATATCCTCACGCCCCAGGAGGGCCTTATCACAGACCGTGCCTGGTCTCATGCGCGCGGAGTTCATATCTTGGAATTGGCACGAGAAATTCGGGGCATCTTAGGTACAGAGTGGGTTGATTATGTCTGGGCCAGCCCGTCACCAGACTTTGTGAATTCGTTCTCTGAGGAGCATGTTGCTGCTTTGCAGAGGATCGAGGCCGAGGAGAGAACCGGACGGAAACCTCATCTCTCTATATCTGATACTACTATCAAGGAGGATCCCATGCTGACACCACCGTCAGATGTGGAAAAGCAGCTTGCATAGAATACAAGATAGCCTTTTATGAATGTATCGAGACACATAGCCTTTGCATCTCCCAAAGTTTTCTCGTGTCTCCTATATATATTTTAATGGGTTTGGGTTAGACCAGAGTTGCGCAGGAACCTAGAAGGAATCCAGTAACACGTGGAGATGGGCCTGCTTGCCTTGGGAAAGGCAAGTTCGGAGTGTGGATAGTCCCAAGCCCGCCCACAGTAGCTTCTGATATCCTAATCCTCTCCTAGATGTCGCATATAGCGCTCTCTGGGTGAGAAGGGAGGCATGGGAAGGAGCGGGAAAAGAGAAAAACAAGAAAGATAAACGCCAACAAACATAGATCCACGTTGGGCGCGAATCCATGATCATCGGGGGTTCCATTGAAATCACTAACAGCGTCCCACGTAGGGACCAAAGAACTGTAAGAACTAGGTGCTCGTTTAGGAGAACCGAGAAGGTATTAGACGTTGAGACGCCGGATCGATTCGAACAGAAGGTGAAAACAAGATCATCCAGGGTTCAAGATTGTTGCGGCTTATCCATATTGGAACCAGCTCTCAATCAAATAAGATAGAAGACTAGCTTCAACATTTAGACAGCACTGATCAATCGTAACCGAGGGACAAGTCAACAAATCCTGGCCAAGTCGAAATCCGGGAGAGAATCCTAAATAGTAAGTTACTTTTTTCGTCTCAAGCTCAACGAAGAATGCTCGTTCTCGATTTTCCACCAGTCATTTGCTGCGCTTCTCGCCATCGAGAGCAGTAGAAGCACACAGTTTTGCCGAAGCACACGTGAAGAATCACCAACCCCCACCATACCGTCATTGCACAAATCCCTCCTTTCTTCCCCGTGCAAATCACCAAACCATTCGAAGTAAGGGGTATCATCATACAAAATAAAGCATAGAAATGGAAACCAAAAGAAAGTCGTTACGGGCGTGGAAATGGAGACTCAAATTTATGCCGAGGCCAAAATTTTCTGCTCTCTGCGATCCAAGTCCGCATTCATCTGCTCATCGGTCTCGTAACCTGCATGGCGGCGAGCTTGGCGAAGGCTGAGAGTGTTGGGGAGGTTCGTGAGGTCGGGTCTCAGGCGCTTGAGCCTGGCAGCACGCTCCTGACATATCTGACGTCTTGTCTCACCCTTGCGAGTCTTGGCGGACTTCGCTTCGGATCCGGGCGCTTCATCAGAAGAGACATCCTCTGGCTCCGATTTCGTGCCCTTCGACTTTCCTATGGCCTTTTTGACACGCTTGTGAGATGGGGCCTCTGGCATGGGAGAGCCGGGTCCGTCAGAACGAGGGGGAGAAGGTGCTTCATTAACAGGAAGGGATTCCAGCGGTGGAGGCGGAGGCGGAGCCTCCCTGTAACGAGCAAACCTCTCTTCTGTCATGAACACCCGACGGAGCTGAAAGCGTTGCTCGATATATTCATCAAAGTTCGCTGCAATGATGGTTTCGAGAATGCTCTTATTCGATCCTTGGATTAGTGTGAGATATTCCATGCGATTCCTCAGGGCAGTGTGCGCATTAGAAAAGGCTCGGAAGATCAAACCAATTTCCTTCGTCCCGCCTGAGATATCGTTGTCTCGGTTATTGGGATCTTCGATTGTGAGACGATCGGGATTGCCGAAATGATAGCCCTGTTTGATCAGCTGACTACTTAACAAAATGCAACCCAATATCCACTTACCTTGTTGAAATAGCCCGGAGGGTCCATCCGGATTGCCAGCCTATCATAGCAAAATTGTTTCCCGTAGAAATTCAAAAAGTCTAACAGGACTGTTGCGAGATTTGGCTGCAAATGGCCCTGAGGCATATGCTGGAGAATACTTGTGACCAAGCAAGTGATAGAGAACCCTCCTAGTCCACCAGTTGGAACTTCGTTAAGGCCGCGGATCAACAAGAACTGCTTAATCACGGCTAGAATAACCGGCATCATCGGATACTGGGTTTTCCATTTCTGGAATGTGTCGTTGGCGATCAAGCCACTGTCATTGTCGAAAGACAAATCCACACGCAATCCAGTCAGCTTGTCCACGTATTTGAGAATCGGTACCCGGGCCCCGGCAATGCATTCGATCGAGTTAGGAACAGCAAGATTTGTGCTCTTGAGGAAAGCCGAAAACGAGTAGATTTGGCCCTTCCTTTCTCCAAATGTTCGAACTCCCGTGCGCACAAATGTGTTAGAAAGCAGCACCAAATCAATGTCAGCCGTGGGTAGATAAAGACCCGAGGCAAAAGAACCAAAGGCCCGGATTGAAACGTTACGATATCGTTGTTGGAAGGCAGTCTCCAACCGATTGACAAGATCTGCACGGACGATATGTTCGAATTCCTGTGGCTTGGCCCAATGATAGAAGCTGAGGATCTCATTGTGCAGTCTAGTTTGAATGTTAGTGAGAAATCAGAAAGACCACGAAGGATAATACTGACTGGGTTCCTATGTGCAAGGCAGTTGGGGTACCCTCGAACCAAGGCGTGCCTGTCTCTGGGGAAAGTGGTTCCCATTGATCAATAACAGAACCATCTTGGTTGAATCTGCTGGCAGGCTTTCCGGTCTTTCGGGAGTACCCTTTGATCTCATCGTCGCGGGTTCGCTTTCGACTCTTAATGGCGGGATCCAGAACTTCCTGGGCCTTTGGTCCTTTGGGGGCATTATCGGGGGCGTTGCTCTGAGGAATTTCTGGTTCTAAGTCCATGCCGAGAGAAATGAAGTCTGAGTTTTGTTTGACCGCGTCCATTTCGTCCGTCTTTGGAGCAGTCTCAAGTCTCGCCTTGCGAATCAGCTTGACAACATCGACCCTTTTGTTTGTAGTTTCCGCCGGAGGAGGTAGCGCAGTGTACGGATCGGGATTCGACCATTTCGGAACTGAAGCTGGAACAACGTCTTGAGGCCCGTCAAGGCCTAGCGCGCGTTTCTTGCGTGGTCGCTCAGTGTTGGAATCATCAGACATTTCCATTTCTGCCTCTTCACTGTCGCTCAAAGTAGAAAGCGCAGCGAATTTGAGTTCAGATTTAGTCTCAGTGTCGCCCTGAAGTCGCTCGGGTGTGCTTTCCCTCTTCGATGACAATAACGGTCGGTCCGAGGTCGCGGGTTTTTGGTACCGGAAAGTGAACTCGTGTCGCGGATTAGGACGCGAGCCACGATAGTTGGAGCTTCCTCTGAACTGGAATGGAGCAGATGGAGGCATTGTGGGCACTTCAAGCACCTGCTGTTAAGCAGCAAAAATGCAAACGCGTAGACGAGAGATGATCAAGAAGCTTCGATCAGTCGCGAAAAAAAAGATTGCCCGAAAAAAAGTTAGGGAAGGCGGTGACGGACATGGTCGCACTTTCCTGTGGTCGCGCTTCCCCGTGCAGTTAATGTACTTGGAAGGTGCACGTGTCTGGAGTACTGTTCTATATGAGATGACATAGATTATTCTTCAGATGTCGACTGCTAGCTTTGCTTTGAATGTATCTTGAGGCCCTCCTCTAGACTATGAATCAAATCATGTTGCACCGCCATCTCGGCGAAGCTGATACGGCTTGTTACCCATTCCAACCAGTCCTCAGCTCTAGCACCATTTGCCCGGAGCAAGCCCACGCTCACATCAATTAGCAGAGGTCGTTCATCGCAATGCCAAAAGGCAGTAGCTCCACAGCAACCGCAGAATTCTCTGTATACCCCTGGTGAACTCCTATGTTGCCGCATGGTCCCTGTACCAAACGCAAGTGGTGACCCATCTGCATTAAAGATGTTGGATTTGGGCACAAATGCCCAGGTTTGAATTGGAAATCCACTGCTTAATCGGCAGCTATTGCAGACACAGGTTCCTGCAATATATTTTCTATCACCATCTCGCAACCACCATTTGATATCATCAGGATTCGCTCCAGGCCCGGAGTAGTATGGAACTAGTAGATCAGGCCATGGCGAGGATGCTTGTGAGGACGACCTATCGGGCTTGGTGATATAAAACTTAAGCCCTCCGCAGAGGCAACGTGCCTGCAAATGCTGGCTTGTTGATGTATATTCCACCGGTGTTACTGCTTGGGTAGGGCTCTCAATGCTGGATGAAGTATGTAATCTGCAACCTGTGACAGTGGACTCCGTTCCAGGGAGCAGTGCGCTGATTCCACCGTCACCGGTATCGCCGATTTGCCAGTGCTCAACCGCTCGGACCGAGAGAACATCCTTTGCTGCCAACAAACCCGAGGCAACTAAAAACTGCCCCGCAGGCTGCAAGCGAGCAAAGACGTGGGCACCGCATGTCTTACAGAAAAAACGGCTAACATGGTTGGACTGTTGGTATTCCTGGAGCCCATCTAGATTCGGTGGTTCATCTTGGAGAAGATAATACGACGAAGACAACTGCCCAGTCACCATCCGACAGCTGTTGCAATGGCATAATTGGAGTTTGGATTGGTCGGTAACAGAGTCCAACTGGATAGATAAAGCTACGCTTCCGCATATGCAAGCGATAGAAGTAGTCATGTTTTGACTTCACGGAATAATTTCGAGATCGCTAACGCAGCTCTCAGAAACAATGTGTTGGCGTTTGTACGTGGGGAGATTGCAGAAATATGCTCACAACCTTGGAAAGTGTAACGTGGAAGATGTAAGCAATGAGAATTCACTCAAGACCCTCAGACTCGACATGTATTCCCGGAAAGTCACGAGTATATAAAGTCCCCCCGCCCATCCCTCTTCTCTCTTCCCCCCACCTCGCCTTTTACAACCAACACGATTCCAAAAGCTTCACAAGTTTTTACCACTCCATACAAAATGAGTAAGCACTTTTATTTTCCCTATTATATGTGACCTCACGGCCTTGAACAATCGTACTTCGTCCTGGCTTTCCGAAATGGCGGGGTCATAGCGGGGTTGTCCTTTATCGTATTTCACTCATTTCTTTCAATGCTGACCACTATGATAGGCGATCACGGATGCAGCTGCGGCTCCTCTTGCCAGTGCCCTGCCGGTTCTTGCAACTGCCCTGTAAGCGATATATTCCTTCCTTCGATGATGGCTGGCTGACCCGACCCTTCAATCTGTTTAGAAGAAATAAACCACCCATATTGGCTTTCATGATGATTTGATTTGAACCTATCAAGAGATATCAGGCATGCAGTGAGACGGAGAATATTTGAGTCGGACAACGCTCGGTTGTGTCCCTCGGGCCTGCACGTCATGTCAGGAAATATGTAGGAGCCCTGGAGGGCTCACCATAGTGAATGACATGCGGTTCCTCGACCACTCTTATTCTTTTTAGACCAGGTACCTTGTGGGCATCAGATCTGAAATTTGGGTCTTTCAGATCGGTATGTGTCAACCTTGGGAGCTTAACGGCCTGCCCGACATATGTACATACCCGAACAGCCTCTAGACACCTAACATATAGCTACAACGTACATATTTGGCACCTACAGAGTACCTCGGGACACCTTTCAGATTAAACTCATATTAATGCATACAACATACACACAATCCGAGAAGTAGACACACCCTGAGAGAGGACGGAGCGGGCGATTCACCGAGAATCTCGTTCGATCCAATATCAGGCATCCTTCCCAACCCAACCAGTCCACTGATCGTCTCGTCGTCACGGACAGAAGGGGAAATACCCTTCGGACCTTCCAAGTACGGATTCTGCGGCTATGTTTTGCCGATGCGTCATTTTCACTTCCAACATCAAACATTTCTACAAAGTAGACCCCAACACCTGGTACATGAGTTGGATGCAAGAAAAGATAAAAAAGCGGGACTCGATGCACGAGTCCAAGAAGAGTAGGATTGGATCGGAGCCAATCATAATTATGCATGATGCACTTCGGAGAGGTCTGTGATATGCTCTGCCAGCTTCCAACATGCAGCTTCTCCACTTCTAGGTGTCTTGCTGGCTTGATTTTGGCACTCAAGATCTCAAGGAGTCTGTGCCCGTATAGAATGAGGCCCAAGCGCACAATGTAGGTAATATACATTTCTATGCCGCGTACGTGCAAAAGTGATATGCATTTCAAGCCCGTGTTATCAGATCCCGAGGTCCCACCTCTCAGTATATATGTTGTAACATAAACAGTCTCTTTTAAAATAACAAGTTCATTAAGTAGGGGCCATGGGGCATCCATGGACGATCAAACGCCTCGAACTGACTTTGGAAGCTAATATAACCCCACAATGCAGGTGCAATCACTAGAGCGTCTCGCCCGTCATACTCTTTTAGTACAACATAGGCAAATACCCCAAAAAACAGGACAGCCGAAACAACTTGGCAAGACTCCACTGGGACATGAACATGTTTCTCAGGTAATCAAAGGCTACCAATTAGGTCGGATATCACCCCTCCTCCAAGGTCCTCAACCCTGCAAATATCGTCTAATAGGCTGCCACAACGAGAGTAAACCCTGAAACCGCTGCAGGCGCCGGAAATTTCAACTTGGCCCTGATTCTCCATATTTCCTTTCAATACGACGTTAGCCCAAGTTTGTTCTAGTGGTTACAGTACTCTTGTACGCTTGTTTACACATAGAATGACTGTATCCATGAGATAATAAGAGAGGCCCGTCCCGAAGTGGATCTAATAAAGCATGCAGATCTACGTCGTACCCGAGACGTGGCCGTCATCGTGGCATGATGATGGTCTTGATTTTAATTAACACATAAGGTTACAATCTTGGTATGTGCTGTCCTATATGTGATGTTTTATATACTATATATTCACATAATAGCACTTCATATAGCATTATCATATGATCAATGAATTATCCGAGCCAGTCGAGATTCAAACATACTACATATAATATAGGCAAAGATGACCATATCTAGCAAACTGTAAACAACGCATGCTATTGCTCCACAAAAATGAACCCTGCTAAATCCTTAGTTCTAAGCCAATAGACGAACCCTATCATTCTCAGAAACCCGGCCCGAGCACTGTCTACTCCGTTCATACCAGAGTAACCTGATGATGTCCTTACCACAGTACCGAGCAAACACCGAGATAATAATTTGACTTCGTAAGAAAATAGATCGGGGACATAACTCTTTCACCGGTCTTTGCGCCATATTTGCCCGAGAGGGGCTCCAGACTTTAGAAGTTTGCATCATAGAACCCGACAGGCTCCGCTCTATTGGCGAGCGGGTAGAGCAATCTGGCTATAGTACAGCGCATAGCGCGTGAGAATAGGCTGAAAGCCATGATAGGTGGCAGGCGGAATGGGGGGCCGAGGATGCAGGACTGGGCTCATTTGACTCGACCACGCGATACGATGGGGTGAGAACGGGGCGCCGCAACGAGATACTGCATCTTAGATTGGATGGAGGTGCATGATAGGGAAGAAAATAGGATTATCCGCCGCGCTATTATTGATCGGGAAGTAGTAGTCGTGGGGTTTAGAGGTATAAAGTTGGCCTCATATCCTTCCCTTGGACTTTTTTCTTTCTCTATCCAAGCCAGTTATATCCAACTCAAACACTACTCTCCAACTTTTTCAAGGTTCTTTACCTGCACCTATATTCATCATGTCTCCTTGCACCTGCAACTGCTGCTCCGGAGAGTGCAACTCCTGCTCTTGCGCTAGCTGCAAGGTATGTTATTGATTGCACACCCCGTGTCTTATAATCACCATTACATGATGTGGTCCTGGAGGGAAAGGTGTACTAACTACCCTTCCAGCACTAAGCCGGATCACACGCCATCACCGCCATCTTCCTCCCATACGACTCATACCAGACCAGGGCTCCCACTGTTGTCGAACTAGTTGGGGCCCGTGTGTCCTCATTGTCGAAGTTATGAGATAATTCCATCGTGGTTATTCATGATCGAGATGATTGTATGCTACGATCTGGGGTTAATAGGGCCTGGAGCCTTGTGGATGGGGTGTTGAGTTTATATGTTCAGATTCGACTTCGTATACGTTCTTGTGATTTAGTCTTCAGCCAAGTGCTATGAGCTACAAATATGCTGGTTATATTGTGACATGTGATCCCTATAGTATCCATATGATTCAGTAGGTGTATACATTCCAGGTAATACCACGAACACCCGGAAGAAATGCTTGCCTTAACACTAAGGAACAAGAATAGAAGAGTACAAAAGCGCTCAAATTGCAATTCATCCCAACTTATGGGATGCATATGAAATAAACATTCAATACATATGTAGCATCAGATCTATAGATCTAATATAGCCGTTACAGCTCGTCTTTTGAGCGAGGCACAACATTACCCGCTTCCTCAACCCTGGCACATGCAGCTGGCGAGGTAACAAGCATAGAGTACACACACTTCTCCTCTTCCGCTGTCTTCAAGATCTTGTTCTCCTCACCGCACTCCAAAATGACCTTGGTGGAACGGTTAGGTCCATTCCAGCAAGACTGACCACGATCGTACTCAATCATCATCTTATCGACATTGATGACCTCGCCAGCCTCATTCACTTCTTCAACGCTCACGGTTCCAACATGAGAGAATTTGCCCATGGACACGGAATTGCCTCCCTTCCTCTGGTTCTGCCTTGTTGACTCGAGGAAGCAGTGCTCGTAAGTGTACTCACCCGCCTCTTGGGAGATACAAACACCCTTGAGTGCGCGGAAGATGGAGGCCGGACCATAGTCCTGCTCAAGGTCAGCACGCTGGTCGCGTAGCTTGTTCTTGAGACTTGTAACAGTTTCTTGTGCGGCCTTAAGGGCATCGCGTGCCTGGGTCACGGCTTTGGATTCCGAGGTAGAGTCCGTATTGGCTTTAGGCAGAATGCCATTTTCCTCAAGGAAGCTCTTGAAAGAAATGACCCTGTCTTCGATGAAGCTGACAAGCGATGGTGGGAGATAAGCAGCGAGCTTGTACACTACAATTTCTCGTTAGTAAGCTATACTAGGTGTCACGAGAAACTAAAGAATAACTTACCTAGATCTGTGTCATTGCATCCATCCTCCTCGTTTTCCCAGTGCTCCCAGTTAACACCAATTTCCTCACTGTCGGCCTTGGAAATCTCGTCCAAGTCGCGATCTAGGGCATCATTCGCACCCTCAGCACCTTGTTCACGAGCAGCGTAGTCCTCATAACTACGCACCGCACGCTTGACACCTTCGTCATTGAAGTTAGGATTATATTCCACCTTGACCTTAGCCAGAATCTCCTCAAGCTCCTTCGCCCGCTCACGGGCTTCATCCCGCTGGCGACGCACATCGACCAACGCATTGCGTAGCTCATCAACACGGGCCTTGGCCAATTTAGAAAGGGCATTGACTTTGCCTTTACCCTTTCCAGTGCGGACGACTTTACGGTCCTGCTCCTGAGCGAGCTTCAGATCAGCCTCGAGGTTCCGTTCCTTGGCCTCCGCGCCCTGAATCTCAGCCTCCAGCCCAACGATATGATCCTTAATCTCCTGCTGCTGGCGAGCAGCATCGACAAGAAGATCCTTCTTCTTCCTCAGGGCAGCAGTCATCGACTTTTGGTTCTGCTCCTCCTGCTTCCGCCATTGCTTGCCAATCTCCTTGCATCGGTCTTCACACTTCGTGCCTCCAACGCGAGCCCACTCGTCGCTACCATCACAGCACTGCTCATAGTCACAAATACCATCGTTGACACGCTGGAATGGAACGTATGATGGCCGGTGGCCCTTGTTCTTGCAGTAGAATCCCGGGAGAGCCAGTGCAGTGTCCAAATCGCTGTTCCCAGGCCGGTCAGCCACCGTCAGCGGTGAATTGCGCGAAATATGGGCGCAAGCAGACGTGCCGGGCTCGTCGCTTCCGTCGGGGCAGTCACAGTAGTCATCGTTGACGGCCGAGAAGGGGATTTTGACCGAGGGATTCGAGATACAGGTGAATGTCTTCGAGTCCTGGTAGAATTTGGCAACTGATAATACTATATTAGTATAATATCCAAGGAAAAAATAATCAATTGGCTATCGTAGATCACTGTTACATCAACCCGCTGCAGAAACACCAGCGGAGATCTAAAGGGTTCAGATACTCACATTCTGGACCCAAGCCACGGGAACGGACAGGCTTGTCACTAGCCTGGACCGCCGACCCAGCGGCAGCTAACAACAATAACGACTGAGGAAGTCTCATGCTTGAGGCATTGAGCTTTGTTTATGGAGGTGCGGAGAGAGCTTCTGGCCAGCTGTTGATAGCGGGCCCGGGATCTAATCGCCGCTGAGTCAGCTCGCTATCTTTCCGACTTTATCGTGGCGAAGTAATTGGAGCAACTTACACCAACTGCATCGCAAATATGGGTAATGACGGTGGCAGGTGAGTTACTCTGTTATAGACGTGCTATAGACTCGCACTTTCTAACAAGTCTTTCTAGTATTCCGACTCGTCGAGAGCTCGTCCGCGAAGCAGCCCGTGCCCCGAGCACAGCGCAAGTGAAAGAGACACAGCGCGAGCAACAAGAACACTGCTGGACTACCTGTCCCCTCTCCCACAAGTCGCTTTCCCGGCCAATTGTATCAGACTCAGTTGGGAATCTTTATAACAAGGATGCTATACTCCAGTTCCTGCTCCCAGGCGACGATGTCGAGGGCATCAGCTCCAAGGCCGACTGCGAAGAGATTCTGTGCGGGCGAGTGAAGTCGCTCCGGGATGTAGTCGAGATGAAGTTCGAAGTTGATACCGAGCTGGGGGAGCACCCGTCAGGCCGCGCCTATGCGCCCCGCGAGCGCCGCGAGGGCTGGATTTGTCCGATCACCGCAAAGCCGTTGGGCCCGAGTGTGAAGTCTGTGTACCTAGTGCCGTGTGGTCATGTGTTTTCGGACGAGGCTATTCGGCAGCTTAAAGGCGACAAGTGCTTGCAGGTAAGAACCAGACTTTGGATACAATGCAGATACAGTGGCTAACGTATGTGTGCTAGTGCAACGAATCCTACACAGAAGAGAACATTATTCCCATCCTTACGACTAAAAAAGAAGACAAGCAACGTTTGATTGCGCGAGGTCATAAACTTGCTGAACAGGGACTCACGCATTCCCTTAAAAAAGCCCCCGGCTCAAAGAAGCGCAAGAAGAATGCCACCACCGAGGGTGCTACTGATGTCCCCGGTCCCATAGAGCCTGCTGGCTTGGTAGTACCGAAGCAACACTCGGATTCTAAAAGCCCGAGCAACACTTCCACCTCGGTGTCTAATACTGCTTCTGGCAATGGAATCAAGAATGCTGCCACTTCTTCGCTCACTGCCCGTGTGTTGGCGGAAGAGAACGAGAAGAAGAAGCGCCGGAAGATGATGGGTAGGAATGAGAATCTCGACAGTCTTTTCTCCAAGAAGGATGGCGGGTCTAAGAATCATGATTTCATGACAAGAGGATTCTCCATATCATGACCTGAGGTGTTTTATCTTTCTGCTGCGCAGAGATAAGACACTAGGCCTGGATGAAGTGCCTTTGTTTCTCAATGTGGCACAACGTCGCGGGTGGAGTTTTCGGAGTTCACAGGTATTTTGGTGTTCTTCTATCATTGATGTGGCTGCAACGTTATGTATGTGGACGAATAGAATGTCATGTACAATTATCTGAGCTCACTTCAACATGACGAAACGAAACAAGTACAAAAAATGCAATTCAATCAACAATTCTAATATACAGTAGATTGCTCTGGGATAAAGGAAAAAAAGACGCCTCCAACATTCTACAAACTAGGCATCCACCTTCTCATTAGTCTGCATCCGGGGCTGCTTGTGTTTCCGGCCCAGGCTCTTGTTGATCAAACCACTCTTGTAGAGAGCGGAAATGATAGCCTTCTTGCGGCCGAAATCTTCATCGTTGTGCTGGCGAGTTTGGCGGACGTCGAGAATCTTAACGTTAGACAATCCAGCGGCGCCGTTCTTGTCCATAAGCTCATGGAGAAGCACAGGTGTCAATTTAGTATTCTTTTTGCGAAGTTCCTCATGTCGGTCGAGGGCCTCTCCGATAGTGGTGGAAGAGATGATGCTGTCGGGAATGTGCTGAGAGGTCAATTTGGAGAGGCGGGTGAAGAACTGTGTGGTTGTTAGTGGCTTTGGTCATGAGAAGGGCGAAGGGTGGATACGAACAGCAAACTTGAAGTTTCCATCGGCCAGAGACAAGTTCCTCATCTGTAGCTTGTTCTTTGGGTGCAAGCGATCTTTCGATGTCCGATAAAGCTCTCGCTTTTGCTGGCGATACAAACCGATCTCCATGGCAGTTTGGTATGCAGCCTTCTCGAAGGGGAGAGGTTCTGGGTTGTAGTACCATCTGTTCGATCAAGAGAGACATTGTCAGCAAATTGCGAAATCAAACCAGGATGCAGAGGCATCAATTGGAAACCTGGAGCCAACGTACGGTGTGACTTCATCCACGAGCTCCTTCGATCCCTTGATGCGCCATTCTTCCTCCTTGAGATAACCGATCTTGGGCATTCCATCCCAGGTCATAGCCTCGGGAGCCTTTTCAGGTAGTGCTTGACCCTCTTCAAGACCGAATGCCTCGTCTGCCTTGGGCTTTTCGCCCTCCATACCAGACATGATCTGGCTTCCAGAATAGGGGTCCGCTGGGCCTGGGGGGTTGTCGGTTCCCCAAAGCTTGCGCCGAGCGCGTTCCAGGATTCCGGGGGAGTCGGAGGCATAGTGGCGGACTTGACCGAGCGGCGAGATACGGGGGGTAGCTCCAATTCTGCAGCTGGAGCATATGAAGTTTGCCTCCCGCAGAGGGAGGCGCATTGAGGGTCGCATTGTCAGGGTGGGCGCGAACGTTGTTTGAGAGCGTCGAGCTGGCGGAGTTGGCCTGGACGGAGAAACAAATTCGAGAAAGGTACTGGTCACGTGTCGGTGATCTTGATGCTTGGCATTTTTGGTATGCCTTCCTCTCTGCGTCAAGACTAGGGTTTTGATATTGTAAATCAATTATATTAGACTAATAGGACTGAATATAGTAGTTTATTCCATCTTGTTCCATTTATCCATTTATCCATTTTCAAAATCCAGTCGATGTTGAATGGGAAGCATTCTGTACAACCCGCCAAACCGTCGATGATTGCAAGGCAAAAGAAAAGATGAAAAACAGTCAGATGGGTGGATTTTGATCATTAGCCAGTAGACTATAATAAACATAGGATACAACGCAGAAATGTCTCAGACCTAGCCTCAAGTCTTCGAGGGTATGAAATATAGTCGCACAAGGGAAAAGAATCATGGTATGCGAACTGTATATACACATGCAACGCTGGTATCATACTACTAAGTAAAAGAGACAAAAACAACATTTATGCAGATCAAGCAAAGCAGTTTACTCACGGACAAACATGCCCGCCATACCCATACCTGTACCAATGCACATGCTAATAACACCGATCTCCTGACCGCTGCGCTCCAACTCAGGCAGGAGAGTAGCCAGCTGGCGAGCACCAGTAGCACCGAGAGGGTGACCGATAGCAATGGCACCACCGTTAGGGTTAACCTTAGCCTGATCGATACCAAGCTTGCGAACACTGTAGAGAGCCTGGGAGGCAAAAGCCTCGTTAATCTCCCAAACCCCGACCTCAGGAACCTCAACACCAACAGTCTGCAGAAGCTTAGGGATAGCAACAGCAGGTCCAACACCCATCTCATCGGGGGCACAGCCTGCGACAGCAGACGCGACCCAGCGCGCCTTGATAGAACCGGATAGACCGAGCTCCTCGGCAGTGGAGCGACGCATCAACAAAGCAGCAGCAGCACCGTCGCTGACCTGCGAGCTGTTACCAGCGGTGCTAGCGCCGGTAGGCGAGAAAGCGGGCTTGAGCGCGCCCACCTTCTCGATAGAAAGTCCGTGACGAATACCGTCGTCCTGGAAGACTGTCACATCCTTGGCGGGGGCATCTGGGTTCTCGGGGTCGAGTGTCTTGGTAGTGACTTGGACAATCTCGGAGTCGAAGCGACCAGCCTTCTGAGCGGCGGAGGCTTTTGCGTGGGACTCGACGGCGAAGGCGTCCTGGTCTGCGCGGGAGATGCCATAGCGTGACGCGACGTTCTCCGAGGTGATTCCCATGGGCATTATGCAGTCGCGAGCGTCCTGGGAGTAGGACTCCTTCAGCTCGGGCCAGAGGACTGTGGGAATGGCGCGAGAGCCATAGTTTCGGGTCATGGATTCCATGCCGCCGCCGACACCGACATTAATTGCGCCTGCGCGGATGCCGTTGGCAATTGTTGTGATTGCTGCCAGGCCGGATGAGCATTGGCGGTTGATCGTGTTGAAGGGCACGGAGTGCGGGAAGCCGGCGTGGATCTGGCCCATGCGGCCAGCTTTGGCGCCGCCTAGTTCTTGCAGAACGGATCCGATGAGCACATCGTCGATCTTGGCGGGATCTAGATTCGGGTTTGCCTTTAGTGTTGCCTGCAGCACGCTGGCGAGTAGCTCTTCTGGGTAGGCATCCTTGAAACCACCCTTCTTTGCGCGGGTGACGGGTGTGCGCAGCGAGGAGAGGATGACGATGTCATTGGGGGACTTTTGGAGTACTTGGCGGAGGCCGCGGGGAATTGGGGAGGCCATAATTGTGTACACAGGTTGGATGGTCTGGAATTAGTCGACAGTTGTATATACTGAAGCACAAGGGTATTTCCGGTCTTTCTCGGCGCTGTCAGTTCGGATTTGAAGATCATGCTCTGGGATATTTACTCACATCTGTACAATGGCTAAAATATGCAAGGAAAGAAAAAGAAAAGAAAACGATCTCAAAGACAACCCCGGGACACCATTATATGAAAATGCCGGACAAAATTCCGGGGTCGGAAGTAGTTTGGTCGCCCAGTACCGTTGAGTGGCCCGCGGCACTGAAGATCGGCTAAGCGGTTTCCCGCGAAATGTGGGGAGAAGTTCGTTCCAACTTCATACATATCCTAGTCTTTTAAGTCTTACTGGAATATACAAACATCTCTAAATATTCTACCTTACTGACTAATTCGAATGACAACTACCCTCGATGGCTCCGAGCTAAAGCTCATCGGGTGCTAACGTCAGCCATTTCGGATCGGCTCTTTGGAACCGATAGCGAAGCCGAGGGTAACTAGAAACATTCCCGAATTTGATATTTTTGGATTTTTGGATACATATTCTGAAGATCATGAGATAAACTGATTGATAACCCTGAGGGGTATGTGAACCTCTCCCTTGTTCATTCCTCTATGGTAGCCAAGTTAGCCATCTTTGCTAGGCAAATAGCCTCCATGTTGTTCTCCTTGGGCACCAGCCAGAACATAACCTCGACGACCATCTCAACCATCATAATTCCAGTTTCGATCAGTTTGAACATCTCGGCATTAGCAACTGTAACGCCCTTGCAAGTCTTCCATCCATTCTTCTTCCACTTGGGCAGCCACTCGGTCAAGCTGCGGACGAGGTACTCGGAGTCGGTTTTGATGACGAAGGCATTCAGTGGCATAAGGGTCTTTCCCTTGCGCATCATGTTATGGCGTTTATCGATGATGGAGGTTGCATTGCGCAATGCCCGCAGGCAGGCGGTCAACTCGGCGATCTGGGTCGTGTGGCTGTGTTCGTCCTTGCCTGGAATGGGCCAGGTGATATTGCCAGGGTTTCCACGGCCATAGTACACTCCGATTGCCGAACGCTTTCCAAACTTTCCGGTAAGGCATTCTCCATGAATGGCGATGACAATGGAGTCTTCGTGGCCTTCGTATTGTTTGCAGTCCTGGCATTTGCGGGTTGAAGTAGGACATGCAAGACACATCCACGCGCCGAGGTCGACTTCAATTTCCGGTAAGGTGAAGCGCGGAGGATATTCGTTCTCGGCACGGAAGCGGCGGGCTGCGGCCTGCGAGGTCATGTCTCCGTCTTTCTTCGCCGGAGGGCCAGCTACATGGTGGCCGGAGTGTCTAACAGGATCATGTGCAGTCGAGCTGTGGACACAAACCTCCATTCCCTGGCCATAGTGATAAATATGTGGAAGATGGTCTTTATGCCGGCAGAATAGGCGAGGTAGGTTATGCCAGTGTGACCCCGAGGTCAGGATCAGTGCTTACCTGAGCCAGATGGTGGGATTTTCCTTTCTGGGGTATCTGTGACTCTCGAGGCTCACGGGCTGATTCCGACGCCTCAGATTCAAATCTTTTCTTCTTTTTTTTCTTATTGTCGATGCGAACAGGAACGGCACCACCAATTGCGGAAGGCATGGCTGAAGATACTTTTTGAAGAGAGATAAAACGTATGAAGGAGCCAGAGAGTTGAGGAGGGAAGAAAGAAAGGGAAGATAAAAGTCAGGAGGGCAGTTAAAAACAAAGGTAGGAGATGGAAGGAAACTGACAATCACGGTCAAAGCAGAGTTCACATTGAAAGAGAGCGCACCTGCTTCTTGTCAACACTTCAAAATTATGCATATCACAACAAAACTGTAGGATGCTAGTTAGTGGATTAAAAGTCTCTAATCAAATAAGAATCGAGGTCTACTTTTATGAATTCTGTATTTCATTGAAGTCAAACAAAGAGCTGCAGTTTGTCCCACATTTCAGGCTAGAAACAATTTCCATGTCATGAAGTTAGTTATAGGGTGCTTTGATAGGGACAAAGTTGATGATATATGGTTCACCGAAAAAGAATCACCAGGAAGATACATGTTAAAGAAGAGGCACTATAGGTGCGTAATGAGTGTGAAACTATATATGGATGTGACATCTTAGTGCCATATTGCCAGCGGTTGGCGCGCCAAAGAGACGCTGTGATAACAATGCTTGGACCGCTCGTAAATTAGAAGTGAACAGAGCTGCCAAGGGCCCATGGGCCATCAATAGAGAGGTCTAAAAATGGAGACGTCGAGGTGCATGGTACAATATGAGAATGAGTGGGTTCAAGAAGTAAATTGTTCAAGTAAAGACTATGGAAATTGGACATGGGGCCTCCAGGGCAGTTCATATCATTCTCAGATGACAGTTCCCAATCATTACGTTCATAATGATCCAATCTCAACGAAAGATGAGATGGCGAGAATGGCCAGGTACACCACTACGGCAATGAGGGCAACTTTTGTGAAATCCCATGATGAAACGGGGCTTCTTGCGGGGTGTTCCGTCAGGACGGCCGAAGTACTGGACACGGGTGCGCACTCGGGGAGCAGGAAAGGACCGGGGGTCGAAGTTAAACGGGCGAGGACTTCCAGAGGAGTCTGTCGAAGAATCATCGAATTTCATCGAACTGTAGTCATACCAAGTCTGGGTGACTACGGCGTACCCATCCTCATTGACAGGACCAACTTTGCGAGTGTATGGCAAGGGCCAGTTCACATTGACGATATCTGATGCCTCCTTTTTAGGGGTAGAAAGGCGAGGGTTGAACTCGATTTGTTGGGTGTTTTCTTTCGCGCCAGAGAAAGGGAATGGACCCTGAGGGGGTGTGGCCTCGGATGGCTCAGTAATGTTCAGAGACTCGTTGAACAGAGTGTGTGAAATGGGTGAAGGCTGGCCATTGTCTTGGATCAGGCGAGGAGATAGATGGTCACCATCGGCGAATGGGGTGGGTGTAGCCTTGGATGATTCATTTTTGACTTGTTCATTGATCTTCAACACGTTGCTGAACAACTTGGCAGGGATTGGCGAGGATTGACCTTCCTCAACCAAGAAGGGAGATAGGTTGTCACCATTAGCCAGATGAGTTGGCATGGGACGTTTGAGATTCAGTGGCGCAGGGCGACAAACTCTCTAGATGGTGCATTAGTGGCTGGGGATGGGGGTATACCTAAGGTAGATATAGTTAACTGACCTTTGCCTTGGATTGCTCCAGGCCCTCAATGGTTCGCTTGGGGAATGACATTTTGTCTGATGGAGTTTAATGGAAAAGTAGAAAGGTTGAAGAAGAGAGAAGTAAATACAGAGAGGTAGAATTATGTAGTCCTGGAGGGTGGGCTTATGGAAGATGTTTTTATCTATTCTAAAAGGGAACAATAGGATATCTATCAATTATATAAACATAGATGGGATTCTATTGTTTTATTGTTCTATTCAATGTTCTCTATTGTTTCTCTACCATTACCCAATTAGGAATATCTGATATATCCACCACATAAGTACATCCATGGATGACATGAGATGCAGGTCAGCAAATAGATCTGGACCTGTCGGTGAAAAAAGCAGGACGTGTATAACATTGTGTGGTCATCCTCAGCCCGATGATTGGATATAAAATCTAACCTGTACAAAGGTACAGCTTGAAGATCGTATTAGAATGTCATTTGTTGAAAAAAAAAAATAAATAAAAATAGAAAAAAAAAAGATTCAAATACAAAAACTGTCCTTTGTCCCCCCGTGAAGTTGTAGTTCTGATCGGCCCACATTTTGCCTCTTCTTTTGTTCCCATTTTTCCCCTCTGACAACATTCTCCTAAAATTGTGAGTCATATTCTTCCTAAAATAAAATATTAACCCTGGAGAATCTTCTTCTCCAATCATCTATAATTTATACTAATCACTACTAGTGTTCTCTGAACATCACAATGCCTCTTATTAACACTACAGAAGTCAACGAGGACACTCGTGGTATGTTGGATTTGTCGAGCTCAATTGCGTATGATACTAATCTTTGTTAGTCCTCGGATACGACCCATTGCTGTCACCCTACTTCTTGCAGAATGAGATCCCTGCTGTGAGTCGATTTTTTTTTTCTTTTTCCTCACCCCGCAAAGAGCGGGGACATGGCAAAACTTCCGATCAACTGACAATTGTCGGTATAGCCTGCCCGTGCTATTGAAACAGTTCGCGCCGGCCGAAACCAAGCAGTTGAGATCATTGAGCAGCGCGATGACCGTCTGCTAGTCGTTGTCGGACCATGCTCTATCCACGATCCTGATACCGCTCTCGAGTACGCCCGCCGGCTCAAGGAGCTTTCCACAAAATTGGAGAAGGACCTCTGTGTGATCATGCGCGCCTACCTCGAGAAGCCCCGTACAACAGTCGGCTGGAAGGGTCTGATCAACGACCCCGATATCGACGAGACCTACAACATTAACAAGGGTCTCCGTGTGTCCCGTAAGCTGTACACCGACCTGACCGGCACTGGACTCCCTATCGCCTCCGAGATGTTGGACACCATCTCCCCACAGTACCTTGCAGACCTGATCTCTTTGGGCGCGATCGGTGCCCGCACCACCGAGTCCCAGCTTCACCGCGAGCTCGCCTCAGGCCTGTCCTTCCCCATCGGTTACAAGAACGGCACCGACGGCAACCTGACCGTCGCCGTTGACGCCATCGGCGCCGCTTCACACCCCCACCGCTTCCTCGGTGTCACCAAGCAGGGTCTTGCTGCCATCACCAAGACTGCCGGTAACGAGCACGGTTTCGTCATCCTGCGCGGTGGCAACAGAGGCACAAACTATGACCGCGAGAGCATCCGCACTGCGCGTGAGGCTCTCCGCTCCAAGAAGCAGCGTGAGGTCCTCATGGTCGACTGCTCGCACGGTAACTCCAACAAGAACCACCTTAACCAGCCCATCGTTGCCAAGGAGGTCTCCGATCAGCTCCGTGAGGGTGAGACTGCTATCATCGGTGTCATGATTGAGTCCAACATCTACGAGGGTAACCAGAAGGTTCCCCCCGAGGGACCTGAGGCTCTTCTCCGCGGTGTCAGCATCACTGATGCTTGCATCAACTGGGAGATGACGGTCGAGGTGCTTGAGGATCTTGCCGATGGTGTTCGTGCTCGTCGCGCTGCCCGTAAATCGCAGCAGTAGAGTGGATTCTCTTATTTAGATGCCCTTGTCTCTTGATTTTCACAGCCCTTCTTCCGAGGGGAGGGAGAACGGGTCTGGCATAGATACCTCGTTTCGGTGCCTGTTTCTTTTTCTCGGGTTTTCAGCGGTTTCCTTTGTACCTTTTTTTCCTACTTGTGCCTTGGGAAACCCCCTTGGAATTCATGTGTGAATGTGTTGTCAAAAACGAGAGTTTTGTGTTTCGCTGGGACTGAGAAGTTAGTGACCAGAAAAGTTTTAGGAAAGTGATCAAAGACTGAATCTGCTTTTTATTTATTTTCTAGGATTCATCTTCTACTTATAATCCCTGATTTTTTTTCTGCTCCACTACATGCATGGACCATGTATAGCCGCGGCAAAGCGCTTCTCCGGGGGCTTCCCTCTTTGGGGATTAGTGCGCAAACTTGGACCTCTAGAGATTACAAGGGTCTATTTCGGTGAAAATCATTTAGAAGTGATCTACTAGCGGGTAGTGGGGTGGTCGGTAGTACCTACATGAAGTATACACCATAGGTTACATTGTAGGTGGGATTTGAAGATGAAGAAATGAGATAGAAGCAGATCTATGTACTGTACACGATATACATGGAAGGCCGTCCGTCCACTCCCTTCGGAGTATCAGGAAAGACCATACTGACTAGGAACACATTCCAGAAAGATAGAAGCAAAGAACGCCGTAAACCCCCTGGGAGAATGAAAGCAGGCCACGAGAAAAGATCGCGGCTTGCCATGCAAGAGAAAAAAATATTGCAGATGGCAAGAAGTGAAGGCCGGAGGGGGAGAGACGAGTCTAGATTATGTCCGCTGATAGATGATGAAATCAGATCAGCGGTATATCCGCGGACAGATTATACCCATGCATTCCGTCCTTTCTTTTTGTTTGCTTAAGAGGACCAAAGGTTGCATCCAACTACCGCCCTGTCAACCAACCAGTCCAGCTTGATGTCTTGGCCTTCGCAGCTTGTTCCACATTCTCAGCCATCACATCCAACTGACCGGGCAACGGAGCGTTAGTTTTCGCCGCAGCATCCAGAGCTTGCTTGGCCTGCACGGCGTCCATAACACTGCCTTGGGTATGCTCGGCACCCTCAATAGCCACGACGGGCGCGGAAGCTGGTGCAACGGCAGCGCCGGTGTCTTCCATATTCAGCTTCTCGAAGAGGAATCGCTTTGCCTTGGCCCAGGGCTTCTGTGCCTTCTCCTCCTCGCGCTTCTGCTTCATAATTGCGCCGATCCTCTCCTTCTTCAGGAGCTCCTCCTGCTCAATAGTTGCGGTACCGTTGGCGCAGGCGATCTCGGCCTGTTTGAGAGTCTCGAGTTCCTTTTCGATCCAAAGCGTACGTTGGCGGCGGTTATAGATCGTGAGCGAGATCATCGAGTAGACTGTAAGAACACCGCAGACACCTAGTATCACCCAGTATAATTAGTATAAGTCCAGTAAGGGCCAATTGGTGGTGGGTTCGTTGGTTGTCATTGCTGAACTCGGACTTCCGAAGGGATCGTATGTTGTGGTGTTTTGCTCATATTCCACAGGACAGGAAACATACCGGACGCGGCGATCAACGAATAAACCATTCCCTTGTGCGCTTTATTGGCGAACCTCCGCCCAGCCTCAATCCATCGATCCGTACCAGTTCCAGCTGCCTGTGCCTTCCGAGCAGCCCGTGCCTGTGCTCGGAGTCGTTCCACCTTCTCCTTGGGTGTCTCCGGTTGACCACTGGGGCCAAGCTGCTGTGGTGGTGGGTTCTTGTTGGAGGTCTTTTTCCCAAACTCTGGGGCTTGGTACGCGCCTGCGGTCTTGGAGTTGGCGTAGGGCCCTGTGGCCGTGAACCGCGTTGCGTCTGCGGCGGATCGGGACATGTTGGAAGTTCCCGGTTTCGGGGGGAGAGCTCAAGACGAGGATTGGCAATCGAATTAATATTACTGCAAATTGGCCGGAGGCAATTGGAGGGCCGTGGTGGGGTGATGGAGCTGGAGGCAGTTGATAAACCGGGGGATTTGCAGGTTGAAGGTAAATTTTCAGCACGGGAGATGTGCCAAGACATTCAACAGCTTCAACTGGTATGACTTTCATCTTCAGTCCTTTCTCACTTCTCATGTTGGGGAGATTTGTAATTTATATGATACCAATAAATTATACCACTTGCTCTTTGTGAAATTTATTTATCTCTTTAAACACCTCATTCTCCGTTCTTACTCTGCATATGTATCTTTCGACCGTTTTTGGAACACTTCACATCTACATCAACCTTCACTCGCCACTCTCAGTCTTGATTTATTGAGACTTCCAAGGTTGATATATTGATTAGCAACTTCTGGATCAACCTACAAATCTCCCAGGATTCTATCGGGTGACTATTATTCAATATGGGAGACAGCTCCTACAATGCCTCGGATCTGAACTCAGTCCTCAGCACCTTGTCTAGTCTATCTTCCCAAGGTCAGGGCAGTATCAATCAATATATGCCCACACCTCACCAACCACCAAAATTCACATCTTCTCAATCCAAACCCTCGGCGGATCCACGACCGCCGCAGCCAAGGATATCGAGACCTCCCACCACTTCTACTTCTACACCTGACTCATCAACTATCACAACCTGGCCCGCAGCACTACGACATGTGATGCGCACTGTGGGCCAAAACGAAGAGACCCAAGCGCGCATCCGCGGGGTGATTCGAAGTCAGCATCGCCATGAGCAACAATGGTTCGATGCTCGTGAGGCATTATTGAAGCAGCAAAAGGGTCGTCCTGAGAAACAAAGGGAGCTAGATGCAGTCCTGTGGGTTTATCTTTCTGCTTCTATTCTGTAATCTCTCACTATTAACTGATCGCTAATGCTAAACAAAAAGGAGGTCGATCGGTGCCCCTGTAAAAGAGGACGATGGATCGGTATGTTGTCAATGTTTCTTTTACTTGCTTGCTCCGACTGATTGCAATTAGACCGAAAAGGAATTTGCCGCAGAGCTTGCAACCTACGATGCAAAGGTTCATAGGGCTGCCGTGCAAATGGCAGATGCTATTTTTGCCGAATTGCGCGGCCTGGGGATTCCATTCTTTACGCTTCGGAAGGAGCTGGTTCAAGATGCACCATCCGGCATAGAAGGCTCACAGCCACGCAGCCAGACCGAGTCTGCATCAATGTCATCTACCCCAATCTCAAAGTCTGAGCTTGTGGAGTTGCAGCAACGCATGTTGGAGTTGCTGGAGGATCTGTGCAAGTAATAAGATATTGCTCAGAATCCGGAATCTATCTTCGATCCTAATATTTGGTGTGAGCGGGGATCTCCCTGATAGTAGGTGATGATTAGGTGGGCCATGGGAGTTCCTGACTTGGTCTATCAAATGCAAGTTCTTCGAAACTAGAATTTTACCGTGGTATATTTCTACCCTGCGCATAATCAACCCCGATGAAGTTAATATCATCAAGCAAACATGACCTGTAACCGAAGAATCCTCCAAATCAGCCTAATTTTGTAGTGAAGGTTTGTCTGCTAGTATTTGAGACAATTCTGCTGGTGACAATCCCCAAATAGGGCTATATGTACAGTCTTTTCAACCCAACTTGACAAAAATAACTCTTATTATAGTTCTAAATAAGCTTTGAGGGGGGCTCTACTGTGCAGATGTTTAGCTTGGTCTTTCCACTATAAATATCTACTAACCACATGTGTTTAGTATACATTGTATACAGCAAAGTCTATACTTAACGCCGGGCTGTATATAGCATTTTCAGTGACCGGACCAAGTCTCACGTCTCAAAAATACATGGGCTGCTCTTTATTCCGCTCATTTCTTACAGATTCCTCCCTTCTTCGGTGATCAGGCCTTGTCTCCATACTTTTTGGTCCTCCGATCCCACCAGTCGAGGCGTGTCACACTAAGCTGGCACCGGATGATATCGCGAGCTTCCACCTCACTAGGAATCAAGTGTACAATGCTGTACGTTGAAAGGGACAATATGAAGGACGATAGGTCTAAAAATGAGTAGTTACAAGTGAAAAGTCTCTTATCATGCAGCAAAAAATACAAGGGGCCTGTCAGCTGATGTTAGATTTCATTAGCGGCGGGTCGTATACATTGAAGCATAAGAGTGATGAAGAAACATCATTTATCTGTACATCTTTCCATTCCTATACTAACTATACAAGAACACTTATATTAATCAAAATAGATCTACAAATCTATAGATCAATTTTTCTTTGACCTGCGGAATGCCTCGGCCGACCGCCCGCCAAACGCCGATAGGCCGGGGATTGAAACGTCACTCTTCATTCTATCATTTTTTATAGCATGACTCCAACGAGATCGACAAAAACAAGTGGTCTAGCCTCCCTGGCTTGTACCGAGTGCAGAAAACAACATCTCAAATGTGACGCCGGTAAACCATCATGTTCGCGGTGTGTTCAGAATGGGTTTCTCTGTCAATATCTACCCTCCCGAAGGGGTGGACGCAGGAAGTCCCGGCTTGAGAGTCCATATCAACGCCAGCAAACCCATGTTAATGTCAGTTCTCCTTATTATTTTTTTCTTCTTCATAATGATTTGCTAAAAATTAATCCTAGACTAGATATCAGTCTGCGGTCCCTGTTCTGCCGATAGTCCCTGCGCAGACCACACCAGATCCCCAGGCGGACAGGCCGACAGGACTCGACATTCCAACTGAGCCAGTCTCTTGGCCAGTGATGCTTTCGGGAACTGCTCCTGTCCAGCAACCTGTTCAGCAGCCTGTAGAACCACCAAGCAAGCTGTTGCTCCATGATGAGCGTCTGCCTCGGTTGTACTATGAAAATTTCCATGTCGCACATCCGATCTTGGTGCCCAGCTCCTTGTATCATGACCGAAATTATCCCCACTTCTTACAGCTAGCTGTGCATTTTGTGGGATCTCATTATATTGCGTCTATTCCGAGTCAGTCATACAAGGAACAAGTCATTGCTGAGCTGAAGACAAACCCTGATCGCTCGGCTTCCATGGTCCAGGCTTGGCTACTATATTCTATTGCTCTCTACGCCCGCGACGAATGGACTGAAGCACAAGATGCGCTCTCTCATAGCATTGATATTGCTTTGGAGCTTGGCATGAACCGTTGGTCATTCGCTTCAGCCGCAAACCCCGAAAGTTCTCTTGAAGCTGAAAGTTTGAGACGGACATGGTGGGAACTATACGTCACCGATATCTTCATGGCAGTCCCGCTCAAAACCACGACATTTCGATGTAGCACCGTACCTCCAGAAGTGGCCTTGCCATGCGAAGAGTCAGCATATAATTGTGGAGGTGACATTCCGAAACCACGAATGATCATCGAGTTCAAGCGGAGGATCCTCGCGGCTGAGGATACTGTCTTTTCATCCTTCAGCTACCGCATCGAAGCCACGACGATATTATGTCGAGTGCTTGTTCTCAACCGATTACGCGACTGTCACCGCGATCATCTCCAAGCTGTCGAAAATGCACTAGTCAGCTGGATCAACCACCTACCGGCCAAAAAGCTCGACATTGTTGATTCATACGGCAACGTTGACGAAATGATGTTTCAAGCGCATTTGACAATAGCCTACGCCGCCATGCTCCTACACTTACCCCGAAGCGACCTCCCATCTGTATTGTCCCAGTCCCAACCAGATGATCGCTTCTGGCCTGGCCTGACTGGCCAGCTTTCATCAACATTCACCCGTCTAGTCCATAGTATCAAAGCAACAGAAGCCTCGAGGCGGATCTCAGATTCCATATCTGTTTGTCCGAACGTCTCGAAGCACACCCCTTTCATCATCCCCGCCTTAACCCTCTGCGGGCTCATCCAGCTCGCCACGTCCACCAGTCATTCCGAGGAATGTTTCGACCATCACTGCAACCGCGTCACACTCATTCTAGGGTGTCTCAAGAGCACCCAGCGGACATGGAAACTAGCCGAGTCCCTATACCATGCACTTCGATCTTCTGCCGCAGAAGTCTTGACAGATTCGATGGAAAAATGGAACGCAGAACCACTGCATCGATTCACACCAGCGGGCACAACACCTAATGACCAAGAACGACCCAGTTCCGGTACCAATCCCGTCCCAGTTATGCCAGACGGACATGATTTCATGCCACCGGAGTTTTCCCCGGCGTTCATCGACCCAACTTGTTACAATGCTTCGTTTTTCAGCGCTATTCCTGATTTTGATATGAATTAGATCGGTTATACCCGGGACGCAATGCATCAATTCACAATATATTAAAGAAGAAATCAAAGAACTTCTCACACTCGATGTCATTTTTACCTAAAAGTTTCTGGGGTAAACCATCAGCTGGCCTCGTCACGCAGCTGTGGACTAGGCATCGGGCCTTAATTAAGTAAATGCCAACGATGCGTAATAATAAGGGTCCAAACATGAGCTTTGAGAATTTCGATATGTCAAACGCCGATTGGATTTTGAGTCGCCGATGGTGTTGATAAGACATTTGATTGGTCCGTGGAACTCCCTCGGTGTTCCATCGGGAGCCCGCGCATAGCACCAACATCTTGTGAGACAGTCGGGAATTTCTTGTGAATAGAGATAAATACATCTAGTCATAGCTAGAGACTGGTTTCCGAAGTAACATCAATGTTGCAAATGGGTATCAATTGACTCTGGTGTTCTACCGAAACCAGTTCGTGTTCTACAGTACAAAGGTTCTGCAGTAAAAAGTCCTACGGTACGAAGTATGAGAGTACAATCCCATGCGCTTTTCATATAATCATACATCGGGAGATATGGCTAGAATACTCACCGACTATTCCTTCGTTGTCTCTGATTGCATATCCGCTGATAACCGTGATAACAATCTGTTTATAGTATCCGCAGTCATGACATAGGGATCTACTACATGCTTAAGTCGTTCGCCGATGCGTTAATCTACAAAGTTGCATTAGTACATGTATGTACATATGTTGAACTATCCTTGCGTCACGAATCACACGAAGGTACCAGATGGTTGAACAGCTGTATGTCTACGTCGGGTGTTCACTATGGCGTAACGGGGTTTTTGATTGAGATTCAAAAACTAGAGAGAGATCAGAGAAATTGTTCTAAAGGCCAGAAAAGTCAGGAGAAAGATGTCTAAAATTTCCAAGTTCTACTGAGTTACTAGAACCCCAGCAGTTGTAGTGCGAATAGATATAGTGGATGGACACGGGTTTTCCAGATTCTAGCATTCTCGCATTCTCAACATCTTCTCCCTTTTTGTTTAACATATATTACTCGTCTCAAGAAGTACATGTGCAGCCCTCTGGGTATCATTAGGCGAGACTGTAATCGGTCTGGGGCAGTGGAATGCAAGGTATTGGATCAATCGGCGATTGAGATCCCATTTTATGATTGAGATCGCACGGAAGAATTCAGGGGGGAAACAGATACCAATTGATTCTAATATAACTCCGTGTATCCTCTTTAGCTCTCATCTTCCAAGAATATCTCTTTCCAACTCCAAAACATCTATTCACAATGCCCGCTGTGCTTCCCTTAGTCCCGCTTGGCACCAGCCTATCACTAGGCAACAAGCACTACAAACCCCAGTACAGCCTAGATGATCTCGTACAAGACATCAAGCGCTATCTAGGCGAGAGCGGCGGTATTTCCTCAGCAGACGTGGATAACGAATACCTGATCTCGCTGGCGCAGAAGTATATCTCTGATCCGAACGACTGGGCCCGCTTTTATTACAACGACACCAGCAAGAACTACACCCGCAATGCTATTGAAAACATTAACCAAAAAGCGAATATTGTGAGTTTATTCCAATCTTAGCTAGAATATGTCAATACTGGATGAGAATTAGAAATTAACATGCATCCCAGCTCCTCCTCGTATGGAACCCCGGGAAAGGCTCTCCCATCCACGACCACGCCAATGCACACTGCATCATGAAGGTCCTTGCCGGCACGCTCCAAGAGACTGTCTACAACGTCCCCGATCAGGGTGATCTTGGTGGTCCGTTGGAAATCAAGTCTGATACGAGACATTCCATGAATGATGTTACTTATATCTCGGATGATATCGGTTTGCATCGCGTTCATAACCCGAGTAGTGATCAAGTTGCTGTCTCTCTTCATTGTAAGTGCTGAATCATGAGATTGAAGGGGGACTTGAGTATTAATGGTCATTTTCTAGTATATACCCCGCCTAATGCTGCCGACTATGGTTATAATATTTATAACGAAGTGACAGGCAAAGCCAGCTTTGTGCAACAGGCTCAAGCCGTTCAGAAAGAATGAGGGCATCAGAGATGCTACAAGGTGATAGCCTGGTGTTATTCGTTCTTATTTTTCTTTTGTCTTTTTTTGTAAGCGCCGTTAGCCTGTCAGATACCATATTCCATTTTGCGCGGCGCTAGTGCTAGAAATGCTGGTTTGCTGTTTCTGTTCAATATTTATGAAACCATTTGACATATTTCTAAACAAATTGAGACAAATTCCAATATGTAATAGTGAAATTAATGTGAAACTGATTTAAATGATGTCAATCTCCAATTTTTTCGGGTTTTGGCAAAGGCCGGGGCTCCGTTGAATTTAAAGTCGTCGACTTGTCGATCAAATGAGGCTCTTCGATGAATCGTCTGATATATCGGCTTTTGCGGCTTTTGGAGGAATATAATTTAAGACATATATTAACTTGATGTAGACTGAATACAATTCAAAGCTCTATATCTCACAATGTTCACAACTCGTTTCACCCAATCCATAACAGCAAAGTCCGCTGCTGCCGTCACTTTACTAGGCATTGGAGGTTATTGCGCCCAAACCCGTCTCATATCAACCGCCCATGCAGAGTCAAAGGAGACATACAAAGTGTTCTCGGGATTTGGATTCACCACCTTACGCCTACAAAGCATAAAAGATTTCAACCACAACACGAAACGACTCGTCTTCGAGTTTCCAGACCAAAACGCCACAAGCGGATTGTCATTAACTTGTACGGCCCCGAATAGTAAACCTCAACTTTCAAAGTACATACTAACAACCTGCAGCCGCACTCCTTACCATCTCCCGACCCGAAGGACGCTGGCTCCCCGTACTACGTCCATATACACCCATCAGCGATCTAGGTATGAGCAATAACCCCGCAGCAGCGACTTAACTAACAAACAACAGACCAAAAAGGCCAAATCGAGCTCATGGTCAAGAAATACCCAAATGGCAAAGCGAGCACTCACATCCACTCCCTCGTACCAGGGGATACCCTCACATTTGCAGCGGCAATTCAAGGACACGCCTGGACACCGAACCAATCCTCACAGGTCTACCTCATCGCAGGCGGAGCTGGTATTACACCGATCTACCAGCTGGCACAGGGTATTCTCAATAATCCAGCGGACCAAACTAAAATCAAGCTTGTCTTCGGCGTCAATACCGAGCAGGATTTGCTACTACGAGAAGAGCTGGAGGGATTTAAGACACGGTTCCCCGATCGTTTTGACTATCTGTACACAGTTAGTCACCCGGAGGGACAGAGTGATGGATTCAGGAAGGGATATGTTACCGAGGAGTTGTTGCGGGATGTTGTGAAGGCTGATGAAGATGCGAAGGTCTTTGTTTGTGGGCCTCCTGCTATGGAAGATTCGTTGGTTGGATCGAAATTCCAGAGCGGGATTTTGGCTAAACTTGGGTTTGAGAAGGGGCAGATTGTGAAGTTTTAGTTGGCTCTGTTCTTTTTACTGTATTATTTTTCATTTTCAGAGGATACTTGTTAGAGGACAAATGTAGATTAATCATTCTACTTGGATAATTACTACAGATAGAGTGATCGTCTGAGATATGGCTCTTATACAAGAATGGTTCTCAGTTTCCCTCTTCTACGAGATAATAATTTTCAATCTGATATCTAGGACTGATTCAATAAAACTGCCATCGTTCTGTATCTGCGCTAGTGTAAATCATGACGCGGCCTTGAGGTTTACGAACATCCGTCGTCAGCTTCAGGCCGCGCAATCTCCCCGATTGAGTATACGTAAGTGTACTCCGTATGCCCTTCATCTGCTTCACGGTTTGCTGTTCGCCCCGAGGGGAAAGGTCGCAAGTGCGTATGCACTAGTGTTGTGGATATTGGACAATGATTGGGGTATCAGGATGATTGCTAAATTTGAGATTCACATTATATACAGAGACATGGATTTTGTAAAATGAAACGAACCGAAAGGCATATTCCAAGTTATAATAATACATAGAATAAGAAAAATGTACAGAAGTCAGCTCGATTCCCATAGAAAAATAGTATGCCAACAGCCTAGATATATGCAGAAACGTCACTTAAGCGTAGCACGATGAGTATATATGACAAGAACAGAATGAAAATAACGCCAGATGGGGGTATGATATGCATAGAATGATCATGGCCAAAATGGTATATACCAAATGGCCTCAGATAACTCTCTTTTTCTTTTTCGGTTCCTTTCGCGGTCGGGCAAATTTGCAAGCCGGGTTTGGTAGTCTTCGTGGGTAAAGAACGATGTAAATGCGAAACGGGGCAAGATGTAATGCCAATCATGCGAAATTGGAAGCGGAAAAACATGCTGAAACATTCAAGGGCGCCGGTTGGAGACAAGGTGGATTTCTTCCACAGGCAAACCCTCCTCGGTGGGAACGTGCTGATAGCGGCCACGGCGGGTGCGCATGAGTCGCCAGAAGGCAAATCCACCTCCGCACAGAGTGACAGCTAAAAGGAGGAAGATGAGGAGACTGCCGATTGCACGGACGATCTCATAGGCCTTGGCGACCTGCTTCGCGACCTCCTTTGCATCCGCGTATTGGGCAGTTTGGCGGCCGGAGCCAGTAGAGGAACCATTGTTGATCACTTCGGCCCCTTTGCCGCCGCCGCCGCTCTCATTCGAAGACATCGAATTGGCATTGTTGTTGGCTGCGACGATGATGGAGGGGTCATCAGGAGTAGGGCCAGAGCTAGAACCGCTCCAGCCGGCGGCTTTCCAGTCGGGTGGGGTGCCAGTGCGCATGATTTTAGAAGTGTGCATGACACTGCCCGCGGCATCGATGGCCTGCGCCGAAACAAAGTCCATATAGCCGTCAGCGATGAACATGGTCTCAAAATCGGTTTTGTTGACGGTGCCAATGAGCACGGATTGGCCGTGGTCCTGGGCCTGTGCGTAGAACTTCCACTGGACGACATCGGTCGCGCCGTTCCAGCTGACGTGGATGATGGTCGTCATATCCTCATCGTTGGTGCCGTATACGGATGCGACTAAGTCCGGAGGCGCAGTGGGACGACCAATGAACTCGCCCTTGTAAGAGCGGTAGGTTGAGTACCGATCGGATGCAAACCGGGCGGTCATTAGAAGGTCGCCGTTCGATGCATGCTCGCTCGAGTAGCCGCGCTCGCTCCATCCGATAAAGACATTGCCGTTAGGAAGCGCGCGAGCGCTACCACGGAGCCGAGTGAGACCACTATCGGGGCGATTAATTCGCTTAATCACCTTGGCGGTCATAGGGACCACACTTGTGTCGAGCTCAATGAATAAAACGGAGGAGATCTTCTCGTCTTGGCCACCTTCATCGGAGGCATTGTTCAGAAACGAGATAACGTGGCGAGTGCCGTCTGACGAGACAAACTTGACATCGTGTTGCTTGGAGAAGGTGAAGTCCTGCTTGAAGTCGCTTTTTGGTCCACCTAAGCGCCACACGATGTTTCCATCCTGGCCAGAAATCAAGTAAATGGTATTGGTGAATCGCATTGAGATTAGGTAGTCACCAGCCTTGTTCTTGTCGACTGCATTGATATGCACGTAATCCCAACCGGGCGCCCCAGCTGGGGCATCTGACTCGTGGAACACGTTCGATTCGTGCAGAGCAACATTGTCGATTGAATCCCACTGGACCAGAACCTTGCTGGTTTCGATATCCACCTCGACAAACCCACCAACCGTGACCCAACTCTCTTCCGTTGGACGTCCGAAATCAGCCAGGCTGACGAGTTGGGAACGATATGTGCAAGCCAATGCAGTCTTTCCACCGTCCATAATGTTGAACTCGTGCATGTTGAAATCATGGACATCATTGAGGGCCTGGACCTCTTTTTCCACCTCGTAATGATTATTCACAATCGCGCCGTGGCCCTTCTTGGACTCGTCGTATTCCCATCCCACAATGAATGACAGATAAGGGTCGTCACCGATGTTGTGTACTGGCTTGAAATCGAAGACATTCTGGTTGTCATACAAGGGTGCTCCAGCCCAGATAAGGACCTGTTACGCCAGAGGCGAGTCAGCTGGTGCTTGTTGACCGGGTATCGGGGCTGGGACATACGCCGCTGTCGTCGTAAATGTAGGGTCCGACTTGGTATTGTTGATATTTCATGGTGGGTTTCTCTGGGGTAATTTGCCCATATGGCGCGACGAACCAGTATCCGGGGGCCAACCGCTCACGATCGTAGTATTCGATTTCCCATTTTAAGGCTCGGACTTCGGGAAGCTGGAATTTGACTATTAGAGCTATATGATTCCAATGTGAAAGTTGAACCCACCGTCACAAAAGACATCAAATCCGAGTCATGACGCGTTGCAACGGCACCCGATAATAAGAGTAATGCAGCCCAAAACATGATTGATTTTTAAAGAATGGCTAGGAAGAGTAGATCTTCCTGTAATAAAAAGTGAAAAAGGAATGAAGGGAGAAGACGCATAAGAGCCAAGGACATCAAAACATTCCGGTCGTCAGTGGCATCAGTAAAGAGGGGCAAAACGACGCTAAATAATTAGATATAGAAAAATCATATTTGAAGTAAAGCAGATAAAAACAAAACGGAGGAGTTGACCTCGGGAGATGTCAAAAGAGAAGAGAGCAACGTAATAAAAGGTCTTGGCATTTCAAGTGGAGATGATTTTGCCCTATAAGGTCTCTTCTTCACGACGACACCTTATTCCCACTGCGGAGTTCTTCTCCTTTCTAGTACTAGATTTATTGCACAGAATATTCGTCCCTATGATGGCGTGGCCTGCATCTACTTCGTCTAAACAACACGCGGTTCCCCAACTGTTTCCCCAATCTGTTGAGCAGAAGATCGTCCAGGGGGACGTCTTGGCACTCTATCCAAATCTGGTGATGGAGTCAGGGGTTTCTCCTCTTTTCCCTCCAACTTGAAGATCGGAGGAAAATCCTTATATAAATCTGTCTACTTCGAATCCTGTATGGAGCAGGTAAAGTCTACAGTTAAAAATCGTACCCACTGACACACAGTTCTTCATGATACCTTGCCCCGTATATACTCCTATCTAGCGGGGAGTGGATATTCATAATTTCTCTCAAATGTACGTACAAGAATAGTGCATAAGCGGCCTAATGTATTTTCAGTGGTCTTCTCAAACATCATTCTATTTAGATTCTTTATTAAGTCGACGGAAAAACAGGAAAAGGGCTTTGTTGACTAGACGGTCGTACCGTCCTCTCTAATAGCGTCGATAGGGTGTTGTCGCTAACCGAACAAAGTCCGATCTCCGACAAAGCAACGGAGGAAGAAAAATATAATCCGCAAGAATGGAACATCATACCCATGCTCCCAGCGCAGTTCCTCCAGGAACTATCCGGAACCAATCTCTTGGTATTTGAAGACCAGAAGTCGCTGCCTCTGCTCCGCCCATTTCCTCGCGCTGTTCTCCTGCAGGCCGTTGAGCGCTGCATGTTAGGGGTTCGGCATCCTCCATCTGTGAAGAGAATCAATTATTTCTTCTTTCTATCCTTTCGATTCTGTCCCACGATGTGGCTTGGTCCCTGTTCCTCTGCATCCTTTGGATTATGCTCCTCTTCTTCCAATTTTTTCTGTTCCTTGGTAGGTCTTTCGGGACTCACATTAACCTGTGCGTGGAATCCCGTTGGGAGAATAGCTCCGAAAGAAACTAGACCCTTTTCTTTCCATGGCTTTGTACCCTGCAGGCTATATTCAAGCCATGAATCTGTAGGCCTGCCGATGACCAGGGTAGACCTCATCTGCGCATCCGATGATCATGATCCATCTATATTTTTTATTAGTATCCATTTATCAGCTACCGTGAAATTTTGGCTTACCGATTCTTTGTAAGGCTTTCACCCTGGCAATGCGCAATCTAGAACATCATCTCCCAGCCTATCTGACGTAGGAACGAATCATAGCGTTCCTTAGACTGGAGGTGGTCGACTTTGACTTCCACAATATATTGAATGTCCAGAGAGTTCTGAGGGTGGACTAATTGTCCTCAGCCCTCTTAGTGTCTTTCGGTACCTAAACAACCTTTCTCAGTCCCGAACATGTCGTTCAATGGTCTCTTCCACAGCAGACGCATTGGAAATCTCGCGCATTCATCAATGCACGTTGAGAATTGCGCTTGGAATCTCATGCTCTGTGTTGGGTAAAAGCCAGACGCGCTGATCCGGGGGAATAGCGGGGACGTTAGCCGGGGGATAGCGCTTGCAAGTCTTCACCTCGCACTCACTTTCGATATCCTGATAAGGACAGTGAGCTTAACGGGTTTCATGGTGGATCATTGCCTACTTATGGTAGGCTTTAAGGCAGTGAATTTGCCCAACTGGGTATGCACCGAGTCTCGGAGATTGATGCCATTGCTAAGGGTGTTGATCTCCTCTGAAAATATATCGCACAACATGGGGAAACACTTGCACAGTAAGGTTCAGGTGCTTGATATATCTCTTGGCCCTCCGTACACCCTTGACGAGTAGGCAAAAGCAAAAGGTATTATATGAGCCCTCTCAGTGATGTTCTGCCTCGTTAGCCACGTTAGAAATGGATTTGGCGTCTTGTCGCGAAGAGATTGATTTTCATAAGCCTGGAGCTTCAAGTCTACCACCTCATGAATCTTCGGGTGGAACCAGGCCTGTTGGAAGGTAAAGCTGATCGATCTCTCGAAGGGGCGTATCAGAGGTTATACTTTGGAAAGTGCATTTCACAAAGCCTTCCAAGATTTTCCCGCCTTTTTATGCCACCGACATATAAAATCGACACATCAATGTAGAATGATATCTGAGAAGACCGCTGAAAAGTCCACTCAAAAGACTGCTGAAAGGACCGCTGAAAAGACACCACAAGACCGCCTATGCGACTATTATTGTATAGGCTAGGCGCGAAGGGAATATCTACAGAATGTTTGGGGTGTCCCTTAAATGTACTTTGCTCGCTTTCTTTGATAATAGATACCTTAAGGAAGTCCCAAACTTTCCGTAGCGATTCTATACAAAATACCTAGGTATTTTCTACCATCTTCACAGACGCGCCGTTGGAGATAGTAGTAAAGGACATAGATTTAATAAGCCTTACATATATTATTGTATAAGCCCGTCCCAATTGTTCGACTCCTTCAAATCAAGCAATTCCGCAACATCCTGACCTTTCAGCCACTCCTCAAACTTCTGACCTTGTACATGGGACTTCAACTGAGCAGGCTCAACAATATTTTCCAGTCCGGCAGTGTACCCGAACTCATCAACAAATGCCGGACCACCCAAAATCTCAACCGGGATACCAAGCTTTTCATTCATCTCCTTGACCGTCATCTGAATATATTCAACCTGCCTTCCAAGGAACCGAGCCCAAACCTTCATTAACTCTTCCATAGAGATATAATCGTCGTAAGCAAGTAACTTCATCCCTGCGGCCTCATCCTCCACCAAACCTCTCACGAACGGACCAGTCGACCGAGCCGCATCGATGATAGGCATACGCATAGTCTTTCTAGCAGGCATGACAGAAACAAACTGCTTGCTCTCCGGCTGGAACTTGGGATACAGGAACGGGTTGCTGATGTAACAAGTAACGTAGATGAAGGATGTCTTCTTTGCCAATTCAGGTTTCTGAGTCTCAATGTAGTCGACTATGTGCGCCTTGGTCTCCCAGTGGTGTGAATCCGAGTACTTCCCACCCGATGCCTTTTTCATTGGGCCCAAAGCTGAGTAAATGAACTTCTCCAGGGTCGGAATAGTAGCAGCGACATTCGCTGCATTTTCGCCGTGGGTGACTTCCACCTTATAACCTTGCTTGGCACTTGTCAGGTCATCGACGCCAGACGCGAGTGCATCGCGATAAGGTTGCCAGAAGTCGGTGTTGAGGAAGATGGCATTTGCACCGGCGAAGGCTCGACGTAGGGATTCTTCGTCGTTGAGGTCGGCCTCAACTACCTCGCTACCCTGTTCTGCGAGCTGTCGGGCTTTCTCAGAAGTTGGATTGCGAGTAAGACACCGAACATGCCAATTTGGGAGGCGCAGGAATGTGCGAGCAACTGATGATCCTTGTGTGCCGGTAGCGCCGATAATTGCGATGATTTTCTTTGTAGATGCCATTGTTTGAAGCGGGTGGTTCGTAGTCTTCAATGCAGTGTTGCTGATTGTGCTGCTTTGATTCATTTTCGGAGCGACACGTCGTCCCTTTTATATTGCCCAACTGACAGAAGCATGGATTTGAGTCTGTGATATTTATATAGTTCGAGCAATATGATTGGACGAGAATCGTAAGCCAATGTGGCTTACAGCGTCGGAGTTCCGGAGTTAAGGTCTCTCCGGCCATTACTTCCATATTCATTCGCCCCTAACTCTTTAACTCGAATCAGAGTTAAGTCTAGCATTGACACAAGATTGGCCATAATCTGACTGGAAAGCCACGACATGCTTACGTCTATCAGTGACTCCAGCCGGCCTGAGGCTGTCTCGTCTAAAAGGCCCAAGAAGCGAGTCCTCACACTAGCCCGAAGAGAACAAAATAGGACCGCACAAAGGGCTTATCGTGTGTCGACCCAAGTCCCATTTGTCTCGTAGCACTGGCTAATACATATTATGTCTCTAGGTGAGAGACAGAGGACAGCACGAAATAGTTCCAACACACATGGGAGGCAACCAAGGAGACTTGCACCTCGACCACCATCAGAGTCGTCTGGGTCAGAATCAAATAACCCTTCTACTGATTTGGATCCTGCGAGCTCAGTTGATACATCCTTAATACTTTCAGGTTTCAGCCATGGGAATGATGCCTTGTCGACTATGTCCGCTGATCCATGGATGAATACACTACAAACTCCGCAGGTCACCATGTGGACAGCCATATTCAGAAACGCCATCTGTCTCGGACATGATATGGAACTTCTATCAGCCTGTGCAGTGACATATATGTCGCCATTTTACAAACCAATCACGGCGCAAGACAACCCCCGGGATCTGGTAGTATCAGCTATGAATCCCTCCTTTCCTGTTCACCTCCAACCGACGATGGCTCAAATACTGGTTCCTCATCATGCCAGCCTGGATTTGATCCCCATACCTCTTCTCCGGGAGCGTGCTATCATGTTGTGTTTTGCCATGCCAGATATGTTTGATCTCTGGGACTTTAAGCTGGACATTTATACCCGAAACGCACTTATCTGTCATCGGCATCGTGCTAATAGATCCTGCCAACCATGGGATCAAAATAGCTGGGAGGCTATGCCTTGGTTTTTGAAGAAATGGGCTACAGCAGTTGATCCATAATCTGGATTTGCAGAAGGCAAGCATACTATCACAAGACCTTGCGCCATGATAATCCTTATTGCCTCAATTTCCCCTCTTTTTATATATTCCCATTCAACAAACACACACTATAGAAACCCCCGGTTGCACTGTTGTAGTCGGCACTCTCGAAGTCCATATCGCTGTCTGTTGGCACTAGTACTACAGTAAGCCTAAGTAGTCAAGAATTGTGTATAATGGAGGAATAGAACCATAGGAATTCAATACCAATATATGTATTATCGTGTGTATCTATGAACTACCTCTATTGAAGTAAGTGAACTACCGCAACAGGCCAAAGAATCTACCAACCAACCCTATTCCCGAATCAAACCTTCTCAATATCAAACCGCATCTGAATGTAGGGAATATAACGACCACCCCAAGTCACGATCCTCGCAATGCGTCTCGTTCCTCGCGGAAAAGCACCTAGAACCAAATGAACCACACCTTTAGCAAGTCTCGTACCTAGCAGAGCCTGATACTCAGCGCAACCTTCCTCCCACACACGCAGTCTATCATCTGGCCAACCAAGGCCATTATCCGCAACATAGAGGCTCTTCTGTACAAACAACATAGTCTCGGGGTTAATGATACTACACTGGAAGACGTACTTCAGGTCCTCGATAGGGTGCTCATCTTTGTAAACGGCCTGGGCGATTTGCGCCCAATATGCCGAGTCAGGCCGAAAGCTATCCATGGCAAAAATTACGCCTGGCCCTGTTTGTAACATGTAGTCATGCACGCAGTACTGTCCGCGTAATATTCCGGACTTCCAGAGTACGATCTTGCGGTAGAGCTTTTCTCTTGACAGACCCAGTTCGACGGCTTCTTCGTAGATTTGGTCTGGTGGAAAATGTCGTTTTTCGTGTCGGATTCCCCATCCTGATTCTGGCATTTTTTGCATTGTGAGCTGGGAAAAGGCAATTGGACAGTTTTGGTCGGGATTCCTTATTCATGAAGCCCTGAGGGCACCTTTTGTTTGGAGGGTGTCGTACTTTAATGGCGGGGGCTGTTCGCCTGATGATTGGGTAGCGATGGCGTCGGACATGGCCAATGAGGGATGGGGTTGTTAAAATACTTGCTGCAATTCTAGGGTTCTCTGACATCTGCTGCTTGCTAAATGTGATATAGGAAAGCGGGACTGATGCATTGTTGATTTATATATTTTTCTTGTCTACAGCCAGACTCAATATCAACCAACTCTTGCATTTTGTTATAGAAAAGAAAAGAAATAGAACAATGGAATGGAAATCACTCGTATTAGTGCCCAGGTGGGAGGTGAAAGGCGCACAAAGGATAGTGAGGTAATATAGATAACATTGTCTTAGGATATAAAGGGTACCTGGGAGACACCGGTGTGATAATTTGCAAGGTCAAAGATGTGCACAAAGATATGACAAAGACTTAAATCGAATGAACCATGTAGGATTAATTTGTAGTTTACAGAGAGCATTGATTAATAACTACAGACAAGACAAGAAATTGTAGTTCATATTGTTCTATGGGCCCTGAACTATCAAGGAACCTTAATAATCCCGTGTGATATATCAATTGAGGGCTACCATTTTTTAAGCGAACCATATATTCCAAATCAGACATCTTTTTCTTGTTTTAGCAGAGTGCTCGGATAGTGAGCAACTCGGTGGCCATGCTGATCGGGATAGATGACCTATATGCATAGATGTGATTAGTCAAGAACACGGAATATACTTAAGCAGCGATCTGGGAAGAATCAAGAATAATGAAAAGCATTTGGACTTGCCTTGGGAGGGTTGACTACACCCTCACGTTGGGCACTCTCTTGATCCTTGACGATCGTTTGGACCTGCTGACGGGTCAATTTCTGCCGTACTCTAGCACGGACGATTAGCTCTAGTAGAAATCCTACCTTGCCCTCATGCGACCCGCCTCTGAACTTGGTGAAGACGGGGTCACCTTCAGTGATATCGTTGCCTTCTCTATCCTTTACTTCTTGGGCGGACATGGTGTAGAGATTTACAAGAGTTACTGAACTTGTCTATTACTACCTAGGTTGCCTTTTGCCTCTTAGATGTGATGTGATACTTGCAACATAGGTGATGTCATGGTGTTGTAGAACATGAAGTTTGATTTTCAGAGATCTGAAACAAGATAGAATGTTGATCATTGAAGGGTATCATGCAGGTAGAATATTTAATATGAGGCTCAAGGGGAATCAGGATAGGGTGACAGGGGTATCTCACATGATTTTACAGTTCTACATATGTAGTAATGTAAGTAAGATCAAAAGAAGAAATACGTTGCAACGCAGAACAAAGAACATTGAACCACATTAGGATATTCGACCGGGATGCCGAGTGAGTTAAGTAGAGAGATTTGTTCCACATGTAACCATAGTTGGTCTGAGATACCACGGTTACACTCAAGGGGTACACTAAGAATGTGTCTGTAAGGGTATTATTGAATACTTCTTAATTTATATATTTGAATACTATAATACTATTACACTATATAGTTTCTATCATTGATGTTAATAAGGATATGTAACTTCACTGTGATATGGTAAAAATGGTATGGTATTAGAACAATGTGACTCAAAAAAGATATTAAAAAAACATACTGTGCAAATTGTAAATATAAATTACCATTTCAATACCATACCATCAATTGCGACACAAGGGCTTCTTTTCCCCAATGACACTGATGGATCAACATTGGCCCATTCTTGTGTTGACAGTGTCATCGGCCTTTTCCTCCTTTTCCTCTCCATCTTTCTTTTTTCCCCGGTGGGGATTATTCAAGTTGCACACTCCCACCGATCCACTCAAGACACAACTCCAGTGGGAGTGTCACATCAACTTCTCTTCCCCAAGGTGTTATAACTTTGGGTTCTTTCTTTTTACATGTTCTAAACTTCTATCTCTCACCCTTTCTCCCGACTATGTCGGCCCCACTCGTCAAGGTCCTGCACCGATTGCAAGAGTTATTCCATAACGTCGTCGCCGCACTCGAAAGCATGATCCTCTTCCCCTCGTTCTTCCGCGGTCTTTCGCGACGCCGCCGAAAGACCTTCCTAGGCGCCCATTGGAAACGCCGTAGTCTCGATGACTTCGCCGAAGAAGTGGAGACCTCGTGTTCGACGCCGCTCTCAACGCGCAACATGGTTGAAATGTCCAAGAATATCCGCGCACAGTTCCGGGAATGTCTACAGAATAGCCCATGCTGCATGCTTCCATCTTATGATACTGCACTTCCCGCTGGTTCGGAAAAGGGTACATATTTGGCATTGGACGTGGGCGGTTCGACGTTTCGCGTAGCTTTGATTGAATTGAATGGCCGGGATGAGGAAGTGCGCATCTTGAAAGTATCATCTGTACACATTGACGAAAAGCTCAAGATGCTGGAGGGCACACTGTTTTTCGATTGGATGGCAGAGCAGATCGAGACCATTCTGAAGGAAGTTGGAACAGACTACGGCCGTAGCGACGTACCGCTGGCAATGGGATTGTCCTGGTCTTTCCCCATTGAACAAACGTCGCACAGCAGCGGGTTGGTGATACATATGGGCAAGGGATTCAAGGCTTCCGAAGGAATGGTAGGCAAGGAACTGGGTGATCTTATTATCCAGTCTTGTCGCAAGCGCAATTTGAACGTAGAGGTTGCCGCTATTGTGAACGACAGTTCGGCGGCTCTACTGTCGCGTGCATACGTTGATCCCAAGACCCGCATGTCTCTCATTTTGGGTACCGGTACCAACATGGCGATTCACTTCCCGGTGCAGGAGATTGGAAAGTCCAAGTTTGGAATTCGTCCGGAGGGCTGGTTCGACCACGCCAAGCATGTTCTCATCAACACTGAAATGAGTATGTTTGGCGGAGGCGTACTACCTATGACACGGTGGGACGACACCCTGAACCGTACGCATCTACGCCCTGACTACCAGCCACTCGAGTACATGATCACAGGTCGGTACTTGGGTGAGATTGTGCGTCTGATCATCGTCGAGGCAACCGAGACCGCCCGCCTATTCGGCGGCGAGCTACCACAATCCATGCGCGAACCCTATTCCTTTGATACGAGCATCGTCGCCTGCCTCGAGGATGACTCCTCTGCCTCCCTTTCCGTCTCCGCCGCCCTCCTGCAAGAGCAGCATACCTTCCACAACCCTCCCTCCGTTGACGACTTGCGGTTCCTGCGCCGTGTCTCCCAGGCGATTTCTCGCCGTGCCGCTGGATACCTGGCGACAGCCATCCACAGCATGTGGTGCCTCCGTAACGAGGTGGAATTCCCCTCACCCCCATCCACCGCCGACTCTCTCGCTAAGGAATCCCCCGAAATCACCGTCGTCGAGAACGGAGACGATAAGAACCTTTCGATCGCCTGCGACGGTGCCGTCATCAACAAGTATCCTGGCTTCCGCGCCATTTGCCAGAAATATCTGGATCAGTTGACCGAGGAAACATATCCGGGCACCGGATCCTCCATTCGTCTCAACCCGGCACCTGAAAGTGCCATTCTCGGTGCTGCAGTCGCAGTGGCTGTGTCCGTTGCTGAGAAATCCACTCCGCTGTAAATCTGATTAACAGCGATGCATGAACCGCTGAGCATAGATCTCTCGCTGTATCTTTCACTGTTATTTTCTTTTTACCATGGTCCATCGGCGCATACGTGATGGGCTTTCATCTGCACCTTTTTTTGTTTTCCTCATCTGCATGGGCATTCCCGGATGGGAGTTGTGGAGAGAGCGTTTTTCTTGCCTTCCCTTTTCCACAGTTTGTTTAGCATCATCAAGGAGTTCTAGGTTCTCGGAATATATATGGGTCTCTCATATGGCTTTCTGTTGGGTTTTTGATGGAGTTTGGTTTATCATTTTTATTTTTTTCTCGAATTCCAGGAGACATGTTTGATTTGATCTCTGTTCCTCAAGTGCATTTTTACTTTTATGTGGAATTCAGGGCTCTTGTCTCTTAAATTCCCTATGAAACTGGTTCTATACTCCTTCCTGTTCTCGGGCTCTTGCGTACAATGTTATAGACCTCGAAAGATAGTAATGGCAGCAAATTTCTACGTGTTGAAGATCTCAGATCAATTGCACTACAAAACCTACTCTCGACAGATAACATATTTTACCTTACCACTGACAATTCTTTTAGTTGGTACGAAAATGAAAATGGACACATGGAAAGGTCGAAATATGATCATTTTATAAATTGAAAACAAATTGCAAATAGTCATAACTTATATATACGTGAAATCTAACGGCTCGTATACCGCCGCACTATTCCATAATATCATTGTCTCACTCAGCACGAGTATAGGCCTGAGATTTGTTGAGGATAATCTCAGCCAGAGCCATCAAACTGCCACTAGATAACAACTCCAGAACCTGCACATTGGCATTGGCCTCACGGGCAATCCAATTACGAATCTCAATAGCCACCAGCGAGTCAAGCCCTAACGAAGCCACCGTAATCGAGGGATCCATATCCTCCACCGAGAGAACAAGAACCTGTGCTAACTTAGCGGCCAGCGCCTCGTAGCACACTTTCAAAGCCTCCTCCTTAGACGAGGCAGCCGACAAAGTAACCTGCAGCGGCACCGACGGGCCATTCCGCTGTGAACTGCTTCCCAATGTTCCCTTGGCAGCCTCATAGAGCAGGCTGAATTTCGCATCCTGGACCCAGAAGTTATTCTCGAGTGAATCCAGTCGCAATCCTGTGATACACTGTCCAGAGCAGGACTGGTCGAGATCACCGGTTACAGCGGCAGCTATTAGAGCTAGGACCTCTGACTCGTCGATGGCTTGCCCGCCGATATTCTTCATTACTTCCTGGCGTCGCTGGACATCTGTATCGGCTAGGTAGCCGACATCGCTGACTGCAGCTAGGTCGATTGAGGTTCCTGGTAGACCAAGGGATTTGCGATATTCTATGAATCCATCCAGGAAGGCATTTGCGGCGGAGTATGCTGCCTGGCCGCGATTGCCGATGATGCCGGCCACGGATGAGAGAGCAATGAAGAAATCTAGTGGAGAGTTGATCAGTGCATTGTGCAGATTCCAGGCTCCTTCGACCTTGTTGCATGCTACCGCTGTGAAGTCTTCAAGAGACATGTTTTCGAAGAGCATGTCCTAAGTAGGGTTAATAATTAGAATAGATGTTGTAAATATGTCCTTAAAGTAGGAACTTACGCGAAGCACCATTGTACCGTGAACAACACCACGTATAGGCTGGAGACCTTTCATATCCTTCTTGACCAAAGCCTCGACAGACTCCCGGCTACTGACATCGCAAGCCTTGACGATAATCCTCACCCCCAAGGGAGCCAGGGTATCGATCAATGCTTGAACCTTGTCGTCAATGGCTGCTCGACGGGACACAAGAACAATGTTCTTTGCGCCCTTGGAGGACATCCATTTAGCGATGCTTCGGCCTAGACCACCAGTACCCCCAATCAATATGTAGGATGCATCCGGGCGCAAGAGATTTGGGCTGGTCTTGGGAGCCACAGCCTGAAAAGTGAGCAATTAGACGGGAATATCAAATTATGGATGTGCTTTTGTTTACCTTGACTTGGTCATCTTCATGGGGAACCACCACAATCTTACCCATACTCTTACCAATCTGTAGAGTACGGAACGCCTTCTCGATATCAGAAATAGGATAAGTCGAAATCGGTAGAATGGGATGCACCGATCCCTCACCAATCAACCGACAAACATCACTCAGGAGACGTTTCATCAGCTGCGGCTTGAACTTGCCAACCTTAGTTAGATCAACCGACAGGAATGTGACATTGTGCTCAAAAGGCTGCATATCAAGCCGAGTATTTTTCGTGATATCAGCCTTGCCAATTTCGACAAATCGTCCAAACGGCGCAAGACACTCCCAAGTCTCGCGCAAAAGATCGCCTGCTAGGGAGTTGACAATAACATCCACCCCAACCCCACCAGTGGCTCTGCGGACGCCACGAGCAAAGGAGGCATCACGACTATAGAAGATACGGTCTTCGGGAATACCGTACTGAGTCATCAAGAACCGTTTCTTCTCGATACTTCCGACTGTAACATATATGTCTGCGCGGACCATCTGGGCTAGCATTATAGCGGCTTGACCGACACCACCAGCACCGGCGTGGATTAGAACCCGCTCGCTGGCTCGCAGCTGACCTAGGTCAAACAGGGCGTAGTATGTAGTACAGAATACAACTGGCACTGTGGCTGCGGTCTCGAATGACATGTCGGCTGGGATTTCCGCAGCACTGGTCGCAGAGCATCGTGCATAGGTCGAGAAACAGCCCTCGGGCATGGCCATGACTCTTTGGCCAACCTTGAAGTTCTTCACGTTTGATCCTACGCTGGAAACGATACCACTGCATTCAATGCCAATATATGACTGTGCAAGTTGGCCCATGGAGACAACGATATCTTTAAAGTTGAGACCGCTTGCTTTGACTTGAAGTTCGATTTGGTCCTCGCCTAGTGGTGAGGGGTTGTCGTCGATGAAGTATAGGGAATCGAGAGCACCTGGATTGCCAATCTGGATCTTGAAACGTCGTCCGGGCTGACTGAATGGTTGGGTTGAGATTGTCATGTCGTGGGTCTCATTGTGGATGAAGATATTGGCAGCATCGTCTTCCACTATGCGTTGTACAAAGAGCTCCGAGCCCTTGGCTTTGAACTCAAGATCATTTGTGGGCTTGGTCCCATCGGTAGGCCATAGAGCACTAATGGCTGCCTGTATAGGCTTCTCGGGATATTCGATGTCTTCAGGAGCCAACCCGAGAGTAGCTATCCTCGCCATGGTCTCTGAACGCAAAGTGCGAGTCAAACCGACTGTCATTTGGGCATCGGGCGTATCAGTCCGGTAGACCCAAAGCACAGTTTGAGCATTGAGAAGCGCCTTCTTGAGCTCCTCAAATAGATCCTCGGTGAGGTGTCGCAGAGAGCTAGCTCCGGTCTGAAGTAGAACAAGATGTTTTTGAGAGAAGTCCGTTTTACCAAACGTTCTGACGGAAACCTTCCACCTAGATGCGTCGGACAGTGCAATGCTCAGTCTATCAGCAATATCATCGTTGGATTTCTTAAAGTAGGAGATGAATATATCATGCTTGGGTGTGATATAATTTCCGTTTGAGAGTATATCGTTTTTCTGCTCTGTATTTCCATTCGTATTTGCGTCCCGGTGGGGGCAAGTACGGTTATGAGGTTTTGCAGGGTCATTGCCGTCTTGAATATCCGCCCCAACGGCGTTCTCAACCTCGGCCAAGGGATGCCATTTAATCTTATAGCATAGTCTGGGAGTATCTTCGCGGTGGGTGTCTGGATTTCTGAGGGGAGTCATTACTAGACCCTCTATTGAAATAACGGGCTCAGTGGAGCCTTCTTGTATGGCAAAAAGATCAAATCTGGTCGGCTCAGGGGAGGGCAAGCTGGGACTGCCACTGCAGTAAGCTTTAACATATTCACCAGCTGTGGTGGGGACATTGATGCCGACTGTCATACGCTTGATCATTGTCGGCATGTAGAGAGTGTCTAGGTCCATTCGGCCCAAGCCTTGGCCAAGGAGAGGCCAAGCAAAATGTAGCAGTCCGTCGAGGAATGATGGGTGGACAGTTAAAGGATGTTCAAATGCCTTCGGCATGACACTGCGGGTATCTCTGACGTGCAGATGGCCAAACGAGTAGTGAGGGCTGGAGTAGCAATTATCAATATCCTGGAAAGTAGGACCATACCCGGCTCCTAGATCACTAAGAACCTGGTACATGTGGGACATATCGAGGTAATTAGTAGCAGATTTCTCAATTCGCTCAATTTGAGCTTTTGTATAGGTGGTTTCAGTCTCGAACGGGCTCGAAATCGCAGCCGCCTGCTCTTTCGGGTCAGAGCGAACCCGCACCTGGCCGGTGCAGTGCTCTGTCCATCCTCGCCTTGAGGTCCATGAGCAGACACGGAACTCATCCCAAAGATCGGATGATCCTCGGGTACCTTCAGCATAGGGACGGAGGGTAATGGTCGTTTCTGCATCTGTGTCATCACTGAGTACAAGCGCCGAACCTACAATAACCTCCCTCAGTTCAAACTGGGCAATTTGGATATCAGCTTGCTCCGCGCGTCGTCGAGCAGCCTCAATGGCCATCACCAACTATTAGACAGTCAATATGGATAATTTCGATAAGTAATCATTCGTCAAACTCACATAGCCTGCCAGTGGGTAAACAGCCATCCCCTGCATCTTGTGGTCCCGAAGATAGGGAATCTCATCTAAGCGGACGATATTCCGCCACGTTGGCTCTAGATCATTTGAATAATTTGCCAATACTCCCAAGACGTCGTTCCTAGCACGGTCTCTGATCGTATGCTTCTGCGGAATACGGGTAACGTGCCAGTACCGAGTTCCATGTTGCCAAGGGTAGCGAGGTAAGTTAGTCAGGAACCAACGATTTGCCGCACCGGTCTTGGGGAAATTCACTCCTGTCATATTGAGTGTAGCGCCTCGCACATAGGTAGCAGCGGCGGTATCTAAGACCGACTCAGTTGCGTCCACTTTACGAAGAATAGTTGGTGCATAACCAATTTTGGAGACGGTGGTACCCAAGCTCTTTAAAGTGTCCATAATGGGGCCCTTCATTGTAGAGTGTGGACCTATTTCAATAAGAAGGTTGGGTCGTGTTTCATCATCCGACACAATCTTGCTAAGAGCATCAGAGAACAATACTGGTGATGTCAGGTTCGCAGTCCAGTATCCTGGCCCAAGCTCGGAAGGTCCTGCGAAGCGCCCGAATACAGAAGAGAAGAACGAGGCCGTTGATGATTGGAAGTGCTTAATAGTCTCAATCGCAGCCAGGTAAGCCCCGGCAACCTTCTTCATGTGGTCGGAATGGTAGGCAACGTCAATCTTCAATCTTCGATTGAAAATTTGCTTGTCTTGTAGAACCTTTTCGAGCTCATCAATTGCAGACGCGTCTCCCGACACTGTCACGCTCGAAGGGCTGTTCACGCAAGCGACGGTAGCGTATCCAGATATGGTCTTCAACATAGGCTGAATAGCCTCGCGACTGGCACCGATGGCAATCATGGTGCCCTTGAGGGACGGGAACGAGGACTTAAGTAAGGAAGTCACTTGCCCACGCCAGTAAGCGAGAGCCATAGCTCCCTCCAAGTTACAAATCCCGGCAGCGTACGCTGCACTAATCTCTCCAGAACTGTGGCCAACGACTGAAGTAGGACGGATCCCCCAAGATCCCAGGAGGTTGACTAGTGCGATCTGAAGCGCCGTGCAGGCTGGCTGACTCAGATGAGGGGAGTCTATCTTAGAGGTGGTGGTGTCCTTTTCCAATTCTTCGATAAGGGAGAAATCAGCGCCGAGCTCTCGTAGGCACTGATCGGCTCGTTTAATCGTCAACTCGTAGACAGGGTATTCATACATAAGAGGAACACCCATCCGTGCCCACTGAGCCCCTTGGCCAGTGAAGACAAAGGAAACTATTGGGGCGCCTAGAACCCGGGATGGGTTCATCTTTAGTTGGGCAAGACGGATTCCAAGGTCGTCTAGCGAGGTCGCCGATACGCCAACACGGTATGAGAGTTGGGACATCTTGTGACCTAAAGTATAAGCAAAGTTGCCGAACAGAACCTTTTCAAAAACTTCGGGATGTTGTTCGAAGTAGATACCGAAGTCTTTGATTCTAGTACGTAGAGACTCCTTGTCGTTGGCAGAGATCAAGAACAGCTTACGTTTGGGGTCCACCCCAACATCGTCAACTGCCTCATCTGGGGCTTTCGATGCCAATGGCGCCTTTTCAAGAACGACATGTGCATTGGTTCCTCCAAATCCGTAATTAGAAACGCTAAGGTATTTCTTGCGAGAAGGCCAGGGCCGCGTCGTCGTTAAAACCTTCATATTCCACTCGCTCATCGGAATATTAGGGTTCGCTTTCTTGAACTCGGCATTTGGAAGCATCAACTGCCTATCAAGCATCATAGCTGCTTTTATGATGGCAATTATACCGCTAGCGCCCTCCAAATGCCCAATATTGGATTTGACTGATCCAATGTAAAGCGGGTTCCTCGCAGACCGATTCTTTCCAAGTGCCGCCTGAACTGCTGCAGCTTCAATAGGATCACCAGCCTTTGTTCCAGTGCCATGCATTTCTACAAACCCGCATTCGTCCGGATTGAGGTTGGCCTCTTTGTAGACGCGCCGGATTAGCTCTTCCTGGGCCTGACCATTTGGCAGCGTAATCCCCTGTGTTCGCCCATCTTGATTGACTCCTGAATGTACAATAACAGCTCGGACGGGATCTTTGTCGCGTAATGCGGCGTCGAGGGGCTTCAATAGTAGGATACCACAGCCCTCGCCTCGCGCAAAACCAGATGTGGCTCTCTCGTCGAAAGAAAATGTTTTACCCTCATCATTAAACAACCTATAGAATCCAGATAGTCAGATGATATGGCTCCGAGCTTGGATTTGGGGGACACGGGAATACCTACTGTGACATGGACATAGAAACCCAAATATCGGGTACAATATTGAGGTGACAACCAGCAATGAGGGCTTCTGTGGACTCCCCGCTTCGCAAGCTCTGTACTGCATAGTGGAGTGCAACAAGCGAAGAAGAACAAGCCGTATCCACCGTGATACTAGGCCCTCGTAGATCAAAGAAGTATGAGATACGGTTGGATTGTAGTGAGGCTGCACAGCCGGTGGCTTGGTACATGGGTATGGTCTCGATATCACGGATGTTGTTGAGTTCATAATCAGAGAAATTACCACCGGCAAAAACGCCCACGTTCCGGCGGGCGAGACTCTCTTTGGGAATGCCAGCACTCTCCAAAGCTTCATATGCGCATTCCAGCAGCAAGCGTTGTTGAGGGTCCATTGATGTGGCTTCTTGGACGCTGAGGTTAAAGAAGGGAGCATCAAAGCATGCAATGTCCTCGTCGAGAAAGTAGCCTCCCTTTGGGTTGAAACAACCAACCTTGGACGGGTTGGGGTGGTGGAGTGCTTCAACAGAGAAACGGTCTTTGGGTATAGGTGACCAGCCACTTCGAGCTCGGGTGCATAGTTCCCATAGGTCACTTGGAGATGTGACTTGCCCCGGTAGCCGACAGGCATACCCAATAATGGCGATAGGCTGCGGTGTGCCCTGCTTGCCATGAGGCGTACCTTCAGAATTAACACCGTTCATGGTTGTCATGCGCGGAAAGTGCACAAGGTGCAGTTATAACGTAAGTCTAGAGAGCTTCCAGGGGTCACATAGGCATCGGGGAAAGATATGGGAAAAATAGACTGGCTGTGATGAGCTATATAGGGTTGCAAATACCTCACGCCAGCTCTTCGGATGCGGGTCATTTTGGGGGTGTACCGATGGAGCTGTCTCCGCTAGTATTGGGTGATCGGTGGTTATTCCCGAGGGGGTGCCTTTGACTGAAATGTTGTACTGTCACACATTCTCACATTATTCGATATGCAAGTTGTTTGTAGTTAGGAAGTTGATGGCTCGGCGGAAATCCCGTGCTTTCTGATTGTACAGCCCGAGCGGTAATTTATCTCCTAGTATATCTTCAAGTGTTGATTTATATATTTGCTCGCCACTCTCTTCTCTCTCACACACACATTTTTACTTATTTATGCAGGTTTAGATCACTAACCTGCTTACACAAGATGAGGTTCTTATGTCTTCACGGTGCCGTTGGCAATATCGATGTACGTTAGGAAGACGATATATGAGCCACAATACTGACTTCTCTATTACAGAATATTAATATTCAGCTTGGTAAGTGCCAATTAGGTTCGAGGACATGAAATGAGGATCTCTGACAATATTGCAGGCCCGCTAGTGAAGCAGATGGCCATAGAGGGGTTTGCTTCATTCCACTATATCAACGGTCCTGTCCCTGTGTCTCCACCGGCAGGTACGTTCTCCCGTACCCAAATGTAAAGGCAAATGTTCTGATTGACATATTATCCTAGGGTTCGCGGAGTATTTTGGCATTGGGCCGCATTACCGGTGGTTGGAGGATGGAGGAGCAGCAGAGGACTCAATGATAGCCCGTGTTCGAAAATCTCCCCACGGTTCTTCTCCTGAAGACATGATGAGAATGCTGGGCAAAAACTGGGATGGCCATTGGAATAATCACTATGAAGTCATGGAGTACCTTTATGACACGCTGGAGCAGAATCCCGATATCGAAGGCATCGTCGGATATAGTGAGGGTGCTACGATGGCTGCGAGTCTAATCTTGGATGAGGATAGAAAGTCTCAAGAGACTGGCCGTCCTCGTCGCATAAAATGTGCGATCTTTTTCACTGGCTGGCCTCCTCTCTCACCCGAAGAGGACGTGGTCCTCGCAGATGAGAGCGATTATATTCTGGACATTCCAACACTTCATGTGGTTGGTGCAGATGGTACTTTGACACGCATTGCCCCCGTTTAAATGACATACTGACTATGCATCTTTGCTACAGACCCCTACCGATACGGCGCACTAGCCTTGTTCAATATTTGTGACCCTGATACCGCAGCGATGTTCGACACTGGACGGGGCCATACCATTCCCAGGTCCGGTCCGGTCATAACTGAGTTGGGAAATGCCGTGCGAGACTTAATCGACAGAGCGTATCAAGCATAACCGAGGGCCACGATTGATGGGAAGCACGAATTCGTTCTATGAGAGGTGTGACAACATAAAGCCCGTTGAAGAATACACAAACTCGGGTCTGGGAGGTTCCAGATTCTCAAAAAGACTATATGCTGCAAGACAGTTAGATCTTGAACTTTGACATGTATAATTATTCATCCAGAAGTTATCTCGCATTGCCTCTTGCCTTTTTCGTGGAGTTTAACCTAACCCATGTAGCGCCCAGTTGGGATGGTGTGCTACCCACCAGCTGATATTGTAGCCCCTCCGGGCGATAACATTCTCTCCAAAACGGCTCATGTCCCAATTGGAAACTTGCCTGTTGCAATTTCACTCTTCCGAATCACTGGTTGGTTTCTCGGGTGTAATCCTGTTCTTGAAGCTCTAGAAACTCTGGATTTATCGGTGCTCCGGGTCAAAATCTGACTTCTAATAGCCAACATCAGATTCGGTCCGCGATCAAGCTAGGCTATGACATGCTAGGTCGTAGATACCGATCTCAAAAGGGCTGGCTGCGTGCTTTGACGTTTAGTAAATCTCACCATACCTTAACCCAAATACGTACAAGGAATACAAACATGATTGTCATCATATTGTCACATACAATTATAATTCGAAACAACGGGAGCCATTCACATATGAGCACTACATCAGACCGCAGCCTAGGCAGCCCTGTGAAGTGACGGTAGTACATAACGTCGGGGGGTTAATACAGCGACGGTCAACAAGGTAGGAAATTTCCTCTTCACAATCAAAGCTTAAAGCAAGAATAACAGGCAGAGAAGCTCAAGAGACAGCTCTATTTCTTCGGCAAATTATCTGTAACATCTATTAGAATTCTACAAAATGCATGACGCGATAGTGAAGATCACTTGGATACTGTTAGCTACCACCTTGATATTGACCCAGACTCATGCTCAGTCTGTGTCTGAGGCTGAATGCGCGACGGGTGTTCATGCCATTATCGCCAGGGGGCAAGGTCAGGGTGATGATTTGAATGTGCTGGTCACTCTTTCAGACTTGATCCTGAAGCAGATCCCCGGCTCGACAATCATCGGCTTACCCTATGATCATGGAAACGTCTTAACCGACATTGACAAGCTGCACACGGTTCATGACGGTACTGTTCTAATGCAGCAGTTCGTGCAGGAGTATGTTGAAAGCTGCCCTCGAACTAGGATCGTGGTAGTGGGATATTCAATGGTGCGCCAATTTAAACCCATATATGACATCCCGCTTTAGTATCGGGACATAAATCACAAGTGCTAAAACTTACTACCTAGGGCGCAGTTCTCATGATGGATGCTCTGTGTGGAACCAGTGAGGTTGGACTTACCTTCGTTGGTCCTCTTGCGCCATTCTATAACTCGATTAGTACGTGATGTCAAGGCGAATGTAAGAGAGCACGAAACTGATCGAATATCTAGTCATTGCTGCAATTGCGTATGGTGATATAACATACGTTCCTGGTATGCCGTGGAATGTGGGTAATTGCGCATTGGGTATGGGAGTGAGTACCACAAACTCCAGTTTCAACTGCCGACTAGAATCTAAACCGAATGGATCAGCTCCTTCCCCGCATGAACTCAACTTTGTGTGGGCCTTTTGCTAGCTCGATGCAGAGCTATTGTGATTACGGCGATGCCCAATGCTGCTCGCCATACCCAGAAGACGGCAATGCCGCACACCATGCCTACATATGGAAGTACAATCAGAAGGTCGTAGACTTTATCAAACACCGTTTGGCCACCACTAGGCACTAGTTATATCCGCTCGAGTGTGGAACAATAGGAGGCAGAAGGAAAATACTGTCAATCACAGGTGTTGACAATAATAGATACAGGACTCGGCTACTTTCTGAACTATAGAGTTGGCAATCAACATCCTATTACTTTCAAATATTAACAATGCTAACCGCCAATTTGTGAGCGTACTTCCGCGCTGTAAACTCTAGAAATGTATCGGCGTATTTCCCAAGCCTGGGTTGGCACAGCCGCTCGTTCATCCAATCACAATTGTAGTATATCACTGGCAATATACAGATTGAGATATCTCAAACGGGGGATGCTACCCCGGATCCTAAAAATTGGGTGGTACTGGAAGTTCGAACTACGTGGAGAGTACATTTTGCCCTAGGCATAGTACCACCTAGAAGCAACCCCCTCTACCTAGGGTAACAATAGCAAACTACCTCGAACTATAAAGTATCAGGCTATGATTCTATGCAAAAGCAGAAAGTTCATTGTTACATATGCACTATGTAAGTACTAAAGTATAATGATCTCAACTGGGTTTCATATGGCTGTCCGCTTAATTAGTTCAAATTCGCTTTTTTCCTCTTTTGTACAACATGTAGACTTTTGTCTAGAGGGTTTCATAGTAATTTGACCTGTATTTTTGGAGTAGTTGGGTTCTAAATCTCCTAATAAAATGAGTTAGTATATATCCAACAGGCGGCCTTTGCTGTATAGCATTTTATAAACCACTTGCAAGTTGAAATATATATTTGGGTTACATGTGTAACTAACATCTCTTGTTTACATGGAAAGCTCTCTAATCAGCCCGATGTAAAGATATTCTTAGATCTAACAAGGTTGTAAGTAAATAAGTGGGGGGATCTTATAGTGCTAACAAGGCGACATAACTATACGAAGCTGACCATTGGTATTAGATCACGCCCTTGACTGTGGAAGATACTGTTCTTAATATAGATTAAAGTTTCTATTGGCTATGTAAGGGATATAATGTTATTAATCTTACTAATATCTGTTTGCCACTGAAGTTGAAGCCGAAGACAAAATACACAACCGCATCGAGGTATACAGATCAGCAGCTAATCCCGTTTCGGCGATTCCTCCTTTTTCTTTTTTTTCCCCATCTTCAACAACTCCCAAGCCACTTTCTCTATGTTCTCTCTAGCCCGTCAATTCTCCGGAGTCCGCTCCAAGCCTCTCCTCAATCAGAAATTCAGATCGACCCAGGTACCCCACCGCCTATACTCGAGCCCTCCGAGATCATCGCCACGCGCACCTCCCGCCCCTCAATCCAGCCGCTCCAATTTCCCAATCATCCCCATCATCCTCATAACAGCCATCAGCTCCGGCGCCTACGTCTACCTCGTCAAGTCCCGCACCGGCATCAACACACGCCCAAACTAGCTTGAAGTAAGCACCGAAGGGTCTAGCCCGTCCCAAAAAAAAAAGCAAACTAACGTCCGTTTCAAGTCAAGTGCTGCCCCTCCAAAGCCCCCACAAACAACCTCGAAACTCAATCCCAAACCCCTTTAACTTCACCTCACCTCCCTCAACCACCACCACAACCACCCACAATGGCCACCCCCCGCTTCTCCACAAACGACGTGACAGTCGTCTTCTTCCTCGGCGGCCCAGGCAGCGGAAAGGGCACCCAATCCGCCAACCTCGTCAAAGACTATGGCTTCGTCCACCTCTCCGCCGGCGACCTCCTACGCGCCGAACAAGTCCGCGAAGGCAGCCAGTACGGCGACCTGATCCGCGAATACATCCGCGAAGGCAAGATCGTGCCTATGGAAGTGACCGTTGCGTTGCTGTCGAATGCCATGGCCGACTCATTGGCTACCTCACCGCCCCCTTCTGGCACCAAGGCCCGCTTCTTGGTCGATGGATTCCCCCGCAAGCTTGACCAGGCTGTTTTCTTCGAGGAGACTGTTTGCCCCTCTGAGCTTGTGTTGTTCCTTGATTGCCCCGAGGATGTTATGGAGTCTCGATTGTTGAAGCGTGGTGAGACTAGTGGCCGTGATGACGATAATGCGGCTTCTATTCGCAAGCGCTTCCACACTTTTGTTGAGACTTCTATGCCTGTTGTTGAGGATTTCGAGAAGAAGGGTAAGGTTGTTTCGGTCAAGGCTGATAGCTCAATTGAGGAGGTCTATGAGCAGGTTAAGGCGGGTATTGAAGCTCGTGGTTTGCACCGTCGTTAAGCGGTATTGTGTTTGTATCGATGTATATAGAATAGAGATGTCAATTTAAGGGGGAGAGTTGTTTTTATTTTGCTCGAATTGATAATAGTGTATAAAAGGATTTAAGCATTTTTAAACTCGAGCCTCTTTTTTAGGTAGATGCTTATATCCCCTAAAACCAATGTTACTGTTTACAAATATGAACCAAGATCAGTCTAAAGAAATATAATATTCTTTAAGCCAGAGTAAAAAAAAAAGAACAAAAGAAAAGTCATCCCTCCGGAAAACATAAACAAGACTAAGATTGACATGACTCGTGGGGTCCCAAACATCCAACGGGGGTAGTAAAAAGTCCAACCCTACAATTGGCCAGGGAAAAAGAAATGCATGAGGAAAAAAGACAGCGAAATTTCCCCTCTATTAACTGAAAGATTTTTGTGTGCTGTGAGCTTTTTCCCATTTATAAAAAAAAAGTACACATCTGTTCCATAGAGCGTCATGTTTATTCGGCAGTAGCCTCAACCTCACGCGGCTGCGCAGGTTGGACGCGACGGCGATCACCGTTACCGTTGCGGTTGGCGTTGGCTTCTTGGTCAGCCGCAGCCTGGATACCCTCACGGGCGAAACGCTCGCGCTCGGAACGGATGACGTTCAGAACATTCTCAAGGGAACGGCGCCAGACCATCAGGCGGCCTTGAACCTCGGACCACTGCTTCTCGCCGAAGACGCGGTAGGTGGCACGGTGCACAAGGAACTCGGACTTCAGCTGGGACAGTCTACCTTCGACGAGGCCGGCACGGATGGTGTCGATAACCCACATCTCGACCTCGGAGGCGGGGACGCGCAGGGCAGAGGCGATAGTGGAATAGGGGAGCGAGCGCGAAGGGGTGGAGGAGGCCAACGAGGTGAGGGTGAGGAGACGCATCTTGGTCTGCAAGGCATCGCCGTACTCGGCGAGCACGCCGCCAGAGATGGAAGCGAGCGGGGTGGCAGCGACGAAAGCCTCGTAGGCGTCGAGAGTGTCCGAGGTGAAGAGCTCGAGCAGCTCGAAGAGAGTGCTGTCGCTGGAGCGCAGGGCCTGCACGGCGTCTGATGCGGTCAAGGGAGTGAAGTCGAAGACGTTAGAGCGGCGAAGAGCGCTAGCGAGTGCGCGCACAGCCAACTCGCGAGCCTCGGGCTTGCTGACGTCGGCAGGATCAATGGTCTCGAGTGCTTGCACGATGTGAGTCTGGGCCAAATCCTCGTCACCGGCGGCAGTGGCGGCCTCAGCAATGGCGACGTGCAACTTCCGGGCGTCATCGCTCTCCAACTCCCACGCGGCGAGCCATGTGGGGAGCTGGGAAGAAAGCTGGGGCTTGAGGGCCTCGAAGGCAATTCCAGAACCAGACTGGCGGATCACGGCAACAATGGCGAGGAGAACGTGGTAACGGCTGGAATCGTTGGAAGACAGAGTGTTGAAAATGGTGGTGAGGATAGAGATAGCGAGAGTAGGGCCGAACTGGGGCGAGGTGGTGATGGGCTTAGCGAGATAGGTGCAGATGCGAGGAAGGAACACGTCGGCATCGGAAGACTGGTGAACGAGGTGAACCAGGAGGTTGTAGGCGGAGGTGATCTCTGCATTAGAAATCTATTGTCAGTTTTCGTCCATCAAAGATCCAAGTGCCAGATTCCGACTATCTGCAGATCATTCGACACTCCCACTTACCCTTCTCGGGGGCACTGTTCAAAGCGGTGGCAGAGGACACAAGCTTCTTCAGGACTTCATCGCGCTGCTTAAGGTCGGCCTCGCCTTCAGACTGTTCCTGCTGGCGGAGAGGTTCGAGGAGCGGGGCGATCTCGGACTGGAGGCTACCCTCTTTGCGGAGGGCATCGATGTACTGGGCGAACTCGTCGGCGAGCTCGGTGAAGGAACCCTCAATGAGGAGGGTGTTGGTAGGGGCGGGCATGATGTTGGTGGGAAAAGGAGAGGAAGAGAGAACGTGAAGTTCTTTTGATGGTGGAGTCTATCGATAAGTTGAGAAATTTCAGTGTGTGCCAAAAAAGTCTTGGCAAAAGGAACACCACAGTTGAAACATCTCGACTGATCTTTGTTTTTTACTCATTTGGTTTGATTTCAAATCTTTTATTTTGAATTTAATATTTACGCTACGATCTTTACTCTGGTTTCTTTTTTTTTTTCAGCGAGTTGCCAATATTTGGTAATATTACTTTTAATCGAATAGTTCATGCGCGAAATCGTCACCTGCGCAGATAAAAAAAGGAACTCCCAGCAAAACAAGAAAGGACAGGCGCCACGTTCATAGACATGTGGACAATCGGGGGAATCGAATGTCGTAAAAAAAAAGCAAATAGCATCGCGATGAGTTAAGGGAATACAACAAAGAGGACGCTATGCGACCCAACCATCAAGGGGTTATTAACTGCCCGAAGACCGAAGAACATCTTTCCTTTACAGGACCATGCGTGCAGCAAGGAACATGAGTCCAGCCATCAGACCAGTGGAGTACTGAGACAGGTCACCGAGAGCAACAGCGGCGTTAGTGGTAGTGCTGGCAGGAGCCACGGAGGAAGTTTCGGAGCTGGAAGACTCGGTCGCAGTGGCCATGGCCAGAGTGGTGGAAGACATAGTAGAAGAAGCAGTGGTGGTTATCTCACTGGCATTCTTGGTGCCACAGACAGCAGCCTTCTTGCAGGCGCGCTGACCCTCGGCATCGTTGGGGTGTGAGGCGATGCACTGGCCAAAAGCGGCCTGGCAGACGTAGAAAGGAACGGTCTCCTTGTAGGGGGACACATCGGGGATGGAACCATCGCTGCAGACACAGGTGAACTGCAAAGTGGACTATTGAAACTGTTAATTTCCTAGGCGCACAGACGCAATACATCGGTAACATACAGCGTCGCATGAGTTGAGCTTGGTGCCCTTCTCGCAAATCTGAGGGCAAGTGTTACGCTGGGCAAAGCACCAGGTGCCTAAATCTTTGTTAATACTGTTGTGTTAAGAGTTATCAGGGTACATACTCCGCTCGCTGCTTTCCACCAAACCAGGATTGAATCCAGCAGGAAGAGTGTAGGCAGAATCAGTGGAATTGGCGCCCATAACGGCAGTAGCCAGAGCGGAAAGGATGATAACAGAACGCATGATGGATAGAGATGATAGATATGCTAGAGAGTTGAAGAGGGAAGAAAGAAAAGAAAAGAATGGGCAGGTTGGGGTACTTGTATTGGTTCCAGGGTATCTAAGGTTTTTATTTTTATTTAAGGGAAAGAGCACTTTGCCAGGGTAACCTCCCCCCCTATTGGTATATTGACATACCAGGTGGATTATTATATCACTAGTCTCATTGTTTTTATATCTCTTTCAAATTTAATGTTGCACAGGCCCTTGTATTTAATGCGATAAATTTGAATAATTTGTACGCCAGACCTAAAAGAGTCGGCAAAAAAGATACCCAGACTAAATTGGAGGGTCCTTGGCTACATGTAACTAAGCCTAGTCAGGCCAAGTTAGCCCCTGCCGCTGGAATCCGTACGAATCATATGCTTCCAATGGAGATTGTTGGGTGGTGATACAGGACTTGACAGAAGTCGCTCATGGTTCGTCTGTTTACCCTCCATTCTTGTCAGAATTCCCAGATTCCCCCCCCATCACTGTGTCCCTTACGGTTACCGGTTACCATGCCAGGGGTGAGACAATGCATAGTCTGTGCTCAAGAGTATAATTGGTTCATCAGTTCAAGAAGGCACATGGGAATATCTACTTTAAAGCTTCCAAGGTTCTGATGTTCGCTCCACCGCAAATCAATTTTTGCAAATCCATTGGACCGTGCAAAATGATTCGACCCCAATATATTCACGTGACTGTTTATCATGACCTAATCTGTCATAGCCGGAGCCGAGGTTAAATGTGGTTGACACTGCACCCTAATATACTACTTGAAACTGCTGAAACGCCTTCATGTCAGGTCCTTTATCTATACTTGATTCATGATAATTGCCCCCAATATAACTCCCAGGACCAAAGCACCAAAAAGAAAAAAAAAAGAAATGGCAGACCCGGCCCCGGCAATCGCGCATCTCCGCACCAATTCATGGGCAAACAACCTTATCTCCTCGGCCGACTACACACCAATTCCAACCGATTCACGGCGCATAAAGCCCTCAACTGGTGAAGATGGCTACTTCGGGAAAACCCTCAACACACCCACCACAATCCCTCACTGCCTAACCTTGCAACGGCGCAACCTCACACCCGCACCCGCCGAAACCCCCACCTGGCTCCCCGCAACAAAACAAGACGCCGCCTCTGCCGCAAAGCCCACCCCCGGCCTAAACCCAGCGGATATCATTATGATCTTCGATCTTAGCAGTCCCGGTCTGTCTGGCCACCCATCCACCGTGCACGGCGGCATTGTTGCGACGCTGATTGACGAGGCCATGTCCCTCGCTGTTGCTGCGCATACCAATGCGCCCACTGCGCTCAGTACGACGGAGGATAACCCACGCGGGAAGATCTTTACGGTGCAGCTTGATATCAGGTATAAGAAGCGAGTAGCTACGCCTGCTTTGCTGGTTATCAAGGCGCGAGTTGTTGGGAGGGTTGGAAAGAAATTCTGGGTTCGCGCGCAGGCATTGCAGGAGGACGAGGAGAGTGCTGGAGGACATTTGGAGTGGGCCAAGAGGAAGGTTGTCAAGGCTGATGCTATGGCATTTTGGCTTGTGACGTCTGACTCGAAGCTGTGAGCGTCATGTCTCCTTTCCAGGCCCAAAGCTTGAAGCATAGACTGGGGGATCAATCACCCTGATGTACATATAGGGATTCTGATCCCGAACATACACCCGATTTTGCACATACATAATACCAGTTAGATCATATATAGAGGATACAACTAAGCCCGAATTGAATCTATTCTTTAAATGTAGCCATATACATCTATGAAATGACCATCTATAACTTCTCCAACTTTCTGTTTCCAACATTCCGGCTAGCACTAACAACCAACCCAACCTGCGTACTCACCGCAATAACATCCCCAGCCTCATCAAGAACCGTAACCTCCAAATCCGTCCGCCCATTCCTAACGGCTTTAGTAACAACCCGACTATAAAGCCACTCCACCCCCTCCGCAGGGAGATGTTTCTTCATATCCACATTAAGCGTAACAGTGGGATACCAAGAGCTCGCCTTCTGCTCAGCAACCGGCTTTCCACTCTCCTTCGAAGCAGCAGTAGACATAGCATCGAATCCATCCAGCGCCATGGGAAACGTATCAATAAGATATGCCACCGCAGCCTCGGTCCAGCGACCATTCACATCACCCCCAGGCCGGAACCTTGTCCACTGATCGGTAATGGCATGGCGAGAGCGCTTCCGCTGTATCTCATCAACAGGACTAAATAGCTCAATCTGCGCCGTAGCCTTACGGAACGTCGCAAAAGGCACCACATGCTTCCTCCAGACACCGTCACTGCCTGTCCGACCTAGTGCAGCCAGATCAACGGACCCATCCGCGCGCGAACCCGCCGCCGGGGCAGGGAGAGGCTTCCACCCTGTGTTCGCGCTAATACCGACCTCCGCGTCCGGCGGGCTGACTGTGATGTAACCAGCGAGCATGAGATCCAGCTCGCCGGGTTTCTTTTCGGAAGCTTGCAGTAGCTTAATGTGGATTGTGCTTGTCCGACGGCCGATCTTAACGTCTTCAATTTCGAAGGTTACGGGGCCTGTGGCTGTACGTCGGAGGAAGGAGAGTTGGATTGAGATCGGGGACGCGGGACTTTGGTATAGCTTAGGGTGGGCGTGCGCGAAGTGCGTTAGGGTTAGTTGGTAGATTACAGCTGTTGTGTAGCCGCCGTGCGGGACTGGCGTGGTGTTAGCTTTTGATCAATGGAAGGTGAAAGTTAGATAGATTCTGCTGTACCGGTTCCAATGCACCATTCTGGTTGAAGGAAGGCGCTATATTTGTTGGAGCCTTGTGGAGTTACCTTGATAGCCTCCTGGAAAAATGGGTTGATGGTGGACATGATTTGCGGTGTTTGATATATCTAGGGTTTAGAATGGATATTCAGGTTAAAACAAGATCATTATATAGATTTCTATGTTGGACAAACCTTCCCCATAGCGGCCCTCGGCATTTTCCCCAGACCTCGGACCGCCTGGACCTGAGCTGAGTCAGCAAATTAGCCACGTGGGTTTTTCAACATCTTCAGGGTTAACTACGTAGGTAAATGGGATTGTGATGTAAGAGGGCTATGCGAATAAGAAAGATCGAAGCGAGGTCCCTACGATGTAGATGAAACCTTGCAATAGGTTGGATCGGGAATCGATGGGACGATATTCATGGAATGCGCTACGCAATATTACTTGGCAGAACTTGGCAGCTCGCGTAGGGGGAGGGGCCTATGGAGGAATTAAATTATTTAATCTCCAGAATACGAAAACGAGGTTAAATATGGGTACTATATATGAAATATCTGACCCCATTCTATGAATCTGAGGGTAAAACTAACATGGATCACCATATCACTGGTATTGATTGCACTGCAACATATCTCACTTCAGATCAAATCACTAACGATTAAATAGCACGATCAGCTGGATATGTTGACCCCAATTTTCCAAACCCTGGCGGAGAAAAGGACACCCCTGTGATTATTTATGGCTACACGCCTTCTATCGCCCTAGCTGCCTTTGCAGCCGCGTGGTTTTTTCTTCACTTTGTCTATCACACAACACAAACTATCAAAGTCCGCAGCTGGTGGTGGATGACATTTTCCGCTGGTCTGATTTTCGAGGTGATAGGATACATTGCGCGATCGCTCTCCGCCAAAAAGGATCCTTACCATCTCATCTACTTCATCCTCAACTACTTTTTCATCGTTGTGGCGCCAGTATTGCTTGCCGCTGGTATCTACACCATTCTATCAGCACTGATCCCACGAGTAGGGAGAAAGTATTCAATCCTACCCCCAAAGATCATCCTGGGCTTCTTCATCACTTCAGATGTCATCTCAACCATCGTCCAAATAGCCGGTGCGAGTCTCATTGGTGTTAAAGAGTCCCGCCGGCAAGATCCCACAACAGCGAACAACATCCTCCTGGGCGGTCTTGCGTATCAGGTCTTTGTTATGACTATCTTCGTCATCGTGGCGGCGAGTTTTCTGTTCCGCGCGAGACATGCTATCAGAGAAAATGGGCTTGGGTTGTTCTGCTTGGCTTTTTCCGTTTCGACCCTCATGGTTTATTTGAGAACTGTCTTCCGTCTTGCGGAAACTGGTCAAGGTCTTATGGGAGAGCTGCAAACCAATGAGGTCTATTTCGCGTGTCTTGAATTCGCACCTATTGCGCTAGTCGCTCTTCTCTTTGCTATCTGGTATCCAGGCCGCTGCGTAGGTGTAGCGGTGCGCATTGAGGATAAACCATAGCCTTTGACATGAAGCAAATATAATTCACTTTTTCCGTGTTTGACTGAATGAGCCATATATCCTATGCTGAAATTGCTTGTTCATATAAATGTGAAAATTGGAAAGCCCTACCTGTGTTGTTGGTACCTGCCTAAATAGGAAGGTACCTTCCCAGAGAAGATAACAGGCAGAAGCTTTCCCCAAAAACTCAATTCCAACTTCTCTCATCTGCTTTCCCCCTCATCTACTTCACTTCATTGTATTCTCTCACTACCTTCTCTACCTGAATAACAAAATCACCCAACCAAAGATGCATCCTACCTAGTCACACACCTAGCACATCATGAAATTTGGCAGCAACGTTGGAACGTCGTCCCCAACAAATGGGACCGCGGGAGGTCAATATTTTAACGTGGACATCACGAAACTACGGCGTCACAAATTGGACACCCACTATTGTTCCTCGTGATAGTCGGGAAAGCAATCCAAGGAAGGCCCAACAAATTGATATTACACATTACGCCAACGCCACGACGTCTACGCCCAACTCAAAATGGCAAATACCCTTTTCTTCTCCTTTTCAATGAGTGCGCGCGCTTGTGTCTGTTTATCAATGACCTCTTGATGGCAAGCAATTCGCAGCTATGTCATCTCGGCGTGGAGGTGTGGAATGGGCGGGAGCATGAGATCCCTAAAATTTTCCCTTGGCCAGTCTGTGGGCTCGTCTTATGGGCCCTAGTTGGGTTTCCGGCATCGTTGATGGTAATTCAGTTGCCTTCTATAGACTTACTCGACATCGGCCACACATTCCCCAACAACATCGCTAAGCCACCCGCGCAGAGAGATGGCTAGAAGCATGAGAAGATTCATTCAATGCCGCTAGCCTGTGGGCTCACTTTATGGCCCTGGTTGGCTTTCCGGAGTTGTTGATGGGGGTTCAGTGACATTCGTTTTTGATTCAGTGGGCCTGGAAAGCGCTTCTATTACACTCACCTCCTACTTACGCCTGAAATGGCTGAGAATGTTGAACAAGTCGAAATACAGGCCAGAGGCCAGCCCTTCGGAACATGTGCGTCTACTGTGAGGCACCATCTTGAGACACATCAAGTCCTCGGAAGTTACACCCTCTTCGGGATTCAGAGGATAATGATGTGGAAGTGAGCAAGCACCGAACAAAACACTCGCAGCGCCAATCTATTTGAAGCCTCAATCTTTCAAACTCAGACCTAGATCAAACTTTAGGGATCTAGAGAGCGATATTGCTTGATTGATTGACACAGAGTAAGTGTAGACGAGGAAACAAGACGAAGTCAACATAAAAAAAAGGAGACCGCCTTTCACTACGTTCAAGACCTGTAAGCTACTTCTGCCTTTCATATCCCTTTCTAACCGATGGAAGTACTGACATCGAAAATCATTATGGCAAACAAGGCCAAGGATGTTCACGGCACTGCTTGTCTGGTGCATCTAGCATCCACCAGCTTGATACTATTATCGATGAGATCTCCCAAAGACCCTACTAGTGGTCGGAACATATGAAGTACGCGTGAGGGTCAGCTCGAGCAGCCTCTAGGTATCCTGTGTATATGATTCGCAATATGGCTATAGTGTCCCAACACACTCAAAAGAGTCATCGTCATGCCTGTCCAAGATGTGGGATTCATATTCCATGGGAGCAATTTCAATCACCAGGTTTTCCTCAACAATGATACAGAACCATACACTGTCGGAGACAAGCTACCTAGGACAGGCTATCTTCTGCCTGCATCAAAGTCTCCGGTGGCGGCCCTGCTTCGGGGCTCCACGCTAATGAGCCCTGGAGTGCATCTCATCCCCTTGGCAGTGCAAGACCACTTCTCAAGTTCTTGCAGTTTGCATGGTAACCATTGAGAATGACGGAAGGAAGTGATTCTGGATCGCCGGCCAGATTACACTATCCGACTCAACAGTCATACCTGGCTTGGCTTGGCTGATGTCCAACTAAGAAAATACATATTTTACAATTATTTCCCATATTTCTCTTCTCCTGTAGCATTATAGGCTTTTGTCTTTAAGACTATTAACTGGTAGATGTAATTGTTCGCAAGTACAACCAAGAAACTTTCCAGATTCTAGCTAAATTTTGTCTTTTCTATTCTTCAACCCGAAATTGTAAAAGAATTAAGATGTAATGCAAGTATGTCTTCCTGAACCTCCATGTATGTACCATCTCGACTTGATTAAGGAAATGTGTCGCAATAGATGTATATGGTAGGATCAAATCAGAGCTGCTAAAGAAAATGAAAACTCCGGTCCGTTTTTGCTGTCTTCATGTATTCGTCTTCGCATGTTCATATCCTGTTTGAGATTAAATGGCTCACTAGATTACTCTCGCGGTAGCAATTTAGTTTGGCCCGGGTGTACTCGCAATTGGTACAGACGCTGCCAAATGTTGTAGACAAGAAAGAACGCCTGTAATAAATTAGCCAAATGAAATACCATAGAACAAACATCATGTCAAACTTACCAGTAACTCCCTGTGTCAGAGTAGCTTTAGCCTCCGTGCTGCGCGAGCCCAATGTGACAGTCATGGCATAGTCAACAGCCTTCGTGCTTTGCAACTTATTAGCCCACCGGAAGACCGGCTCATCTTCACGGTTATCGCCGACAACCAGCAAGAAATCGGGTTTAAGAACATCCTCATTTTTATCCGCGTTCGCCATGGTCCATTTCCAGACTTTTTCGGCCGCAGATGCCTTGTTCGTGTGAATGGTCTCCACGATCAAAGCGCCCTCGACGGGAATAGCATGCACACCTAAGTTAGCACATGCGTCGTTGATATTCCCTGCACATTCAGCGGCAGATCGAGCGGCGACATGGCGGTCTTCGGCGGATCCGTGGTGGAAGACGAGCGAGCAATGGCGCTCCTCGATCCAACTACCCTCGACACGAGCTTGGAAGTATGCCAGGATATTAGACACGGATGCCTTCCATGTTTCGACGTGCGCCTTGTCTGTAAGGTGGGTCCAGGAATCGGTGTTCGGCTCGCGCACGAAGGAACCGTTCTCGGCAATTAGGCCTAGATTGTTGACTTGTCGGAACAGTCGTTCCATTTCCTCTGGCATTCGCGCACTCATTACGTAGACGACGTTGGCGGGGTCCTCGGTTAAATCGTTTAGAGTTGTGATTGCGCGCTGTGGCGTGGTCAGAATGATGCTGCGCGGTGATCCCCATGAGGCTAGTGTGTCTTCGTAATCGATGATCATGAGTCGTTGCTTGGACGTGCGATACCGCTCGGTGAGTCGGGATACGGATAGTCGGGGCACGGCCATAATTTCTCGCGAAGATTGCTCATTCCAGACACGGTTGAGTGTTTGGTTGAACGATTTCACCCAGTTGGCCGTTGAGTTCTTCAGAACTGCACGATGTAGTTCCTCCCAGACCTGCTTCCGTGTCTTTTCATCCCGAGTCAGTGCTGTGTGAATTGCTTCGCAACACTGGCGGTAATCCCAAGGGTTGACCAAAAGAGCATGATTTCCAAAGACTGATGCGCTGCCAGTGAACTCGCTAAGAATCAATGACCCGTAGGCTTTGTCGCCCCATCGACCATCCTGGCAGTAGACGAATTCATGACTAGTCAAATTCATTCCCTCACGTAGGCTGGTGATCATCATAGCATCTGCCACGCTAATGAGAGCAAGGTACTGCGGGAAGGCCAAGTCTTGTTTGAGGAATACCAAAGGCTGATGAGCGAGAGTCGAGTGGGTGGAGTTGATTCGCATAGCAATATCAGAGAGAGTCGCTTCCAGCTCTGGTTGTTCAGTGGTGCTGGTTGCGACTTGAATCAACACAACCTTATCAGCCCATTCTGGGTAGGTGTTGAGGAAAAGCTCGTAGCTAAGAAGCTTTTGGCGAATACCCCGTACGGAATCAATCTTATCGCGCGAAACGATGAGACGCTTTCCTTGATAGCGCTCCGAGATTGTACGAACCCATCGTTCCACGTCCGTCGCCTGGCGGCGCTTATCCCAAGAAGTTGGGTCGATGCCGATTGGGAACGTGCCGACGTTGACAAACCGGTCTTCTAACTGGATTCCTTCGGGTGTCGCTTCCACACACAAGATCCGACTGCATGTCTGTAGGAAGTGCCGGCAGTATTCATCTGTCTGGAAACCAATAAGGTTGGCACCAAGAATGCCCTGGAGGAGCTCCTTGCGTGGTGCCAAGCATTTGAACACCTCGGACGAGGGGAAAGCAATATGCAGGAAGAACCCAATCTGTGCATCTGGCACCAATTTGCGAAGCATAGCTGGAACCAGTAACAGATGATAATCCTGGACCCAGATCGAATCACCGCGCTTCCAATTTTTGGCAATGCGATCCGCAAAAGCCTGGTTCAACTTAACATAGTAGATCCATGAGTGGTCCTCGTAAGCTTTGCTCTTTGGGTTATCAGGGATCTGATAATGAAACACCGGCCAAAGAATGGTTTTGCAAAAATGCGTGTAGTGCCCATCGAAGTCAACGTCATTTACGAACACCGTCAAAGACCCATACTCATCTTCCAATTTCTCCACAATTTCTCGGCGGGTGTGACTTGCCAAGACGTCAGTGGGCATACCCAAGGTGCCAACCCACATCATATTATCCAAAACCCCAGCGTCTGCTGCGGATCGCACTGCATTGCGCAGGCCACCATTTCCCTGTTCCGCGGTCTCAATGGTCCATTCGGCTTTCGAAAATGATAATTTTCGGCTCGCCGTACTGCCCTTTCTCAGCCTCGCATAAGGGGCAATGAGGTCGATTGCAGGAGGCCGCTGCGCCACAGGTTCCTTGGCGGAGCTAGGCTCTTGGTGTTTGAGAATGGATGGAGATGGTGATGGTAGTGGCACTGGCTTTGGCTGGTTGAACGAAGTTGTGGAACCCCATATCGGGGAATGGCCCTCACTCTCGGTGAGGAGGCGGTTATCCTGCTCGGTGGCCAAAGGGAACGGGTACCCATTTGCTTCTTCCTCTACCTTGCCCAGGTGGGAAGCAAATATGCGCTCATGGTCCGTTGTAGCCCCCGGTGTAAGACCCGGCGTTTTCCCTGGAATGTTCTTTTCAAACAAGCTGGCTGTAGCCTTGGGTAGGGGTGTGATCCCATCGACGGCGGGGTTCACAAGTGGAGGACTTGGACTTGGAGTAGGGGGAGAGCGGGTGCGCGAGTTGTTGAGATGGAAATTGACAGTGTACGGCAAAAATCTACAGTAAATTTATCAGTTAGCTGTAGTTTGTGAAGGTCCAGGAATAGAGCCACGTACAGAGACGCTATGAAGACAGTCATGATGATTGAAGCCTAATTGGATAGGCGGAAGAATATCAAAGCCCAATGCGAAGAAGATCAGCTTGCAGAAATAAGTTAGATATATGCACGGAAATGAGCGGCTGGTAGTCCTAAACAAGGCCAAGCTGAAGAAAAAAAAAAGTTGTTAGTTACACGATTACAATGTGTTTCTCATGACTACGTCATGTGAAAAGTCCATGGATGCCAAGTGGTGGAGAAGCAAGTTTAGCAGTGGATTATGAGGACAAATAAGAATGAATAGATAGGTTCTAGATGCTGCGTTCAGAGAAGATGGAACTTGAAGAATTTCTTGAAAGATATAGGACGGAACCAAGGAAAAGACCTGTTTGTTCATCGCCTGACATGAGCTTACTGCCTTGTACCGGGTTTACCCCACTTAAGGGTCAGTTTGGGGTGTTCCTGTACGTTCCTGTACATTCTATTACCGTATTTTATACATTTTATTTACAGAACTATGCTAAATCGTCTATCATTGGTGGAATATCATATCACCTGATATGAGGTAATATTTCTTTCCCCTTCTGATGTCAAGAAGTTCATCCCACTCATGCCATGACCTTACGCCTTACTTCCGCTCCTGTATCTGGTGTTAAGAAACGCAAAGCCCCTGCCAAACCCCGCGTCTCACCATTTGCTTCCCATGCGCGCCGCAAACCTATCTCCGGGGGTTGCCTAAAACCTGCAGATCTAGGTTTCGAGGATCCGCTTCCTGATGTAGGCGGGTCTCATTTCATATCGGAGACTGCACCGGTTCAAAATGTGCTACAGGCTATTCAATATATCCGTGATGGTATGTTCGAAGAACTTCCGGCACGGGCCGGAATGAACAGCACACGCATCGCAGAAGTCCTTAATTTACGCCGGTCTTTACCCCCACTAGCCTCTGTGGCCCATGTCCATACCCTTTTGGAGGCACCAACACAAGTGGAAAGGGAAATTGTCGAACAGATTCAGACGGGTCGGATTCGACGACTCATTATACCAGGTCGAGGCAATGATGCGGCAGGGTTGGGCGATTGTTTGGTGCTAGCGGAGGATTGGGACAGGCTGGTACAGGAAAGCCCTGCATTGGATCAACGAGTCAAGGGTTAGTTTTCAAATTAGGATTCTATGGGAGTTATGGACTGACAAATTTGTAGAGAAATTCCTTGATATCCTGAAGCGTATGGGGACTTCCTCGGCGATATCGCAGGGAGTCTTCACGACAGATGAGTACAGGGCATTGCTCCGTGCCGGATTTATTGTATCATCGTCATCTTACACGCAGGGCACATTGAGTATTGCATCACTTCCTAATCTACCTCAAATGGCGACTTCATCAGCAAGTCGATGCGGGTCAAGCGCGCATTCCGAGCGCTCCGTGCAGACAGCTGCTCAGGCTCGTGCTGCAACTCTCTTCTTGTCTCTACCTAACACGGGTACATATCTCCGCTTGCTGGGATCAGCTCGTGCACATATGCTCGCTCTTCTCCGGCGGTCCGCTTCTGGCGAAGCCCCTCTGGGTCTGTTGAAAGATCGATGGGATGGGGCTGTTGAGACTGACAAGAGTTTCCACGCAGCCAAGCGAGCCCGTGGCGAGTTTGCAGGGATCCTGCCGGGTAAGACTAGGAAATGGAAAGAGCTATATGGGATGCGCTTTCGATGGGTGCTAGAGGAAGCATTAGGCGCGGGACTTGTGGAGATGTTTGAGACTGGCAGCGTTGGACCTGGGATCCGCTGTCTATAGTCCATATCCCTAAATTTTGGCCCAAGTACTAAATTAATCAATAATACCATACACTTTAACAGATAATTTGGTCAAGTCTAGAAGATGGCCTTTGTTCACTATGGAATTGTTTAAAGAAGCAACCTTCAAGTTCTCACATAATCTTGACTTGGGCAAACAAGACATCAAATTTAACTTACTGCCTTCTCGCACTTCCTTCTTAACCTCCTCCTCTCTCCATCTACCCATCTACTTTCTTCATCGCCAAGCCTTCATCCATCCCTCCATCATGCCGCTGATACAACTAGAGCCACATCTGTTTACCAGCCTCCCCCGTCACCCAGATCTTCCAGGGGACGCCAACACCCCAGATCTACGGGAGTTCATCCAGGCCGTCCTACTTGAATCTCAGCCTCTTCTTAACCAGTTCCCATCGACATTGAAACCAGACTACAAGCTACGCTCTTCTCCACCCTCAAAGGCAAAAGTGAAACTTTCACAAGGATGGCGAACTCTCCAAATCCCCCAGAGCTCTAACCCCAAAATGGAATTCTGGGTATGTCGCCAAAGCGATCACCAAGATTCTGATCGTCTGCCTGGAACAGTTTCTCTGTGGGAATTCCACGATGGGCTGCGATACAATCATGCCGAGCACGAGATGGAGTACACATCCAGCGTGACGAGCGTAAAGCGACTACTGAAATGGAACGAGCCCAGACAATGGGTTTCCAATCAACCAATTATTGTTGGAAACATGGGCTACAAGCATTTCGATGTCGAACGTATGTATAAAAGTCCCCGAACAGCTCTCACGCCAAGACAGCCCGCTCAAACTCAAGCCCAGTCAACCTGATTGTTCACACTTTCCATCCGCGAGCACTAATCCGGCCCCGGGCCTTCATCTCCTGGACTATGTCAGCGACCTTCGCCAGCTCATACGATGCAACCCGTTCCAACGGAGACTACGGCTTTGTTACGGTGCAGATTCCTTTCTATTTGCCCAAACCGCTTATCCCGGGGTCCCCGTACGAGGGAATGTACGCTCTGATCATGGACTCCGTCCCACAGCGGGCTGTCTTCGCTTACTATGCCAGTATCGAGCGGGTGGAGGTTCTGCCTTCTTCTCCTCCTGCGGTCTCTTCGGGTCCTTCGTCTACCCCTGCTAAATCCCCTGAGCGTTACCTTCGGTGGACTATGTTGACTACTTCTGAGGCTGGTGGGAATATTCCCAAGTGCATTCAGCGGAACCGGATGCTAGGCGGAGTGCCTCGGGCTGTTGTTGGTGATGTGGGATTGTTTATTCGGTGGACTATCAAGCGGAGAGAAGAGAGAAGACTGGAGCAGGATTCTCAAATGGGGGAGGGCTAACCTGTTTTATGGTGTCTTTCTCGATCTTGACTCTATTGTGTCATCTCAAACGTGTCATCTCGGATAAGATCAACAGTGGTGTATTATGTTCAGAGTACAGAAGCCTGAAACAAATCAAAAGCGGACGAGTACCAAATCGTGTCTTGCCCTTCGAGCATTGCATAGTGAACATTGTACTAAAATCCTCATCCCTCTTTTATGGCATCCGAGGGGACCCCGATGTTGAAAGAGCTAGATATCCTACATATCCTGGTATACTTGTTTATCATTGCTTTTAACTTCTTTAGGAATTCGAAACAACTCGGTTCAACCAATCCGCAAACTACCGAGACGAATATGTTCAGCTCCCGACTCGCTGTATCCCGTCTCGCTAGACTCATCGCCCAGGACACTACATCGGGAAACTGGTTGTCCTGCGAAGACTGGCAGGAGAAATACACGATCTAATTACCACTGTCTTCCACTATCAATTGCTGCGTTAGGATTTCGAATAGAAGATCAACCCCACTGGTGTAGCCAGGCTTGTTAAGAGGATCAACTGACAGATCTTCTCATTCACTCCAACATCGCTTTGTCAATCCGGCCGCAAAGTATGCGTGCATCACTTTTATACGTTTAGACACAATAATATCGCATTAACTCTTCATATTCCGCCTCCCTTCGGTTATCTACCTATAAATCTAAGATAGGAGAGAGAATATCTAGAAAACAGACCTCTAGAATTGTATCTAAGAATATCTAAAGGACTACTGAAAAAGCCACTGGGAAGACCACTAGAAAGACCACTAGAAAGACCACTAGAAAGACCACTAGAAAGACCCCTGAAAAGACCTCTAAAAGACATCTGATCAGACTGGAAGATCTATATATGATGCGCAATAAGTAGATTATAAAACAGCCAAGACACTCTCTACCTCACCAGCAACCTTCATAACGCTCTATGCTGTCCTTCGGGGCCGGGCTCCCCGAGCTACCCCGCTGTTATGGGATAAGCTGTGTGGTGTCAAGATGATGTATTAACTATGACCCAGCTATGGATGTCTGGTGATGACTAAGCTCTCCTCCCCTCACATGTGCCCCCTTCGAAAGGCCGCTTCGTCCTCGGAGCGGAAGAAGAAAAAGAAGTCAGAAATCCAGGAGTTGTATGTGGGGGAGCGGGGTTTGCGGTGGTGGGCGCATCTCGTTGGCGATCGCCATCACCTCAGATTTCAAGGCCCCATCTTTGAGTGTGTCAATGCATCTATCTACTAGAAGTAGACCTTCGGCGAGAGCTGTGGCGTCACGGATGAGATTGAGTGAGCTTCCGAGACCCTCACGCATTGCGCGGATGACGTGTGGATCCCCCTCGACGAATCGGGCGCGGAAATCGATTAGGCTGGCGTGGTCGAGGGAGATAATACGTGCTAGCTCTTTTGATCCTGCCACGGACTGGTGAAGGGCCTCTACCGCTAGTAGAAGTGATACAATAGGCCCCACGATGTCCGGTGCACCATCGATTTGGCTAATCCTGAATCGCAGGTCCGTATTAGCCAGGGTCCCGGTGACTGGCTTAGGAATTGCAACTCGTCCCCATGAGGGTATGTGGTTGTCAGATGCAAGGTTATCACGTCGTTGTTTCTCTCGGCGCATTCGCTTTTGTCTGCGTCTGTGCTCGTTTCCAAATGAATCAAGGGTGGCGTATGCGCGGGCCCACCGCGCCCCAGTCACGTCTCAATCCCTGAAGGACAGTACAGAGCGTATCTGCAAGAGGCGGATGCAGCGACAACTCACGGATCCCGCTTGATTTGAACCTCCAAAGATCGGGACCTCAGGAGAGTTTGCTTCCGTTATCCTCAACGCGCTACGCACCAAGGGGCGTGGCCTTGTAGCAAATTTGAGGTATGTCGCTTTGAGCCGCGCACGATTTCGTCTTCGGGTTATGTTCTGACCCTTTCTCCAAAGCCTCGAAGTACTTCCACGGGATACGGGAATTTGCCAGCACCCTGCTCCAAGCTCCAAGCAGTTGGATGACACTGAAGAACCCAGAATACGAGTCATTCTTGGAAGCCCCTGGGAGGCAAGAGCTACTGGTTCTGGATTTAGCTCTCGTGGCAAGCTCCAAGCTGGCTATACTGCTCGTGCTGCAGCTAAGCGAGTGTGTAGGAGCGACAACATCTTACAACACCATCGGAGCTTTCCTACCTGCCCGGTCAGCCATGGCAGCTCATCTGGTGTCTAAGTCCTTGAGCTAAGCAGAAGTATCCCATATTTCCGGAGCCCAGGATACAATACCCCCCTGACCCAGGCAATAGTAAGAATACAGTGAGCTGTTCGGAGTCCCTAGTGGTCCATCTGCTACTAGTAGTTGTCCCAAGCTAGGAACTGCAACTGGATTGGCGAAGAAGGCTAAGGAGTGGGGATAAGGTGTTCTGCTGTTTTGATTGATATTGGCTTCTAGGAAAGGCTAGGTGGGTTCAATATTATGGAAAGCAAAAACAACACGAAGAAATTCACAAACCATTTTCACCTAAGATAGACTCGTAATAAGTATGGCACGGCAGATTCTATACTCAACACTTCTTTTTTCTCTCTTTAGAACAGTAGTTACAATAGAACTTGACTTTCACGAGGAACTTTTACTTCAACTGAATCCTAGTTTATGATTCTATGTATAACCCTATAGAGGCGTATAGCTTGGGGGATGGTGCGTGTTCTTACGCGGAGGTCTATAAAGTCCTCATATTTGACAATGAAATCATACCTAGAGTACTAGATCAGAGTGAGCTTGATCACTAAGAGATACTATGTCATCTCGGATAATTCAGCAGTCCAGGTGATTACAAAAGCAGGATATATTCCTTTATAAGACAAGCCAGGTGATAGGATGACTCTTTATATATCTTCCAAGCATCTATTCCCAGTGATGATTTCACAGACAAGCCTTACCCACACCGAAAGCCTGCAACGCAGCAGATATTCCAAGAACAACGGCAGTATCCTTGATACCATGCTTAGCATACCAGACAGAGCTAGCCCAGAGCAAGATATTTGCAATTCCAGCCATGGCTTTGTTCAATGGGTCCTGGAGGAGACTGGGGTCACGCGCCCATTGCCAGTGAAGAAGACCTGTTGTATTATAGTTAGACTTGACTAGAAGGAATAGAGGTATGAGCTTACCCGTCAATAGGAAGAAACCACTTCCCTGTGGAAACCGAATAGGATACAGTCAGTATAAAGCAAAACAGACATAATTAATAACACAAGACACTCTGGGCCTAGATTCAACCCACCTGGTACCATCCTAGAGTCCCACAAGTCCATGAATTGGTTCCTGCGATTGCTTTGAATCTTGGGTCGGCTGTCCATTGTTTGCCCTTGATCTGCGTAACAATCAATATGGTTATTCAGGGGTTCTGAGGTTTGGGAGTGTTACCGTGTGACCAATGGAAAGCAACACAAAGGTTGCGGCTGATGCCTGTAGGAGTGAGGGAGCCATTTTCAAAGTTGGTATGTAATTGTTGTAGGATGGAATGTTTGAGGGTTGTCAGTTGGGGTGTACTGATTGCGGAGTATATAATGTCTGGGATGTGCCTCGGCTCAACTGTGTGAAGATGCGGGTGATAGTCATCGGTCGATGGGTGGGGATGTATATCGTAGCTATAGATTTTGTTTTATTTATTTTACATCATTCGATCTTTCTCTTAACCATGAAGAATTGATATCTAGAATATAAAAATAGGGGGTAGAGAGATAGAAGCGGGGGGACACCACCCCCAAAAGACCCCCTGGGCAAGGACCTCAACTTATACCTAGGTATATAAGGATGCTGGAAAAAGGCTCGAGGAAAGGAAATTGAGGATAGTTAGGATCGTGTCTAACCTTCCCACTAAGAGGCATCTACGTATCAAGAATTATGTACCATTTGACGGATTGAAGAGTATATTATCACTACCTAAGTCGGGAATAGCATTACGAAAAACTCCAAACCCAGCGTAATCCATGCACATATCCAAACACAACATGACACTGACATCAACTTTGACATGGAAGACACAGGGAAATCCAGGTTGAGAAAATTCTCCTTGATGTCAGACCATTTTTGACACGCCAAACTCCTTCGGCTGTTCAAAAAAGAGGGGGGGGAAAACGATGAACTTTACAGCTCAGTCCAGGTATGAATAAAGTAGGCTAGAACGGAAAGGGGTCGCCCGGGTGATATGACTCCGGGGTGTAAATAAAGGGGGTAAATAGAACAAAAGGAAAATAATAATGGGGCATAGAAAACACCAACGTCGGCGGCTGTTGGTATGATGATCATGAGGACATGAAGGTTTGACCCTCATAGGGAGGATGGGATAATCAGGACGTATCAACAAAGTGGAGAAAGGAAGGAAAGGGATAATAGCCAGTTCACGTGGCGGTCTCGGCCATATCGTACAAGAACCACACCCAACGTATATCACCGTGGTCCGGCATTATTCAAGTTCACTTCAACCGGAGCCGGGGGCACCGAGTTGGACGATGCAACGTGCGCCCGCAGAGCGGCAACTTCAGTGCGCAAACCTGTCAACTCATCGTGCATTGTCCGCACGTACGCCCAAAGCTTATCGATTTGGCTGGCGTCATTGGAATTGGCATCCTGTCCATCGAACCCCTTGAGATGAGATAGGCTGTGGGTACTGGAGTGGCTATGCGAAGGAGTGTGTTTGGTTGCAGCTTGCATACCAAATCGAGCATCTGGGGAAGTCATACCCGGCGGTGGAGGCAGCTGGGGTGCCCCTGGCTGCGGCAGGGGCAAGCCTAGTGTAGGTGGTGCGTGATTCGAGGATTGATTCGCTCGCCCGAAAGAAGACTGCGGGTGGGGCAAGGATTGTCCCATACCGGGAGAGTGTGCGCGATGTGGCGGTGCACTATCATGTTGGGATGAAAGAGCGTTCGGGGACAGCGGTTTAGGGCTGTCACTTATATTGTTGGAAGGGAAGATAGACGAGCTCGAGGTGAGTCCCGCAGGCGGGAAAGTCATGTGTGTAGACTGGGAAGCTGATGCTGATACACTCGATCCACCATGATTGGCTGGGGGTGGGAAAAGGTGGCTGGGACGACCGGCGGCAATTGGCGGGTAGGTGTTTGACTGGCGTGAGTGAATTGAATCAGATCGCGCGACTGTATCTGCCTCGTGCTTGCGGATGCTCGGCATGGTCATTCGTCGCTCGTCTTCTTCGTCCATGCGCTCAGGCTCTGCTGTGTACATCAACCCATCCATGTCGTCGGCTCCCCCGGTCGTACCATCGCCATATTCGTCGTCTCCTGCAAAGCTTCCCATGCTCGCACGTCGACCCGCGCAGCCTCCCTGTCCTTTATTGTGTCGAGCTAGCGCATCACCTCGGGCGAAACGACGTCCACATTTAGGACAGATATGTGGTCGCTCGCCGGTGTGCAGCTTTGTGTGACGCTTCAAATCGTGTAGTCTTCGGAAACGTGACTGGCAGGTTTGACAAACGAAAGGCTTTTCCTGACTGTGGGTAAGCAGATGACTCTTGAGATTATGTTGCCGCGTAAATTCTGTCGCGCAGTATGGGCAGCGGTGTTTCTTCGCTGATGGAGAGCGCGGGCTGCCTCGATTGTAGCCTGCATTTGGTAGGCTCAATCCACGACGCGGGTCATTAATATTACCCGTAGGCATTGGGTATGAGAATGCTTTGCCATCATGGTCGATCTCGGAGTCATCGCGCGACCGTCGATCACCATCCTGAGAATTGGATTCCTCAATGGGACCAGGGCTAGCTACAGTGGAGGTATGCATTAGTGAGTTGTGGTGATGATCGTTCGATCCGTAAGGGTCCGATGGTGATTCGGTCGCGTGAGAGTCGATTTGCATATGCTCCGGGGATGCATGGACTGAAGGTTCATGAATGGGGGCACCTGGCGACTTTTCGCTAGCACCCAAAGCCTCCCGAGCCACCTGTGAAGTGTTTCGTTCAGCATCCTTTTCATGCTCCGGCCGATCCGCCGGTACTGATGTTGGACTTGTCATCGGAGGAAGCTGATCTCTCGATCGCGAGACGTGTAGGCCGGCGCTGGCAATGGAGCTCAGGCTCTCCGGTTTGGAGGATTTAAATAAAGAGAGGGGTTCAGAGCTTGTGATAGAGTTTCCGGATAGTGAGTTGGAGGCGGCGATGGGCTCGTTATTCGACATCAACGTCGCCATGGAGAAGAAAGGTTTCGTGCCAGCCTCAAAGGGTGGACGAGTAAATGCGACAGCTACTTTGGATGCCATGTTAGAATCATGTAAGGGGGATTGAGGGGAAAGGAAGTTGACTAACTTTCATCCACCAGGATATATCCAAGATGTCAAGCAGACGAGGTTGGGGGGAAAGAGAGCGAAGACCAGGGCGTGTGTGGGGCGTTTCTCACGAGTGTGGCGCAAGCTGACGAGTGAATTCAGCTTTGAACCTGTCAAGATCCACCTAAATGATCCCAGGGGCTTAATCCTTTCCAGCGATCAGGGAATGAGTGGATGAGATTCAATGGCCTGAAGTTTGGAGGAACAAAATGAGAGGGGAAATATGAGTGGTGAAGACAAGAGAAGTGGATGGTAATGAATTAGTTTACCATTGACAACGATTTACCGTCTATGATTCGACGGGTGAAGAAACAAAACACGCAAAGAGAGTGAACTTGAGAAACCGGGCAGGGGATATGTTTGGTGGAGACTGGAGTGGTCGAGGCTCTGAAATGAACCCTGAGGCAGATAAAGTACTAGGTACTTGATATTATACTATACTTACTATGTAAATAACAAGTAGATAGTACCTTGTTAAAATTGAGGCTGTGTAGACCGCTAACACACTTGTGGCTGGCTCGTGGGGCACTTCCTGCGGCTGACCTCTTCAAGAGTACACGTTGCCTTACAATTCTTTACATTTCTTACATTTGATCTACATCTTGATGAGGCTGAACATGAGATCATGTCTCTTTAAACAGGTATTTCTTTGGTATGTACAATCGGGAGTGATGTCACCCGACCTACGCACAATATATTGTATAGAATACATTTTAATTCAATTGTGTAGAATTCCGAGCCTTTTGAATATCTGTAGATCAAGTGGATAGATGTTTCAAATATTGTATTGAGGGCTTTATACGCGTATTCTTCACCATGCGATGGATACCAACTTCGTACATACATGCAGAGGTAATAATGTATTTGGCCACCCACTGGTATCAATTAATTACATTACTAACATTCATGGCAAAGAGTGCATTGGTAATACAAGGCGCAATACATTTGCTGCGCCATGTTTCAAAGCATTTGACTTAAAACGGTCCACGAGGATCGACATCTATGCGAAGCCCTATAGATCAATACCTAGTTACTATGTATTCCGTATGTTCAAAGGTTTATAGATCTATATATCTAACACATACCGTTTCTTCTAACCTACAGTAATTGAAAGGTCAAACTAATTACCTACACATTTAAGAAATCAATCCTCGTGGAAGGTTGTTTAACCTTGGAACCCCCCAGGCTTACTCCACTCCCAAAAATAGCCTGTGGCTGAGACTCATCATTCTATGTTGTATATATTAGGATGCCTTCCTGAAACGCGAACCTCCTTAAGTCTTGCATATGATTTGGAATGTGTTGGTCCACATGCTTGATATGATAGATATTCCACGGTAGCATCGAGACTGTCCAGCGTTGACTATGTCACAATCTCAATCAGGTCTCTCCTATAAAACAGGTATGAATGACCATCTCTTTCTTTATTCCAATCATCCTACACATTGTGTTTCCCTTTCGGGATAGATGTTCATCATGCAGTTGCCACCCTAAAGGCCCTGCTTGCTCCATTGTACAACGATATGTTTCCGGAAATTGATCTGATCATCAACACTCTTTGATCGATTCCCAACCCCTAAAGGCAGGGTTAACTGTACGATATTAAAGATACTACTCTAGTCGTACTGCTGTAGATTTGGAAAATACCTTGATCGATACTATAGTTAAGTGCATCCTCATGTCTTGCTAGTATATGCGTACGCCAAAGCTATGTAATTGGCCACTGTCCTAGATCATTCATGCCTATCTAGCCTCCGCAAGAACTATGGTAGTTTGCGCCCGAAGTTCGTATACTACAGGCATTAACGCTTGTAAAATTTCTCCTGATGCTACGCACATAGTGGGTCAAGTTGAAAAGCATGCACTCGGTGCCAAAAGAGACGACATGAGTGTTACGAAAATTAACATCAGAGCAATGCACGATGCTAAGAATTGTCGGCCTTTTATAGCCTTACGTAGTCTTTTCAGTGGTCCTTTTTTTTAATATTGTCTCCCTCTTCTTAATTTTATAGGCAGGTAGACGGCCGAAAAGGGCGGTACATAGAGAATAGGTGTGGCACTAGTGTATTCGGTCTATAGTGTAGAGAAAGGATCCCCAGGGGGTCTCCATTTTTATATATCTAGATAATCCTCGAGATTTTATGTTAAGATGC